TCTTTAACATTTAGCAACATGTTAGACAAACATCCAACTAAACGTTCCATGAACGAAGCATAAAAAATGTTTTTGTGCTAAAGTTTTGGGAACATTATTAAAGACCAGCAGATAACTTTGAACAAACGTTCTGCTAATGTTACTGGAAAAATGTTTGTTCATCACTTGCCAGAACGTTCCCTATTAGCTCTCTCATACACACTCAAAACATCTGAATATTTCTGCTATAATTATGACTAAGCTGCTTAAATGATTACTTTTTTGATTAACAGAACTGTGTGTGAGTATTGCTATATTAAACCAGTGCTATAACCAACTCTCTCTTTACTGTGATCTACTTAGGAGAAAACTGAAAGAAAAAAAGTTATTTTTTTAAATTTCAGTTTTATTTTTTATTTACTGTGTAATACGATCAATTCAGATTTGACAATCAATGAAAAATACATGAATTAAACACATGATTTATTTTTATGTGTGGGTCTTAGTGTGTGTGTGTGTGTGTGTTTGTGTGTGTGTGTGTATATATAAATTGAGAAGATATTAAGCTAAAATATGTAATATTATTTAATATTATACAGACATTTATTTTGTGATTTTTGACATAAAACAATATCATTAAATATTTATATTATTGAAATAGTTTTTTTCTATTATTTATTATTTTATAATGTTATATTCTAGTTTCATTTGATTTTATGTTTTGAGACATTTCTCAAAATATCTTCTTTTATGTTCCACAGATGAAAGTAACAAAATGAGTAAATGATGACAGAATTACTTGAACATCCTAGCAACCAACGAGCAAGTGGATTTACTCTCATGAACAATTAGGACAATGCACTTTATTATTTTTTCTATAAAAATAGTTTTTAATAATTCTGACGATTATTTTCTGAAATGCCAGTTGTTTTTAAATCAGCATAGATGCATTGTTCACTCTCTATGATATCCCACAATCCTGTGTGTGCGGCTCGGCAGATTTCTTCCTTTTTATCAACTTATGATTCAGTTTATTTTGAGAAATAAGCACTGCAGTCATTAACCACTTGTCTAAAGGTTATCAGATGTGACATTTGGTGCTTCAGAAGTAAAAAAAAAGTCCCAATTATTGAAAGCATATTGCTCACAGATTTCTAACTCCCTTCTTCTTTTGTTTTTGAATGGGTATTTTTATGAGAAATCAGCAGTGTCATTATGTTTTAAGACATTAACACAATGCTGTAGTGTTTCCAGATGAAAGTCTGAGACTGTTTTTCTGGTTTTCCGCTGGTTCCTTCCTAATAACAGCATTGCATTATGGGCCGCTTAACAGAACAGGCTATAATTTAACATTCTGCACTTTTCCACACACTCCCCCCAGCACGATAAATCCCTCCGTTTAAAAGAATCTGCTAATAAAATGCAATCAAATGGCCGTAGTTGGTCCTTGCATGGCCTGATACTCAGGAATATAGCAGTTGTTCTTTATTTTCCGTGGCCTGATGAAGTAATGGTGAGCCATGAGGCTGGGTTAACCTCTTCTGTACATTTTTCACACAGACATTGTGGCATAACACGTCAAGTCAGTCTAGGAGACGCATTTGCTAGAACAAAGCCGATTGATTTGAACATGTCCTCCCTCGCTGGAATCCTCTGCATCCTAAAAATACTTCTGAACATCAAGACACAGATGTGTTGCATTACGAATATATTCCTCAAATATATTGAGTGTTAGCGAAGTAGCTAAAGAGATATGAGGTTCTTAGTTCTCTGTCTGTCACTCACTTTGACGTAGTGTTGATGTAGTGACACTAGGGGTCGCATTTGGGAGCCCCAAACACCTCTGATACTTCAGAAAAAGCCAATGAGAATTTGCAGGAGCAATAAGCTGCTGGTTGCAGTTCACTTAACAGCCACCGGTGTCGCTAATAACAGGGGTTTCTGAATATATAGCCCCTTTAATTATTATCTTAAAAATGTAAAGGTATTTTTTCTTTCTTTTTTTGTTGCAAATATCATTAATCATTCATAAATATAATATGTTTTTTGTCATATCACTATCTGATATGACAATTGACACAGAGGGTCTGCTGGGGTCCTCTCTGTGACATTTCCTGGGGGGTTTTCTGCATGTTTTTGTATGTTAGTTGGATTACATAACTGTTAGTCTCGGCATTGCTTTTGGCAGTCAAACTATTTAACATTAATAAGCAGTGAAGCAATTTGTTTTAATTTGTTGGGGTGTTTGTGGGTTATATCAGGGAAGTTGTATCGTTGTATGCAGCTGATACTTGCACCCAAAAATATCAAAATGAATTGTAATTCAGAAATTAAAAACAAATGAATTTATTTTTTTACTGTATTTTTAATAGTGATGCACTGAAATATATATATATTTTTGCTGAAACACAAACTAAATTAAAGTTTTAATTTACCCGAAAACCGAAAATTAAGTTTAGGTAATTAAATTTGGGTAATTTGGATAGTTAATTTTGGTATCGTGTTCAAGGTGTCATGTTCTCAGGTGATAAATTCGACCAATCGCAGTAAAGTTCTTTGGCAATGAGTCGCCTCATGTTATTTCTGCCAAACTAATTTTACATCTTGCTACTCTAGCATATCCACGTTATGTGCATTACATAAATCTGGACACAGTAAACACGTCATTGTGAAAGCGCTAATTAAACAAATGTTTGGGTAAATGTTTACAGTATGTCCCTCAATAGCTATTTCAGTGAAACTTTTTCTCAGTAGAAAAATGTGTGAAACAGGAGATTTGCTGTTGGTTTTTTGATTTGTGAAGTCTCCATTTACTTTGCATTTAATTCAGTTGCTGTTTAGAAGAAAGACATAGAGATGTATTTTTCCTGTGGGCGTTTGAACCCAATAAACATTTGAGGTTTGAACCCCTTTTTTTGTGGAGCTATAGGGCCCTATCATACGGCCGGTGCAATGCAGCGCCGGGCGCGAACCGACGCAAGTGTTTTTTGCTAGTTTCAGCCTGACGCAATTATCATTTTCACGTCCTGCGCCACATTATTCAAATAGCAAATGCATTTGCACACATATGTGCGCTCATGGTGCTGGTCTGAAAACGAGGTATGTTCAGGCGCACTGTTGGCGCATTGCTATTTTGAGGAACTGAAATAGACTGCGCCATTGACTTTAGACCAGGTTTCAGTTGGTCAATGGCGCAGTCTATTTCAGTTCCTCAAAATAGCAATGCGCCAACAGTGCGCCTGAACATACCTTGTTATTTATTTTGTTATTTAATGAGCGTGTTAGTAATGTGAGCCTATAGGCGGGTGCACAGCGCACGTACACTCTGCTTATTACACACACTGCGCAACAGCACACAAACGAGCCAAATATTAAAAATAAAAGGATTACAATGTAAAAGATTAATATTGTGTACATAAAGATATGGTGAATCCGGCTTGTCCCGTAGCTGTTCTGCTTGTGCTTTAACCTCGCGCACGAGCAGAGCCGTCTCCTCTCTGAAGAAGCGTTCAGTCTTTCCGCTTACAAATCCCGCCATGTAAATAGCGAATCCGCCATGGCTCGAGTGCAACTGGCTTTTAAAGGGAGTGGGGTATGAGACTCTGATTGGTTTATTGCACGTTACGCCCAAAACACACCCATTACTCATTAAGAGAATAGGAACAACCATGCGCCGGGTGTGCCAACCATTTTTCCCGTCGTAAAACTAGAAAAAGTGGATTCGGACACGCTCTAAGTGCACTTTAGACCATGCGCTTAGGGCCCATAGGCAGTGTTGGGAAAGTTCACTTTCTACATGAACTAGTTCAAAGTTCAGTTCACAAATTTTAAAATGAACTAGTTCAGTTCATAGTTCATACTTCAAAATTTTGAACTAAGTTCACAGTTTCAAAAAAATGAACTAGTTCATAGTTCTTTTTTTCCATATGTTGCTGCGAGCTATTTATTTTGTTTTAAATTATTGCCACAGCCCATATACAACCACAGACAGCAATTATTTTATCGGCGGGCAAAGTTTGCACAGAAATGAGATTAAAAATTAAAAAAGATTTTTCCCATCCTCACCGACCTTGCCTTAAAACTCGTTTAAATGATCATACGACGCCTCCTCGATGCTTTGTCGACCACATGCTGCTTTTTGTTTTGATGAGGCATGCGGCGGTGCGACACTGGTGGCTGGTGTTGCCAGATTGGGTGTTTTTTTCGCTACATATTAAGGCCTGTTTACGGTGTGTTTTAGCCGGGTTTTCGCCTGGAAGCCTCTATAGAAATCTGGCACCCTATTGAACGAAGTTAAACTGAGAGAGCGTGCGTTCACAGACACCAGAATGAACACGTTCACAGTAACGTTCATCAGGCAGTAATACAGTACGTTCAGTTCACGTTCGCCCAAAAATATGAACGAGTTCATGAACTATCGTTCAATGAACGCGTTCAGGCACAACACTGCCCATAGGATTATGTATATTTTAAGCTGTATTGCCGTGTAAATCCTCTCACTTTGGATCAGGCAGTAAAGCAGGAGCAGCTTCTGGGACACGTGGACAGGCCGCAGAAATCGATGTGGCAGAGCCTGGTTTACTTTTGGAAGCAAAATGGCAGGATTGTGTTTTTTGTGCATGTGTGTGTGTGTGTGTGTGTGTGTGTGTGTGTGTGCAAACAAATCTGCCCTTTGAGTCTCCATGTGTGCTCGAAAAAGGACCAGTGGAACCATGAGCTAAAACCGTGGCTGGCAGGGCAGCCCTTATTCCCCACAAACCTCAGCTCTTTCCTCCTCAGCCTGGCCGGCCTCCCAGAGTCTCCGGCTCTAACCTCAGCGCACACACGGAAAAGAGAAATCCCCCTTCCACCCTCTCCAGGGGCGCAGCCGAGTCTCCACGCTCATGGGGAATGTAGTCGAAACGCATGTCACCTAGTTGTCGATCTTGCACGAGGGAGCAAAGATTAGGAGGTGGTGAAAGAACGGTCTGTCTCGAGTTTGAGTCTGGTTGCGTAAGACGGGGGCGACCCGGGTACCAGCCGGTGGCGGGACAGGCATGGCGTGGGGTTTAGTGTGTGGGCTGGAAGCTCTGCTCAGTTTCATATGGCAGATCGTCCTGTGGATGATCCAGAGGTGTTTCCTGCAGAGGATGAGGTCATGTCAACAGTGCCTACAAACCTGCTTCGACCCGGGCCACGTCTATCAGGTACTGGCGCTCTTTCCCAACAGCTTGAGGAGGCTTTGGGACTTTTGGGATCATTTCAGTCTGGATTGTGTTTGTGCGTCATATGTGATGGTCTGTTTTTGGGGTCTTTGAATCTTTTACAATGGAGAATGTTGTTTGGTCTTTCATGTCTTATTTCTTAAAGTCTGAGTTTTTGGTAACACTTTACAATAAGGTTCATTAGTTGACATTGGTTAACTACCTTAGTAAACATGACCTAAGAATGAACAATACTTCCACAGCATTAATTAATCTTTGTTAATATTAATTAACATTTACTAATACATTGTTAAAATCTAAGACTGTATCTGGTAACATTAGTTAATGCACTGTGAGCTAACATGAACAACAGCTGGATTTTTATTAACTAACATTAACAAGTATTAATAAATACTGTAACACATGTATTGCTCATTGTTAGTTCATGTTAGTTAATACATTAACTAATATTAACTAATGAAGCTTATTGTAAAGTGTTACCGAGATTTCAAAATGAAACGCATAATCAACTCGATCTGAAAATGTGTCGAGGCTGAATAATCTGATCTATACTCAGACAAAAATGTCTATTTGTATTTCTCTTGTTATTTTAGGAGAAACATCTGTGACAACGTTGATACTTTAATACACAACTGTGAACTTCTTTAAAGCTCCAGTCCGTAACTTTTTTAAGTTAAAAATAATTTAAAATAATTATATTAAAAAAAACTTATTCTGCCAGTGGTCAAAACTATCTGCTTGCCATAGCTAGATTCAAAACGGTTAGCTTGTAATAATGATTTTAATTCCAGTGGTACTGGTGGGTTTCCGCGGGAAATTCGAGCATGTCTTTGCGTCATGACGTCACACCCGTACACATAAAGAAGGAGTTTCGGCTAGCCGGCTATACTGCGCGTGACGAGATGTTTAGATGTATAGGCTTTTCTCGCAGCACTTTACATAATTAAACTTATGGCATCCAGAAAGATCCAAACAACAATCATCAGTGTCAACTGGAGATTCAGCAGTTATAAAACCCAAAAGACTTCGCACTTCGGATTTAAGGTGGCTAGAGAAAGAGAAAGAAACCGTCTCATGCGAACACAAGGATTTAAACATCGGCGGGGCTTTTGAAAAGTGCGTGAACACGAAACGGAAGAAGAGACGGCTTTTTTCTGCTGAACAAGTAAGACATTTCAATAGTTCAATCGTGTAACAGTACGTTTTCTTAATTCACAGTTATGGAGTTTCCTTTATTGTGCCTTTCTCGTTTTGCTATTATGGAGAATATGAATTCTGAACTACACAGGTAGCTGCTAACCATAAAACACATTAAATTTAACATTAGTCACGCAATGCTGATGTGATGTTGTTAACATGAACAATTTGAGAACAAAGTAGGCTATAATTTGCACGGTTGCTGTAAATCGCGTTGATTAAATCTAACGAAGCTTATCATGTCGAATGCTTTTTCCCCCTTAGTTGGTCAGAACAAAAATGGATGTTACTTACTTGTTCAGAAGACATTTTCTTATGAAAATTCTTATGTTGGTCAAACTTGGTCTGTATGACAGTATCCACACAGCGCGGTGACTGACAGCAGCACTCGCCTCAAAGCACTGTGTTCATCCGCGCTGTTTCATGCCGATTTACAACCCACGTAAAGATGATAATTCCGCTAATCACTGCAGTTACAGATTTCGAACAGAGAGATGGCGACAAAGAGGAAAAGATACGGACTGCAGCTTTAAGTGAGAGTTACTTTTTATTAAAATACTTTTTTTCTCTGGCCATGATGAGTCATATTCATACTGACAATCTGAGATCAGACGTTTTTTTAGATTTAAACTTAGAAAAGTTAAATAAAAATAAAAATGTAAGATTGATATTGTTACTAATATTACTAGGCCTTCTATTTCTAGGTCACTATTATTAAGCAAACTTGTGACATTGATCATATACTGATAGTATCATTTGTAATGAAACAAAATGGGAAAATACCAAATAAAAGCTTTTTTCGTAGGATCTTTGGATCCTGCTGTACATTGTTCATTGTAATGTCATTGTAAAAGTTAATGTTCTCCAAAAAACAGCTCATGCAAACACAAATTACAGGCTTGGAGAAGGGTATTTGAAACTTTTCCAAAATATCAGTCTCATAAAGCAATAACTCTGAGAAATACAGCACGTAGGTTCAGCTCTCCGCAGTGCAAATGAAAGATCTGTGCTATAGTAAGAAAGCTAGTCTACTAATAAAACTTCAAGTATTATTATCCACGTTTATCCTGACTAAAGATTAAATCATATTTTGAATCATTTGGAATAGACTTTTACAAGAACACAAACAGCTACATGAAATTACACATCAACTCCACCACCACAGTATATTGTAAACAGACATGTTTGGTATTGGTCGTTTTATAGCACAGTCTCTATGTGCTGAGCTGAAAAACAAAGCAATTTTGTGTCGTTTTTGTGGTTATATAAGATTCTACTGGGTTTGTTAACAGATGTTTTATCTATTTTAAAATGTACTAACATTCACTTCTTTGTCCAACATCCTGTTGTTATTTTCAGTGACAGAAAAATAACTAGTTTCTGTTTTGTTCTGCGCACACAAATGTGTGTTTTTCCACAATAATCTGTGTGTGCATGGCCTCTGCTGCAGAATGCCGATACATGAGGAATCTCTACACAGTCCTGGAAAAAACCGCTTCTACTGGTTTAAATGCATCTCATTAAAAACAGATTCAAAGTTTTATTGAATTTGTCACCAAATTGCCCCTGGATTAGCAGCGATACCAAACAAAAATAAATAAATACAATGCATATTACTTACAGTATGCATAGAGCTGGCCTTTGTTGCGCTGACCTTCATCCCTGTAATGTTCAGCCCTAAATGTTACAGGGTTCTGAAAGAGAAATGTTATGGGGTATTTGTTTGTTTGTTTATTCATTTTTTTAATTAATTTTTTTTGTGTGGTTGGTTGGTTGGTTGGTTTTCTGGTTTGTTTGTTTGTTTGTTTGCTTGCTAGGTTGGGTGGCTGGTTGTTTGGTTGTTTATTTGTTTGTTTGTTTGCTGGTTGTTTATTTGCTTGGTTGGTTAATTGGCTGTTTGTTTGTTTGTTTTTGGTTGGTTGTATTGTTTTTTGTTTGCTTATTTGTCTGGTTGTTTTTTGGTTGGTTGTTTTGTTTATTTATTTGCTTATTTGTCTGGTTGTTAGTTTTTTTGTTGATTGGTTGTTTTTGTTTGTTTGGTTGCTTTTCTGGTTTGTTTGTTTGTTTGCTAGTTTGGGTGGCTGGTTGTGTGTTTGTTTAGTTGTTTATTTATTTATTTGTTTTGTTTTTTGCTGGTTGATTTGTTTGGTTGGTTGATTAGCTGTTTGATTGTCTGTTTTGTTTTTTGGTTGTTGTTTGTTTTCATCTGCTGGTTGTTTATTTGTTTGGTTGGTTTGCTGATTGGTTTGTTGGTTGTTTTGTTTGTTTTGTTGTTTATTTGTTTTGGTTTGTTCTTTTTATTTGTTTGTTTGTTTGTTTGGTTGGTTGGCTGGCAGGCTGGATTCCAAACGTAATAACAATGTAGTTTAATCATTTGAATTTGAAAATACAAATAACAATGTCCAGCACTAATGCTTAAATGAAATTAGTGCTCGTGAAATTTCAGCATTAGGGACTTGAGAATTAACCAGCCATTTGCAGAAATGTCTCAACTCCATCTCAATATGCTGACATAACAGATTCTTTCTAAGTTTGCTTTGGCTATTGCTGTTAAAAGAGATTCCTTGTGATTTATACCTCTGGTTTTGATGACAGTTATTATGTGAAAATATATGAAATGTTCAGTGTGTCACTATAGTGAGGAGAGAAGGTGGCAACAGTGCAGTGTCGGTCATCTGACGTCATAACTGTGTCCACAGATGACCGAGGGACGCCTCTGCCAGGTGCAGCTCCTGGACGACAGAAAGCTGGAGATGTTGGTTCAGGTATAATGTCTCACAGTTCTGATCCCAGCTCTAGTCTATTACACCTCCCACTCAAGAGTAATGGACCTCAGTAAACCTCCCTGTCTCACATTATATTGATCAATGGATTTTCTCTCGCAGCCGAAGCTGTTGTCTCGTGAACTCTTGGATTTGGTCTCATCGCATTTTAACCTTAAGGAGAAGGAATACTTTGGGTTCACCTATGTGGATGACACGTGAGTGCCTCTTTTTAATGATGTTATCTGCAGAGGTGCATTGTTCCCATGGAACATTTGGACAAATCTAGCTTTATGAAAACATAAAGGATGAAAGGATATGTCAAATCTGAATTTAAATGGATAGATCACCTAAAAATGAAAATTCTTTCATTAATTACTCGCTGCTCGATTTATATGGATTCATTTTACAATGTCTTTGGTGGAATGGACTTTCAACCGGGAGACAGAAATCGTACAGATTTCATTAAAAATATCTTCATTTGAGTTTCAAATTAAATGGGTTTTGGAACACCAACACCATGAGGAAAGTAAATGATTTATTGTTCTAAATTATATTTATGCAGTAGTTATTATACATTTACTGTATTCACTTTTTGAGCATGGACCTGAAAATTTCATTTCCAATTTAAACGGAGATAGATCTTTGAGTGCTTTGGAGCAAAACACCAAAACACGTTTTTTGACCAATTTTTTTTTACTATTGTTTTTGCTTTTGAACTAAACACATGAACATATATACATTTCCATGTAACAGGAAACAAGAACAAAAAAACAACAAAAAAAACCCCCACAAAAACAAAAAGACAAAACAAAAATAAAACAAAAACAGCCTCTCAGTATTTTAAATTGCTATTCTATACCTCCTCTTTTCTTAGTCTTTTATTAACACCTTTCCAAGTCTACCACATTTTAAGAATGATCTGAAAGGTCCCTCAAAATATTTATATTTGTCCCTTAAAATATAAGTAATCTTTTCCATTGATATATTTGTTACCATTTCTTTTAGCCAACGTCTTATACTCGGTGCACAAATACTCTTCCAATTTAAAGAAATAAGCCGTTTTGCTTGAAGGATGACCAAAACACGTTTTACTCTAAAACTGTGAGAAAATCAAAACCATAAATCTTAACAAGCTGCGCTCCAAATTTGAGGTTGATATCTAAAAAAAATAGCTTTCAGTAAGATTTTGTTTGGCCGCAGTACCAAAAGTTTCCAGTAGATGAAATTTGTCTCCCATTCATTTCCAATGCGGCCATTTTTGACCGTGAACAATACAAGTGTGACTATTTTTTCAGGACCATTTAACCTTTTCAATCATACAGCAAGTGCCGAAACCTTTACCAAATTTCGTGCCATTCCGATGAAATCAAAATTCTACAAAAAAATAAATATAAAAGTTTTCACTCAAAAATGGCCGGACAGCACCAGTGGGATAAAAGTACATTAAAATGGAAATGCAAAAAAAAAAAAATCACTCTTAATACTGCTGTTTTTCACAGATTGCATCAAAGTTTCCCTTACAAAAAATACTGTTGGGGTACCATAATATAGCATTGTTTTACATGGTAATACCATTTTACTTTAATATTTACCTTGACACTGAATAATTACCATATTTATATACCATGGTATTTACAGTATATGGTACTTCAAAGAATACCAACTGTACTGTGATAGTACATGGGAAAACATAGTACAGTATAATCAAGGGACCATGATCAAAAAACCATTAATACTATGGCACTGTTATTCTAAAATGTCGTCCTCCTCTCAGTTTACTCCCAAACGTACAGTCAAAGGTTGTACAAACAAGTCACAAATGTGTTTGACCAGTTCAAAAACACTATTTATGCATAGCCTAACATTGTTTCAGTCATCACTACTGCAAAATCTCATCTAGTTCGGCTCAGTTGAGTCCTGTTAAAGTCAGATGATTTTCATATATTAGTGCTAAATTGCAGAGCGTTTGATGGGTTGAATAAGAATGTCTGATCGCACATTTGAGCCAGATTAACTTTCCTCTTCCAGTGGTCAGTGCAAATGGTTGCAGCTGGACCGCAGAGTGCTGGAACACGACTTCTCCAAGAAATCAGGGCCTATTGCTCTTCAGTTCCTGGTGAGGTATGTGATCGCTACCTCATGATGTCTTAGGTCACATGACCACATCGACCACAGAATGCAGGACACATTCCTGGACTCAATCACTGTGGTGCCGCTCCAAAGAAGCACCTTGTTTTAGATTTGAAGTGAGGTTTTTGTCTTTTCGCCCTGTTTTATTACTACGAAATTGCGATTAACTGACGGGTTTGCCATTTGCAGGTTTTATATCGAGAGCATTTCACTTCTAAAGGAGCACACGACTGTGGAGCTATTCTTTCTGAATGCCAAGTCTGCCATCTATAACGTGAGTACATTTGTGCCTGTTTACCCCCTGAAGTGATTCACTGTCTCATTTCTCGCCTCCATAAACAATTAAAAAGCCACAGACCTCAGAGCGTTGATATGAGTTATTGCATCCCAAGGCCATGGAAGAAGTATGTGTATCGGTTAGGCTTGTGTGAATCAAGAAAACAGAGCAATTCCTCTAAGATTCTTCCATCATGACCAACATAAGGATTGTTTTGTGTGATTGCAGCATGGGCAACATTTTTGTCACTCTTCGCCATGGCCTGGGTTTCCCTCAACGCTTTATGAGCTTGCGGCAGAATTGTGTCATACAGAGGAAGCATTTCAATTGTATGGAAGCTTGTTTCCGCCACAGAATTAAAAACAAAATAATTGTGACTTTTTATCTCACAAATTAGACTTTTGTTTCATGATATATATTTTTTAGAGATATAAATTGAGAGTCCAAATCGTGAGATCTAAACTCTCTATTGCGAGGAAAAATGTCAGAATTGCGTGTTTATATCTAAATATATAAACAAATGAAGTCAATTCTGACTTTATTTCTCATCATTTCGAGTTAATAACTTGCGTTCAGGAGAAATCAATTCTTAATTGCAAGATATAAACTCACAATTGCGAGAAAAAATCAGAAGTGCGTGTTTATATTTTAATATATCTAAATATATAAATGAAAAAAGTCAGTTCGAACTTTATTTCTCGCAAAGTTTATAAAGTTAAAATTGTGAGATATAAACTCGCAATTGCGAAGTAAAAAGTCAGAATTGTGAGTTTAAATCAGTATATCTCAATATACTGTATATATATATATATATATATATACACTCACCGGCCACTTTATTAGGTACCCCATGCTAGTAACAGGTTGGACCCCCTTTTGCCTTCAGAACTGCCTCAATTCTTCGTGGCATAGATTCAACAAGGTGCTGGAAGCATTCCTCAGGGAGTTTGGTCCATATTGACATGATGGCATCACACAGTTGCCGCAGATTTGTCGGCTGCACATCCATGATGCGAATCTCCCGTTCCACCACATCCCAAAGATGCTCTATTGGGTTGAGATCTGGTGACTGTGGAGGCCATTTTAGTACAGTGAACTCATTGTCATGTTCAAGAAACCAATTTGAAATGATTAGAGCTTTGTGCCATGGTGGAAGTAGCCATCAGAGGATGGGTACATGGTGGCCATAAAGGGATGGACATGGTCAGAAACAATGCTCAGGTAGGCCGTGGCATTTAAACGATGCCCAATTGGCACTAAGGGGCCTAAAGTGTGCCAGGAAAACATCCCCCACACCATTACACCACCACCACCAGCCTGCACAGTGGTAACAAGGCATGATGGATCCATGTTCTCATTCTGTTTACGCCAAATTCTGACTCTACCATCTGAATGTCTCAACAGAAATCGAGACTCATCAGACCAGGCAACATTTTTCCAGTCTTCAACTGTTCAATTTTGGTGAGCTCTTGCAAATTGTAGCCTCTTTTTCCTATTTGTAGTGGAGATGAGTGGTACCCGGTGGAGTCTTCTGCTGTTGTAGCCCATCCGCCTCAAGGTTGTGCGTGTTGTGGCTTCACAAATGCTTTGCTGCATACCTCGGTTGTAACGAGTGGTTATTTCAGTCACTGTTGCCCTTCTATCAGCTCGAACCAGTCTGGCCATTCTCCTCTGACCTCTGGCATCAACAAGGCATTTCCGCCCACAGAACTGCCGCTCACTGGATGTTTTTTCTTTTTCGGACCATTCTCTGTAAACCCTAGAGATGGTTGTGCGTGAAAATCCCAGTAGATTAGCAGTTTCTGAAATACTCAGACCAGCCCTTCTGGCACCAACAATCATGCCACGTTCAAAGTCACTCAAATCACCTTTCTTCCCCATACTGATGCTCGGTTTGAACTGCAGGAGATTGTCTTGACCATGTCTACATGCCTAAATGCACTGAGTTGCCGCCATGTGATTGGCTGCTTAGAAATTAAGTGTTAACGAGCAGTTGGACAGGTGTACCTAATAAAGTGGCCGGTGAGTGCATATATATATATATATATATATAAAAATAAAGTCAATGCTGACTTAATTTCTTACATTTCTTAGCTTATAACTCGCAATAGTGAGGAAATAAAGTCAGAATTGCGAGATATAAACTTGGAATTATCAGAACAAAAGTCAAAATTGCATGTTTATATCTAAATATATAAACAAATCAAGTAAATTCAGACAAATCGTGAGATGTAAACTCGCAATTGACATTGTTTATGTATTAAGATATACAAGCTATATACTTTATAAATTCTGAAAAATGAAGCCAGAATTTACTTTATTTTTTATATATTGAGATATAGCGAGATATATTCTCACTTTTTCCCCACAATTGCGAGATTATAACTTGCAATTCTGAGAAAAAATATCCAAATCGTGAGATGTAAACTTGCAATTGTGGGGAAAAAAGTCAGAGTATATCTCTCCATATCTCAATATAAAAATAAAAAAATTCCGAAAAAGTAAATTCCGACTTTATTTTTCAGAATTTATCAAGTTTATAGCTCGTATATCTTAATATATAAACAACGTCAATTCAGACTTTATTTCTCGCAATTCCGGTTTTATAACTTGCAGTTCTTAGAAATAAAGTCAGAGTTGTGAGATATCGAGTTTGTTGGTGGAAACAAGCTTCCATAGATGTGTGTTGTGTTTGTTGAGTGTTTGTTGTGATTGCTATCAGTGGCAAAAAGAGACAGCAGTTATATGTTCTCACACACACACACACACCTCTCTCAATCTGTTGTTCTTTTCCACAGCTCACGCTCCGTTCCACTGAAATCACAAACATAATGTAAACGTGCGTCTCCAACATACAGCGGCACATTATTTATATTATAATAAACTGTTCTAAGGCAGTTGGTTCAGGGACTATTTCATATACATGACAGACTATTTATTTATGAAAACAGTAACAATTATTTTCCATTATTTGTGTGTAACCTCATTATTATTCATTAGCTAAGCCATTTCGCCAAAACAAATCGATGCCCATGGCAGGAATGTCACATGCATAGTTCAAATACTGTGTGTGCTTCCTCATTACATTAATAAATGGACACAATGAAAATGATTTCGAAGCATTCAGAGCACGTATTTAAAAGTGATTCAGAATGAGTTGTGCTTGTTTGTCCACAGGGTGACATTGAGGTGGAGAGTGAGCTGGTTTTTAAATTAGCTGCTCATGCATTGCAGGTAAAAATACCAGAGCTTTTATATATTATGACATGTTTTTCTGTTTTTAGTCAGTGTTGTGTATTACATGCACATGCTTTACATATTTTGTTTTACAGGAATCTAAAGGAGACTATACAAGGTGTGTAGTTCCACCACACTTATTTAACACAAAGTTCACAAACTTTGAAAAATGTCTTTATTTCCAGGCTTTAATGTCACTTTCTACTGTCAAGTGTTGCGATAAAACTCCGAGCTTTTACCCAGGACTATATGAAGGCACTGCAGGAGGTCTCTGCACTCATATTTATATATAAAATATATATTCTTAAGATTAATTGGTTGCTTCAATAGAGACATTTAAACTAAATCTCTGTCTGTCAGGCAGTGAGGCAGAGATGCAGTGAATCCAAGATATGGGAAAAGACATTAAGGGTTGTTAATTGAGAAACAAGGTCAGCATGAGATTAGAATAATGTAATAATTAAAGGTCCTTGGGTCAGAAAAGTTTTGAAAGTTGGACAAGCTCTGTATTAAAGGAAAAGTCTGTCATGATTCACTCAGAATCACGTCTTTCCAAACCTAAATGACTTTCTTTAGGGGTTATTTAGTGGGATGTTCAAGCTGCTGTTTTAGAAATAGCTTAAACGCATGAATGAAGGTCTAAAAAGCACCATAAAGTAGTCCATGCGATTTGTGTGCTTTATTCAAGAGTTCTGAGGTTATTTGATAGCTTTTTATTTAAGCTGTTATTCTCTTAACTAGAGCAAACTACAGTCAAACCTAACTTTATTCAGACACCTTCAACATTTCTCACATTATCACAGTTTATTCGCTATAGAAAATGGTGATAAAATATGACAATAACTCAGAGTTATGAAGTAAGTTGATATTTGACTGGTGTTGTCCGTCCTTCTGTTAGACTCTCACAGATGAATTATGATGAATATCTGTCAGCTGTTGAATTTAACTACACAATTAGATAATACCAATTTAGCTCAACAAATCACCAAGCAATGCTTCATTGTGTTCAGTCTGTGGTGTAAAAAGGTGCATTAGCAATTAAAGAAAAAACACTTCAGCAAAACATGGTCTGGTCAAAGTGTCTAAATACATTTTTGGTCCCAAATGTTTATAAATTTTACTGTATGCAGAATTTTTGGGTGTACTACGTCACAGTTTACTTTATTTTGCAATCCTCACTTACATAAATGAACTATAGTGTCCTGCACCCACTAGTAAAAACATATCAACAATTATATCTGGTGTCTGAATAATTTTTGATTTGACTGTATATACAAATTGATTTGTTTATTGTCTAATGAATCCTTTTGTGACAAATGATGACAGTCGTCACATCTCTGCACCCTATTACTTGTCCAATAATGATTCAGTGCATCATGCGATTACCATAATGTGTAACATAAAACATGTTAAAAGTTTCAGTTATTGAATCTTGTTGCATGCTGAAAGTGTATTTGTGTTGATTTTAGTGATGAGAACACCAGAGCCGAGCTGAAGAAGCTTCCAGCATTGCCCACCAAAGTACTGAAGGAGCATCCGTCTCTAGCATACTGGTAAAACTGGCTTTTTATTCTTTCTTTCTCTCTTTTTTAAGTGCATTTTTGTCTGATGTTTAAACACTACCACCCTTACAGAAAAAACACATGAATTTCACATGTTATCACATGTTTTCCACATGTGCCCACATGTGACCACATGTGACCACATATGCCCACATGTGACCACATATGAACAACATGTCATCACATGTGAACAATGTTTCACCACATGTGAACAACATGTCACCACATGCAGTAATGTTCGACCACATGTGAACAACATGTCACCACATGCAGTAATGTTCGACCACATGTGAACAACATGTCACCACATGTGAACTTAATGGAACACGTGGCACATGTGGAAAACATGTTATAGGTAATAATGTGGAGCTCATGTGAAATATATTTGCACGTTGTAATAGGTTTTAACATGTGAATTATGTTACCACGTCACAAATACTGTACATTTTTAGCTTCAATAGCCTTTTTCACACAAAATGCATAGAACATAAAGCTTATAATGCATGTGTATATACTAACACTTATATACACGTATAGTTTTTAATGAGTTTTTGCAATACTTTTATTTCAACACTGTTTACCATTTCTAAAGCTATATTGTAAATATATTTTACATAATCAACAGTATATTATATTTGATATAATCAATAGGCTACTGCAAGCACGTTTTCAAATAAAATAAAGTGGATATTAAACTTTTCATTTTAAGTGCTGCATGATTTTGACGTGGTTTAATCAATGCCGTGCGCGTGAACTTTCGAGTATTTCAAACACTGGAGCGGCCGGCGCGCAGAGTTGCCATGGAAACGGCGCGGGACCACTGCTACTGGTAAGCAACAAAACTCCCTCTCTCGATGTTGTTTAAACTTTTCACGGCTTTTTCCAGGTGAGATTAGTCTCTAAAATCACACGAATAATACTCACAACTGTTTTTGACATTTCTCTTACTTGTAATTGACACGATTCTGTTAAAAATTTACATGGTGTAGTGTCTTCGGAAAAAGTCCGTTAGGATCTCAACCGTTTTCTGAAGAGGTAGCAGCTAGCTAGGCTAACGTAATGTTAACTCGGTTGAACTTTTATTTATTAAAGTTTGGGCTTTTAATCACCTCTTATGTGTAGATGAGAGGTTTTGTAAAGGTTTTACTTGGAAGTGAGCTAATTTATTTAACACAAACGTAAACATAACGTATCGGTGATGTTACTTTCAGGAGCAAGAAAATTGGCTGAAACTAACGTTAGCTCAATGGTAACGTTAAACACATTTTGATTAAAAAATGTTCTGTGATTTCAGTAGTAACAAAATAACCCATAACAGAGAGAAAGCTCCACGACTTCAACATTTCTGGAGAAAGCTGCTGCCGGAGAAGTAACGTTAGGACACAGGTGAGCCGAGGAAGCTCATTAAATAACCTCATTTTATTTCTCAATTTGTTTTTTTAAATTGTTTATTTTAAGAAGGTTTTGACATCCAAACGAAGTTACACCGTATGAGCAAAATTAAATGAATAAGTAAACCCAAAAACAAATTCTGTTATCCTAGTTAAGAAATTATATTCTGTATATTCTTTAAATTCTTTCTCTTTTCTGCATTTCACCTCTGCTGTAGCTTCTTTCCTTTCAATAAACCTGGCATTGCATTGTTGGCTCAGTGACAAATGGCTTGTTGTGTTCTTAGATCCTTCAGTGCTGATGCCCTTCAACGGAGCGGAGTGGAGCTGATCTTCATCTCTAAAGCACTATTGATGAACCATATGATTAGTAAGTAAAACGCCAAACATACACTAATGTCAAACATACACTAATTGTCTTGGTACAAATGTTTATGTCTCTTTCTCTTATGTTCACCAAAAAACATTAAAAACAATAATATTGTGAAATAATATAAATAAATAAAAACTGTTTTCTATGTGAATATATTGTAAAATGCAATTACTTCCTATGATCAAAGCTGAATTTTCAGCATCACAGCTTCACATCATCCTTCATAAATTATTCTAATATGACGATTTGATGCTCAAAAAAACATTTATGATTATTATCAGTGTTGAAAACAGTTGTGCTGCTTCATATTTTTGTGTTTTTCAGGATTATTTGATGAATAGAAAGGTTAAAATAACAGCATTTATTTGAAACAGAAATCCTTACTCTCTCTTTTGATCAATTTAATGCATCCTTGCTGAGTAAAAATATGAATTTCTTCTTTTTTTTCTGTTCATTTTTAAATCTATCATTGACCCCAAATGTTTGAACATTAGTGTAAACTACCCTTCATATGTTTGTGGTCTATTTAACAATGAATCCTGGAGGGGAAAAAATGGTTTAAACTGTTACAATGGTTTACACAAACACATTAATCAGCACAACTGTTTTCAACATTGATAATAATCAGAAATGTTTTGGATGTTTACATGGTAAGAATGTATAGAATTCAAATATAAAAAACACTGACTCGTTAGGTCATGTTTACTCATTAAAGTCAGATGATTTCCTATTAATTCAATAGAATATGGTGACTTCAATTTACATGACGTCATGAGCAATCAAGTCATTTATATAGATCAGTGAGTAGTGCCCAGCATATCCAAGTCCACTAAAGGAGATTTCTCGCATTTTACCCCTAAACTCTGGAATATGAAGGTAAAAGAGTATCAAGACTCGAGCATGAACAATAAATACTTGTATGCTAAAATTTACACTCACAGCTCCAAAGTGAAAACCTCACCTAATATGCAATAACGTTGAAAAGATCACGGTTTCTGTCCTGACGAAAATGTTCTATTTTTTATTTTATTTTTTGCTTTGCAGAACAAGTCTGTGACTGACTTAATGAACCCAGTTGCTTTGGATCATGCTCAAAGATGTAAGGGCTACAAAAAGTTAACCAGAACTCTTATGGACTCCATCTTCTCTTTCGAAGAGATGGCAGCATGAACGGAAAAAAAGGGGTTGTTGGTGAAAAAAGAGCCTTGACCTACAAAAGGTGCAGCTAATAATTGGTAAGCATGTCTGAATATCTTTTATCAATAGTTATTATATATGACAAGCGCTGAGCGCGTCCGTCAGCGCCAGCCATAGCGCGGAAAGCACAGTTTGAATCTGACAGTTATGTCACTTCATGTCAAACTTGTTTTCAAATTTTAATGTAATCAATCTCATTTCTTACAGACCATGTCAAAAAGAGGCACCCAGGCATCGGAGGCACTGAGATCAAGGTCTGCATGGCACAAAAGTTAAAAGATCTGAGGAGACGAGCAGAAAGGTAATATTCAGACGATCCAACATCCAAGTGTGATCCCCATGTGGTCTGTTCACATTTGCGAAACCGACATGCGCGAGGACTGATGACTCAGTTTATTCCTCAGTCTACATTGTGATCTAATCACAAACTGTCAATAGTTTTTTTTATAAATGAGACGCACCACTCGTCTTATACAGTTGTTTAAGCAAGATGTATTTCCATAGCATATTTACGTAAAACGTTTAATGACATAATAACATTACAAATGAATAATAATTAATTATTAAGCCCCATAAAAATGCTTTTCAGAAACCTACGGGGTGACGTCACGGACACTACGTCCATATTTTTTTTTACAGTCTATGGTTTGCACTGCCCTAATCTTTGATCTTTTTCTATCCCAAAACAGGATGCCTGCTGCAGGAGACACAAAGGACTGAGACAACACACTTTCACAAACGCACACCACACACACACACATGCGCGTATACCTGCGTTTTTTGCGGCTTTTTATGTATAATTTTAATTTGGTTTTGCTTTGTTTGTTTTAAACATTCAATTTGTATTGCATATTTTGAAATGAAATAAAAAGTGAAAAAAAATTTTTTTTGAATTATTTGTTTTAATGTTGGGAAACATTAGGCTATAGAGCCTACACAAGAACATGGTAGGCCTACCGTTTTCTGTGGTATATTGCTTAATGATTTTTACATGGATTTCACATGAAGTTACAGGTTTACATGGTGTGTAGCTTTAACATGGATTGTTGATGGGTTTCAAATGTCATTCTATGGGTTTCACATGAGATATTTTACATTTCACATGATATCTCATGGGTTTCACATGTGATTAAATGTTTCACATGGGAATTTTACGTTTCACATGTAAGCTCATGGATTTCACATGGGAATTTTGGGTTTCACATGCAATCCCATGGGTTTCACATGTAATCACATGGGTTTCACATGCAATCACATGGGTTTCACATGCAATCCCATGGGTTTCACATGTAATTACATGGGTTTCACATGCAATCACATGGGTTTCACATGGGTTTCACATCCCATGGGTTTCACATGTAATCACATGGGTTTCACATGCAATCCCATGGGTTTCACATGTAATCACATGGGTTTCACATGCAATCCCATGGGTTTCACATGGGAATATACATGGGTTTCACATGAAAATGTTCCAAAACCACACGTTTCCCATGTGCAAATTACCTTTAACATGTGCAAAGCACATGTGTTCCACATATTTCACATGTTAAATTTCACATGTGCAAAATCACATGTCCACGTTGTCACATGGGATCACATGTGTTTTTGCACATGTGAAACTCATGTGGTTTTTCTGTAAGGGCAGTGCTGATGTGTCATTTAAGGTAGCGGCACAGACAGCCATGAGATTTACAGTCAGAGCAGACGAGTCCGTGATGCTGAAGCTGCATTTATAGCCGTTATGGCTGATGATGTGTGCTGTGCTGTCTTTATGCTGGGGTTTGGGGGAGGGTTGCCTCATCTCATGGGTGGGGAATATATCCTCCGTGGAGCAGATTTCATCATCCTTCTCTTTTGCAGCGAGGAGCGTGTGATTGAGCACTACAAGCTGTTGAAAGGGCTCTCCAGAGGGCAGGCCATTGTGCAGTGAGTATCGGGAAAACAATGATTGGCCTCGGGGGGGCAGGTCATCGGAGGCGGCGTGATTTATGATTGGCTGCTTAAATCCTTCACGCCCACACCTCAGGCCTGCTGTGTGCTGATAGATCCTGAAGATGCTGTTAAACATCAATCTTGACTACATTACCTTTGTTTTAGGTATTTGACCCTGGTGGAGTCGCTGCCCACATATGGAGTGCATTATTATGAAGTAAAGGTAAAAACTATATGCATAAAGATTAGAACAATTCCCGTACTCTTTAATTCATGGGTTATAGTGTCAAAACTGATAAAAAAAACTATTTACAGGTTTATATTTTATATATATATATATATATATACACTCACCTAAAGGATTATTAGGAACGCCATACTAATACTGTGTTTGACCCCCTTTCGCCTTCAGAACTGCCTTAATTCTACGTGGCATTGATTCAACAAGGTGCTGAAAGCATTCTTTAGAAATGTTGGCCCATATTGATAGGATAGCATCTTGCAGTTGATGGAGATTTGTGGGAAGCACATCCAGGGCACGAAGCTCCCGTTCCACCACATCCCAAAGATGCTCTATTGGGTTGAGATCTGGTGACTGTGGGGGCCATTTTAGTACAGTGAACTCATTGTCATGTTCAAGAAACCAATTTGAAATGATTCGAGCTTTGTGACATGGTGCATTATCCTGCTGGAAGTAGCCATCAGAGGATGGGTACATGGTGGCCATAAAGGGATGGACATGGTCAGAAACAATGCTCAGGTAGGCCGTGGCATTTAAACGATGCCCAATTGGCACTAAGGGGCCTAAAGTGTGCCAAGAAAACATCCCCCACACCATTACACCACCACCACCAGCCTGCACAGTGGTAACAAGGCATGATGGATCCATGTTCTCATTCTGTTTACGCCAAATTCTGACTCTACCATCTGAATGTCTCAACAGAAATCGAGACTCATCAGACCAGGCAACATTTTTCCAGTCTTCAACTGTCCAATTTTGGTGAGCTCTTGCAAATTGTAGCCTCTTTTTCCTATTTGTAGTGGAGATGAGTGGTAGCCGGTGGGGTCTTCTGCTGTTGTAGCCCATCCGCCTCAAGGTTGTGCGTGTTGTGGCTTCACAAATGCTTTGCTGCATACCTCGGTTGTAACGGGTGGTTATTTCAGTCAAAGTTGCTCTTCTATCAGCTTGAATCAGTCGGCCCATTCTCCTCTGACCTCTAGCATCAACAAGGCATTTTCGCCCACAGGACTGCCGCATACTGGATGTTTTTCCCTTTTCACACTATTCTTTGTAAACCCTAGAAATGGTTGTGCGTGAAAATCCCAGTAACTGAGCAGATTGTGAAATACTCAGACCGGCCCGTCTGGCACCAACAACCACGCCACGCTCAAAATTGCTTAATTCTGACATTCAGTTTGGAGTTCAGGAGATTGTCTTGACCAGCACCACACCCATAAATGCATTGAAGCAACTGCCATGTGATTGGTTGATTAGATAATTGCATTAATGAGAAATTGAACAGGTGTTCCTAATAATCCTTTAGGTGAGTATATATATATATATATATATATATATATATATATATATATATATATTATACTATATTATATATTATATACTGGATATATTACAATTAATTGATTATCAATACAATTAATGTTATGGCTGTTACTAAATAAAATAATTTTCAAAATATAAACCTGTAAATACAAGATATCAGAACACAATAAAAATTCAGAATACATTTAATTTGATGTAATTGGATGGTATTCAGCTCTGTACTGCCTACTGTAAATAGACATCAAACAATATTGAATTATGCCCCGGACCAAGTGTATGGAAATGTGTGATAGCCTATAGAGTGGTGCAGGTTTGACATCAGAACCTGGAGAAATAATTCGCCGCTGGTTCCTTCGAGATTTTCCTATGGGGTTTTATGGTGGGGTTTGCCAAGTTATGTGTAAATTAAAGCCTTTGGTAAACAAACTTGACAATACTTATAAACTGCACACACCCATGCAGAAAAAGTGAATTTTGACGCAGATATGTTCATTTTTGAAAACGCATTAGCATCTTTCTAATAAGTTACTAGATAAGAACGGTTTCCGACTGTGTTTAATATCTTAGGCATTTTTTGTTACTTTTGGTGGCATTTTGCTCCAAGTCATGGATCATACTTTTTTTTTTTTTTTGTGGTGTGAGTAAAACATTTTAGTGTAAATTTATAAACATTTCCGTATTTAATAATATTAATATTTATTAATATATTTATTCATTTAATAAAAGAAGATCTCTGAAAGGCATCGGTCTTGTGTAACTAATGGAAAGTTGTTTCTCGTCTCCTAGGATAAGCAAGGCATGCCGTGGTGGCTGGGCATCAGCTATAAAGGCATTGGACAGTATGACCAACAGGATAAAGTAAAACCCCGAAAGGTATGTTGTGTTTTCCTGCCTCTGGGCATTGGAGAAATATGTGTTATCTAAATATAATCCTGAGTCATTGCACAGAGCTGAATATCCTGTCAAATCAGGCTTTGATTTCCCCAGATGTGACTCATAGCATGTCGGCACTTGCGTTCATATTTTATATGCACTCGAGACCACTATGATGATATGGAAAAGAGGTGTTACATTCAACACACACAGTCTATACAGGACGTCTGCTTGTGTTACGCAACAGAGAACTGCTGATGAAACACACAGGTAGTAAAGCCCAACTTGTACCTGCGTGTGTGCGTGTGTGTGTGTGTGTGGTGCTTGATTTAGTCGGGTAATATACAAAATTAGAGAACAACAGGACGTTATCGGATAGAGATTATGGCACACTGATGATTTTAATGTCAGGTGGTTCAGAAACAATAGAGAGCAGGATCCAAATGCAGTTAGATATCAATTTTTAACTAAATATATCTAAATCATAATCCATGTAACACCCAGAGGGATACAAACTAGTGATGTTCGGTTCTTCAACAATCATTCTTTTGAGCCGGTTCATAGGAAGTAACCGGTTGAACTGAATCGAACTTTAGTTGCGGGTTGATGACGCAAGACGAACAAGCCAAAGTAGTACGTCCGACTCAAAAAGAACCGAATTTGGTTCAACCAACTGTCAAAACTGTGCCGAGGATTATCGAGTTATCGATGAGTGAGTTGGCAAAACTATGCAAGCCTGAAGCACGTACTAGAAATATGCTTATTATGACTACTGTTATTAAAAAACATCTTATTTAAACCTGCAAAAACCTTTCTGCCGAGAGATGTCAATAAATTGTACTATAGTATATTGTGCATTCAGATTATATTTTAAGTTGTTAAGCGAAATCAAGGAGTTTAGAAGACTGGTTTATTCTTTCTAGGCTATATACCGTATCTAGAACATATCCGCGTTTATGCATGTCTGTGAGATGTGCTGTCGGAGCCAAACTTTTAGGAATCTTATCCAAGATGTAGGCTACTAAACGTATCCGACATAAAAGATCCACGAATTAAAGCTGCAGTCGGCAAGTCTGGCAGATTGAGTGGATTTAGGAAAATTTTGAATGTTTACAACTCTCATGCCCCTCCCCCACTTTAAACGGATACCCTCCCACTGAGTTCGTGCTCGTCAGTGCGTGTGCACCAGGTTATCTGTGAACGCGCCCGTCTCATCCGCATCCATCAACACCATGGAGTATTTGGAGGTATGCTGTCCTGGCTAATCTACCGATAGATTGCAATTGCTAACGTCATTTATACTCTATGAGCTTACTTGATTTGTTAGTGTTCCACCATCACTCTTCGTTACTGCACAAACTTCAGGCGTGTGCATGTGATTGTAACGTGCACGAGGGGTGGCGTGTGCCCGATCTGTGATTGACAGTCAGATCTCACACCCCCCTGCGCTGATTGGACCCGATGATCCGGGAGCTGTGGATTTTTGCAAAACAAATAACACGCTCCAGGTGGAGTTAGAAGCTCGGGTTTTTTCTAAAACCACTTTATTTATGTTGTTCTGTCAGATTATAGTGTCGATTTCACTGAATATGATCAAAAAAAAATTGCCGACGGCAGCTTTAAACTGTGACCACAAATAGCCGACCATTAACTTAATAATCTGCGATATGCGTTCACACATATAACTTTTTATTTCAATGTTTCAATATGCATTGACACAAATGACTTTATTTGAATGTTTTTTTGATAAAACATGGCACTGAGTTGTTAGAAAATAAATGCATCGTGTCATAATTACTTAATGACGTAAGGAGCTGATGAAACGGGTTTTGAACCGGTTCATTGAAACAAACTGCTTAGTTTAGTTTAGTTTAGTTTAGTTTATTAGAAAGAAAGAACTTTTACTGTCTGAAAGAACCGGTCCATGGAAATGAATCGGACTTGACATCACTAATACAAACAATGGCAGAGTCCAAGACACAGAGAAACCGGAAAACGGGAAGGAGATCAAGACCATAAACCATGACAAGGGAAACAAGAGAGAGCGCTTAGAAATGCAGTGTGACACTATCAAGCCTTCGCAAAGAGAGGGAGAGAAAACACAGGGCTTATATACACCGATGTTAATAAGCTAATGACACACAGGTGGATGTAATCACTCAATAATGAGTGTGGCAGGTGGTGACTGGCAGGCGTGGCAATTACATACTGAGTTATATCACACACACACATGACATTATGAATTGAACAATTGGTTTAGTAATCTCAAATCTGGTTAGAACAGGTGGAGCCGTGACCCAGCCTTAGTGAGAGTCCTCCACCCTGAGCTGTAGATCAGTTTAACTCCTGAGTCCCAGCAGGGAGGAGAGCCGATGCGAGCCGGAGACGCTTCAGTCCCGTGAGGCGCTGCTCTGGCATCTGAGTGATGTCATGAGCAAGGCTGGGCCGAGACCGCATGCCTGAAGCTTCTGTAGGAAACCTGATGAGACAAGTCCGGCTCGGCGAGTAAAGACAGCTTCAGCAGAGTAGACGGTAACATAATGAAGAGGCTCAGGATTTGATTAACATCATTTAACCTTCCGAAGCACCCGGTAAGAGGCTCTAAAAGCTGGATAATTCAATTTCACACGTGAAGTCTTGAGAGTTAAAACTAGAGAATGTTCTTGTCGGAAACCTGCAGACTCCTTCGCTGAAATGTTGTGATGACGTATAGCACTGTCTGTGTGTTAACTGTATGTTTTTTCCTTCAGCAACCATACGCCTACTGCTTTTAATGATAGAACAACCATAAAAAATGTTGGGTTATTGTCTGCAGGGTTAAAATACACTTAGCATTCAAAGGTTTGGGGTCAGTGTGATTTTTTTTATTATTTTTTTTTTATTATTATTATTATTTTTTTAAAGAAATGATTACGATTATCAAATGTAACTAAAGACATTTATACTGTAACAAAATATTTTAATTTCAAATAAATGCTGTTTACTGTTTCCACAAAAATATGAAGCAGCTCAGCTGTTTTCAACTTTGATAATAATCAGAAATGTTTCTTGAGCATCAAATTAGCATATTAGCAAGACTGGAGTAATGATGTTGAAAATTCAGCTTTGATCACAGGAATACATTACATTTTAATCTATATACACATAGGAAACAGTTATTTTAAATTGTAATGATATGTCACAATATTACTGTTTTTACTCAAATACATTTTTTGATCAAATAAATGCAGCCGTGATGATTTGCGGACTTCTTTCTTAAACACTACAAAATATGACCGAACCCCAATATTTGAACGGCAGTGTATTTGTACTTCATATGATGGAGTCAACTTGAGTGTGAATCTAGTTTTAATAATAGTTTAATAATAGTGTAATATTTCACGGTTCTGTCATTGTTTACTCGCCGCCTTCTCATTCCTGTACTTATTCCATGGAAGAAACAATCTGGTTTTTTAAAGATTCTGCATGCAGTTCATAGTGACCATGTCTGTTTAATCAATTACTGATAATGTTGAAGAATTCAAGCTTCATATTCTTTAACATAAAATCATAACTGAAAGGAACAGACTATAAATGGAGGAATGCTCTGGTTGAGTTGTGAGTCATTTTCCAGTGAGGTGTATCGCTGAGAGAAGCCGTCTACTGGAGCCCAGTCACACTCTCACGTGTTGTTTTCTCCCGCATTAGCTCTTCCAGTGGAAGCAGTTGGAGAACTTGTACTTCAGAGAGAAGAAGTTCGCTGTGGAGGTGAACGACCCTCACAGGTGAGTTTTGGAGACTGATCTTGGATCAGAGAGCTGGTTTCAACCTTATACACACTACCGTTTAAATGTTTTCCAAATGAATAATGCTTCTTAATGTGATCACGTTGGTATTATTATGAGCTTATAAACGGTTAGCAACTGTTTATTAAAAATGTGCCTTGGCATGCATTGAGTTAGCTGCTATTTTCTGCAGAGAGTGAGTGTTCTGCAGTTTCCTCTGTGAGTGTATATAGTGATCATGCTGTGTGTGTGTGTGTGTGTGTGTGTGTGTGTGGTGTGGGTCTATCTGCTTGTAGGCGAACGGTGACTAAGCGGACTTTCGGCCAGACGGGGCTTGTGATCCACACTTGGTATGCCAGTCACTCATTGATCAAAACCATCTGGGTCATGGCCATCAGCCAACACCAGTTCTACCTGAACAGAAAACAGAGCAAAGTAAGTCACCGTACACACACACGACTGTGGATTGCTCATAGTACAGTAGGTTCACACAGATTGATGAGATTCAACGCACCCAAATGCAAAACGTTACAGCAGGTGTTACACCATTCCTGAATAATGAATTTCCTAGTCTTATAATAGTCGCTCTACACCAACTGTCTTGTTAATTCACAGCAGAGATGAGTGTGTGTTCGGTGCGTGCGTGAGTGTGTTTATTTGATTCTCAAGAGAAGTCAGGTTATCCCTGTATGTGTTTCTGTTGATATGAAAAATGATGAACTATATGCCTTTCACCATTCTGAAACATCGACTTGTAGACGTTTCGCTCTTCCTCTTCTTCTTCTAAATCATTTTCTTCTTCAAACTAGTACACTTGCCATTGTGCAGCGTTTACTACAGTAAAGTTGACCGAGTGGATCTCTGAGCTGGTGTGAGTGGAGGCGGGGCTCATCTGCATATTCATGAATCCGCATATACTTAATGAAGTTATATTCAAGCTAGTTTAAGACATGAAGAAATAAAAAAAAACTTTTAAATATGTGATCAAAGATGAGTTTTAAGGGATACAATTATTGGCTACAGGGGAACTTCTTTCTATTAACGTTACTGGAAGAATGTAAAACTTTGAGAGAACCTTGCCGGAACGTTCCCTGTCAGCTGGGAACCCATAAAGAGCATACTTGGTTTATTTATATATATATATTTCAATATCCTATTTCCTTTATATATTATTTAACAGGCAAAAATCACCGCAGCCCGCAGTTTAGGAGACATCGCGACCGACCTGACAGAGAACGGAGCATCAAAGATGAACAAACTGAGTGCAGCGGTGAAAAATCAGCTCATCATGGCCAGCAACGGGAGTCTGGTCTCGACAGGTACGTGAGCTCTCGCCGTACCCTCGAGTCAGAACTGCTCCTTTACAAACCTCTGTTTATCCACACATCCACAGATGTCTGTTCACTGGCTTCGCCGTTAATGAGCCGCTCGCCTCGGATGGCTTCTTTTCCTCATATTTGTGTCGCTTCTTCTCAAGACTCGTCGTAGATGTAGTGAAATATCATTGAAGTTCATGCGCTTTAAACAGTCTTGACGTGATGTTTTCTTTTATGACCTGCCATTATGAACGCGTTCATTATTTGATGCCTTATTTCACAGGTTCGGCTGACTCCGAAATGAACGACGACCAGAAAAAAGAGAAACTTGCAGAGTTGAGAAAGAAAGAGAGAGAGATCCAGGATATACTTGGCCAGAAACTGACGGAGCTGAAGGAAATTTGCCTGCGAGAGGCTGTAAGAGCCAGCAACAGTATTTCTTTGTAATCACACTGAAAAACACCCAGTCTAATAAATAAATAAATAGTCCATATACTATGTACTGTTATCGATATATTCAGTGTTGGCGTTGCTTATTAGAAAAAGTAACTTTTGTAGTAAATTTAAAAGTAATGCGTTACTTTACTAGTTACTTGAAAAAGTAATCTGATTACTTGTGCATTACCCTCAACACTGGTTATATTGCATTTGCACAACAGTTCAATAAACAAGAAGTTAATATTTAGTAGATTCCATTTTAGACTAAATTTGACCAGTTTGTTTGTATATTTTGTTTTCCACCAATGAAACAGTGATCTATTCATTCTATATGTTTGTATCATGACCGGCTTTTTTAGTGTGACTGGCTGACTATATATCATCCCTAATATATTATTTTAGAGAAAATCATTCATTTTGATGATGTTCTGAGTCTGTCAAAAAACATGTTTGGTTAGTATTTCACCCCAAAATTATATAAATACCGATAATAAGATTTTTTTTTTTGTTGTAAGAAATTCATACTTTTATCCAGCAAGGATGCATTAAATTGATCAACAGTGACCGTACAGAAATATTTCCATTTCAAATAAATGCTGTTCTTTTGAACTTTCTATTCATCATATAAAAATGTATCACAGTTTCCACAAAAATATGAATCAGCACAACTGTTTTCAACATTCATAACAATCATAAATGTTTCATAAGAATCAGATCATCCTATTAGAGTGATTTCTGAAGGATCATGTGACACTGAAGACTGGAGTAATGATGCTGAAAATCCAGCTTTGATCACATGCATAAATTACATTTTACAATATATTACAACAGAAAACATCTATTTTAAATTGTAATAATATTTCACAATATTACGGTTTTTACTGGGGGTTTTTTTTCTTACCAACCCCAATTTTTTACAGTAATGAGAATGAGATTTTTGGGCATTGCTGTAATGTGACGGGGGAAATCATTTTGGTTTTAAAATTGGTTCTATTGTCTTTAAATAAAATATGATGTGTTATATTAAAATGTTGGGGTCAAATATGACCCACACATGTTCTTTGTGACTTTTGGCTGTTTACAGTATGTTTGATCTGTTTTTTTCAGCAACTCACTGGCAAACTCCCAAAAGAGTATCCCATCATCAAAGGCGAAACCCCTCCTCATGTTCGGAGGAGAGTCGGGACGGCTTTCAAATTGGATGACCTTTTCCCATATAATGAGGTTAGTGTGAAACATTGCCACACACAACAATGTTGCCAAGTAGAGGACTGAATAAAATATTAGACACTGGGGGTTTGGCTCTATTGCTCGGAGGCTGTCCTGAGCTGGCCAAATGCCAACACGCCGTTTCATCTGAAATGACTGAACTTAAAGCATTTGTCTATTATAACCTGCAAGATTTTAGCTGCCAAATAACTCCAGCGTGTGGCCTTGTATTGGGGCTCAAACTTGGGAAACAGCCACTTGTTTTGGACAAAGAATTCTGTTTATTGATTGTTCAAGTTCAAGTTCAAGACCTTTATTTGTCCCCGAGGGGCGATTAGTTTTGCTGCAGTAGCCAAATAAATTAACATGCAGTACATGACAACATCAAACATCAATTCAAATACAGGATCAGACAGATAAAAAAAAAAAAAAAAAAAAAAAAATTGGTGGTTTCAACCACAGGTTCTGATCGGGAACAAACCCAGGATGTGTTTGTTTTGGATTGTGGCCTAAGAGATCGTGAAACGTGAAATGTCTTGTATTAGCATTGAGACCATCTACATGCTAGTATACTTGTAAAAGTTCACAAAACAAACATACATTTGCATTTCGGAAAACCGACTACAAATATTGGTGACTCATCTCACTCGTACTGACAGGCGTATTTACATTTCTGGACAGATTTATGAATGCAAATTAAACTACATCTCAGTTTTCTGTTGATTGACAATCCTTCCGCCCAGGATCCATACCTCAGAAATTTGGAGAGCCGCTTTGCACTGCAGCAGAAAATCGTGGAAGCGGCAAAGAAGCTCGCTGCCGATCCTGACATCTCTAAATTAGTGAGGAAAAAAAGGAGGAGGAACTGTCTGGACGCCATGCAGAAACTGCAGGAGATTGAAGATGAAATGAACCAGTACAGACTGAAGAAAGGACAGAAACCCACACAGAGAGCTTCTGTGATCATAGCCGGTAAGACAGAAGTGGCTCATCGCTGGGCAAGGACACACCGCCATGCTTAAAACTTTAAAAAAAAAATCCTCACATGCCTCAAAAACCTTTAGACCTGATCTTTAGTCGTATCATTAATGTCATATCTTTATTTAGAATGCTTTCAACACTTTATCCTTTGCCAAAAAGAAGCGTGCTTAATTTTCTTAAATGCGCACTTGTAGTGTGTTCCAATATTAAAAGTATATTTTTAAGTAACTGTACTTGCAGATAATATTAAAATCTAAAAGGCCACTTAAGCATAATACAAATACAAATACACTTTATGCATTTAATCTCACTTTATTTAACAGTGTATTTGCTGCTGACCTTTGATGGTCCAATTCAACCATACTAAAAGTTACTTTAGATAAACATCACATTTGTGTTCAGTTTTTGTTTTTATTGCTGAAGTAAGAGCCCAGCCCAGGTGAGAAAAAGTAACGCAAAAGTAATGTAATGCATTACTTTCCATAAATAGCAATTAAGTTACGCAATTAGTTCCTTTTTTGTTGAGTAATGCAATATTGTAACAAATTGAAAGTAACTTTTAAAAGTAACTTTCCCCAACACTGTTCTTAATACACTTTAATGTAAAAATAAACATTTTAGTTTGAAGTGCATTTTAAATTATTGTTTTAATTTTTTGTTGTGCTTTAAAGAAATACACTTAGTTTGTAGCATAACTTACATTTAAAGTTTATGTATTTTAAATAAACTAAACTGCAACTTGTAATGTGCAATAACAAACATATTTAAATACATGACATATGAGTTTCAATAGAAATTACGTTATATTTTATTTGACCATAAATGCTTATCAGTGCATTCGGCAGTACACTTTAACCATATTTCAAACACAATAGAAGTAATTGTGAAATTACATATGAAGATTTACTTACAGTTATAGTAATAACTATAAATTATGCATAATTACATGCAACTAACCCCAAACCAAACCCTAATCCTACCCTATAGTAAGTAGATGTAGTTAATTAATGTACTTATATGCATACAGTAATACACTGTAACAAAGACACCTTAAAATAAAGTGGAACATTACTTTAAGGTGCCCTTGTTACACTGTAATTATACATTTAAGTACTGATTAATATTAAGAAACTACATGAGTGCTCCTTTTAAAACTATTCTAAAGTGTACTTCATTGATGGTAAAGATATGTTGACCTGTCCTGCCGTATAAAACAAGCTGAAGTGGTTTGTGGACTGATCAAATGCTCATGAATTTAGTCCATCTGAAGGAAGCCATTACAGCAAGAGAATCTAAAAGATACACACGAACAGAAATAAAGCAAAAAGAGACTATAAAACAAAGTACCACTGCAATTTTACAGTGACTACGAATGTAGCTCATGCAATAATATTTCATATATCACATATACAGGTGAAACTCAAATTTGAATATCGTGCAAAAGTTCATTTATGAGCTTATGAAAACCCCAAATTCAAAATTGGAATATTGTGAAAAGGTTTTCATAGCTGTAAGCCATAATCATCAAAATTATAACAAATAAAGGCTTGAAATATCATGTAGTGTTTCATTAACATACCATCACTTCTCTTTCTTCCATAGATGAAATGGCTCAGTCTGAGTGCAGCTCCCTGTGTGATAGTCTTCCTCTAGATGACGGTAATGACATCAATTATGAAACCACTATCAGCTCTCTGATTATGTAATTAAGACACAACTCACTATCTCACTGCCAGTGCTTCTTCCTCAGCATTGTTCCCTACTGTACACTGAGTCATGCACATTAATACTCTTAAAAGATCATTTATCATGCACAACCAACAATGAATTTGCATAATATTATTCGAACCGGATGCAACCAAAAGCAGAGAAGCACAGCAGTCAAAAGCCATGTTTGTGTCTTCAGAAGATGACAGCCAGCGGCCGCGATCTCGCTCCGTCCAGTGTTCCCCGTGTCTCAGTCCTCCTCTGTCATCGTCCGGCCTGGAGTACGACCCCGAGAGACGATCCTCAGCCAGCGACAGACCTCTTAACAGGTGTGAATACTCACGGTACCTAATGGTCTACTGGGCTGGATCACAAAAAAAAACCTCAAGAAAGTTATTGCTCCAAAAAAGACATAAAAGCACCATGCTTAAGTATTTATAACTCCCATAATATTTTCCAAGTCTCCTGAGAAAGCTTTGTGTGACATCAAACCTAGCATATAAAACATCAGAAAAAAATACGTTTCGTTGTCCTCATGCAAAAACATTATTTCTTATTTTTTTGTCTTTTGATTTTGGGGTGAAAGATTAGCCAGACATGTTCTCTTTCATCAGTAATATTCCTCTGTCTGTTTGAATTCAGATTAGATCATGAGGTCCAAGTGCCAGGACATTATTACACCCCCCGAGAGGTGTTCTCTGCCCAAAGCAGTCCGTGTAAAACTTTACCCAGAATGCTGAGGAACCCCCGCAGCTTACCGCAAACCCCCGTCATGCCCCGTAACGCCTACAGCAGCAGCCAACTCAGGCAAGTTGACTACTTAAAATTTCTTTATAAATGTACATTTCTTTGTAAATTGGTCTGGTGGTTTTTTTTATGTTTCTGATGCAAGTAGTTTATTCAGTGCACTCCCTTTCACCAAAACAAACAAGACATGTTTATCCTCGTCCTGTAGGTTGGACGGTCACATCCGTGGTTTCCGACACCGCAGCGGTAGTTTGGAGTCTCAGTCACAACTTCTCCACTCTCCCTGCGCAAACAAGGCGGTGTTCCCGCTGTCTCCTTCACGGCGTAGCAACAGCACTGAGGTGTTGGATGACTGCTCGTCCTATACCAGCATGTCCAGCATGGACTACTGCCTCCCCTGCTCGGCCACTCCTCCCTACCGCACACTGGACTCACAATCCCACGACTACCGGCTCCACCGCAAAGTGGAGATCTACGGCAATACGGGCAGCATGCCCAACTTGGTCCCTCAGAACTCCAGCTGTTATGGCCACCAGCAGAATCACTACGGACCGACTGCCAACTACGTGACTGGATATCCCGGCTTCGAATATGAGCCTTGTTCTAACGGAGCTTACGTTTACGAGAGCGAACTCGAGGGGCACTATAACATCAACCCCACTTATCCAGCACATGGTTACCAGGGCCGTGGTCGCCACAGGCATTATGGAATAGAGGGATCGGATAATTTGTCACAGAATCCATATGCAACTGTTAGGCCCCCTAGAGGAAGGCAGGGACCCTTGAATGAGGTGTTGACGAAGAACATGTACAAGGCTTTGGTGGCAGAGCATTTGAAGGGATGGTACAATCGCAGCGCTGGGCACAAGGACCCAGGTCCCTATCAGCTGGTGTACACCTACAAATATGACCGAGGTTCCCAGCACAGCCTAGGCTACCAGACTCTGCCCGCACCCTTCAGCCACTCCAGCCGAACCAACTCGTTCTCCTCAGGTGAGTGCAGTTCCTCAAACAACACAATGTAGACTAGGTGTTCTCAACTCTACAGGAAAGTGGACCTTGAAGGCCAGAGTTTAGCTCCAACCTCGATAAAACTTACTTGCCTCTTAGGCCCTGGCTGTGTTCGAAATCGCCCCTATGCCTTCATTCACTATTCCCTACATTACTCCACTACTTCTGCAATCTCAGCAAAAGTGCACATCGAGGGCATATATTGGCCGCAAAGGGGGCACTCGTGAGCACCCATCTGAAACCTAAAATGACAAATGGGACACTCTACGGTCTTGTGGGGTGACTTAACGGACATGCGCACGCGGCAGCCATTGCAAGTCCACAAGACCGCAAGTGTATATGAAGTGTGCTATTTAGAAAAGGGCTGAACTGTCTAGTAATATTGAAGACCTTGATTAGCTTGTTCAGGTGAGTTTGATCTAGGTTGAAGCTAAACTATGCAGGAAAGTGGATCTCGAGGACCAGAGTTTAGCTCCAACCTTGATCAAACTCACCTGCCTCTAACTTTCTAGTAGTCTTGAAGACCTGGGGCACGTTCAAGTTCAAAACGGTGTGCAACGTTTTGCTACGGTTTCCGGGTTGAACGTCATGTTTCCAGGAAACGGCGTGCACCGGTGTGCAACGGGGTTTGAGATGCGTTTTCTCTTGTTTGGTGGGTGTGTCAGAACTGCAGTCCAATCGGCAGCAACATGTGTATAAAGCACGCGGTATTAAAGTGAACTCGCACAATGGGTTCAAGGAAAGTCATTTACAAATGTGTTTGATGCAGCTCGGTATACGCAACAACTGAGGATATTAGAAGACATGTTCGTCGTAAGTTTCATTGTAAAAATATAGGATATCAACATAATGATGTAGTTGTTTATATTTTTAGCTTCATTGCAAGTGTATGACATTTGGTATAGAAATAAAGTGATTTTCCAAAAAAAAAAAAAGAAGAAAATACAGGGAATTAAAACAGTATGAACTACAAATAAAGTCAGTATGTGAGGCTAAATAGATGTGCTTCAGTCTGGATTAGGTAAGATGTGTGCTTCCATTTCAGTTTCCACAAATCCCTTCACTCGACTGGGATGTTCTCTTGTGTTCTGGGCGGCAAGTGCAGTAACTGGAACATCGGGCATATTTTGTAGGATTAAACACATATTTATACCGACTTCATCAGGCTCAGAAAAATCTTCACAAAGAACACAAAGAATGGCCTTCTCAGCTGCCATAGTTGCAACTCTTGTGTCACCGTTTCTGTTTAAAAAACATTGTGCAACGTTTTGTCGGGGCTGAACGCAGCCCTGGATTAGCTTGTTCAGGTGTGTTTGATAATGCTTGGAGAAAAACTTTGCAGGAAAGTGGACCTCGAAGGCCAGAGTTGAGAATGCCTGATGTAGACTATGGACAATATGAATCTTAAGGCCGCCGACGTTTAACGCCTCGTGACTAAACAAAGGGCGCCAATGTGAGTGTGCACACCGACGCGGAAAACGCCACGCGTAAAAGCGTCATTTTTTTTAAAAACGCCTCGGCCTCGATGAGATTGGAACGCCTCAATGAGATTGGCGCTTTTGCTCACGTGTCTGGAGCTTCTGAAGTTACAGTAAAACACAACTTGGGGGCGCTCAAACACAAAACGGTCTTGCCGAGCACACATACGCAACGGCGAAGAAGATATACCCCAAGTAGCGTCTACACTGCCGGGAAGAAATAATAATAATAATAATAATAATTCATTACATTTATATAGCGCTTTTCTAGGCACTCAAAGCACTTCACATGGAAGGGGGAATCTCCTCAACCACCACCAATGTGAAGCATCCACTTGGATGATGCGACGGCGGCCATATTGCGCCAGAACGCTCACCACACACCAGCTTACTGGTGGAGAGGAGACAGAGTGATGAAGCCAATCAGTGTATATATATATATGGGGATTATTAGGAGGCCATGATGGACAGAGGCCACTGGGCAAATTTGGCCAGGATGCCGGGGTTACACCCCTACTCTTTCTAAAGACATCCTGGGAATTTTAATGACCACAGAGAGTCAGGACCTCGGTTTAACGTCTCATCCGAAGGACGGTGCTCTTTGACAGTATAGTGTCCCCGTCACTACACTGGGGCGTTAGGACCCACACAGACCACAGGGTGAGCGCCCCCTGCTGGCCTCACTAACACCTCTTCCAGCAGCAACATGGTTTTCTCAGAAGGTCTCCCATCCAGGTACTAACCAGGCTCAGCCCTGCTTAGCTTAAGTGGGCAACCAGTCTTGGGCTACAGGGTGATATGGCTGCTGGCCATATTCCTCGGCCATAAATAAGACGAGGAAGATGCAAGGCAAGAGGAATGTAGAACTGCTTGTCTCGTTGGTGTTGTAAGTCCGTCTAATTCGATCCAATGGCGGTATCGATTAGAGGTGAAGGTCACATGCGCGTTCCGTCTCTTCCAATGGCAAAGGGATTTTTAATTAAATACAATACATTCTATCTTATGTATTAACTCGTTTCATCTGACTCCATAAAATGAAAGTGTTTTTCAATGATCATCATTAAGTATACGTTAATGTTTGACTATATCTTTTAACTCCAATGGAAATGAAGTCAAAGTCTGTTGGAATAATTAAATATAACAATTTATTATGTCAGGTAAAAGTATTATGCCAATTTCATAATCAGTTCAAAGATCATCAATACAAAACATCAAATGCTTTAGGATAAGAGAAATAGATGCAAAACCCAACATTTAAGAACTACATGAGCTAATCCTCACGGGCTGATCTGAAATACAGAAAAAGCCACGATCCCTTGCTGCATTCCATTAAATAGCCAGACCTCATTTCATATGTAAACCTGTGTTCACAGTGGAAATTTACTGTTTACCCCCCCAGACTTACTGGGGGCAGAAGTTGATTTACATGGTACCATTTGCTAACAGTGGAAATTAGCATTGAGTTCACACCTTCTGGGAGTAGGAGACCACATTCATTTGTGTGCCAGATATCCCTAAACTTCTAAAAAACCTTATTACCTTGTGTTTTACTCTTTTGGAATGAGACATCTGAACCAGCCACCCTGAGACCTTCAAAATGATACTAAACACAATAATCATTCACATTAAACCATATATATACTTGTGTGCGTTTTTTAGTGTTACTGACTGAGAGAGAGAGAAAATGTAGATAAGGTGAAGGGGGGTGCGGGGTGTGTGTGTGTGTGTGAGATGTTCAAATGTTAATGTGCAAGCAAGGTCCTTTGCCTTATAGATCTGTGGTGAGGTTGATTCCTTCAACCAGTTTTCTTCAGTCTTACAGTGTCGGAACATAAAGAACTATATGACAAACGCGACAAACTTGCTCTCTTCTTCTGAGTGACAAGCGAGTATCAGAAGCGTAATATTTCAGATATTCGTCACGGTGTGTACGGCTCTTTATGGGCAACAAAATGCCAGGTTCTGGCAGTAAGCAATTGTAGGGGCCTGGGGGTTCTGGACCTTCTGCCTGCCCCTGAGACAAAAGGCCCAGTTGTCTCCCGTTTTTGGCAGACCTGTTGTGGTGTAACAGAAATGATTACTTACAAAGGAGCCAACAAATTTAAAAGGACTATAAGAATTGATTTTTTTTTTCAAACCTGCGCAGTGGAAATGGATCAACAAGAAATAAGATATAGATTTGTTGTTGACTGCCAGAGCGAATCGAAAATCTATTAAACTTTGGCACTTAACTTGCCCTGCACCCATTGTCTGATGGACATGAATGACACCTCATTCATGCGGCTTTTTGAGAAAAAATGTGCTAGTTTCTAAATGATTGAACTTACAATTTTCATCAGGTAGGCGATTAAATGGGCAGAAAGTCCTGTAGATTTGCATTGAATAAGGGAATCAAGTCAGGGGCCAGTTGCATAAACGTAGCCACTATATTAAGACTGTCTTAAGAACTAGTTTGACCTACTTGCAGTTAACCAAGGGGTAATCCGTCCAACTTTTCCAATTCAAATTTGATCTAACTTTTTATGTAACTGACTTAACTGAAAATAAATAGATGACTAACTTTTAAGACTACTCTAAGCAGTTTATGCAACCGGTTACAGATCTGGAGACCAGAATATTGTAAAGACTTGGTGTAAACTTTGACTTGGGCCAGTAAGCAACCAACTAAAACACCCTAGTAACCACAAACCTAGCATTGTAGCGACAATTTTTGAATGGGTTTCTACCTATAACATTTTCTTCTGATGAAATTTAAGGTTAACGTTTAACATTATGTAACATATCACACTTTTCTTCCTCACTAGTGTCATCTACTGCCAGCGGAGGGGGAAACTGGCAGAATCATTTAGCAGTGGGCCTGACCGATGGTGAATTGCCAGATGTTCCCTTGAGCGCTGGGGCTCACAGTCCTTCGTACAATCGCAGCCCAACACACAACAGGTGAGATAGAAAATTTGTTCTTTTGAAGACAAACCTGTGTGAAGCTACTTTGGACAAGCCCCACAAAACAGCTATTTAGTTGTTTTCATAGTGGTCATGAAGAAGGCCATTGAGGGTTGATATGCATACATGTTTATGGATGCTGGGATGTATTGTTTAGCTGCCTGGAAGTTTCTAGTAATTCTGGGACCTTGAATAGCTGGGTAAGGTGTGTTTAATTAATGTTGAAGATAAACTGTGCAGCACAGTGGTTCTCCAAGACCAGGTTTGGACACATCTGCCTTACTGTGACTTTTGACTGGTGTTCTGTAGCAGGTGACGTTAATCACAGTGGATGCCACATTTAATTAGTCAAATTAAAATGAGGTTTTGAGACAGGTAATATGTCATAATGGCTTAAGGTCCCAAGTAACGACTAATGTTTACAGTGTGTTGTTTTTTTGTCCTCTGGACATTCATGGAAATAAGTATTTTCACTATATCCTGTCAAATAATGGCTTCTACCTTGACCAAGGTCAATATAGTATCAGCATTAGATCATAGTGGTCTTTTTGTGTGTATTCGGAAAATATCCTAATACAATGATAATTGTTTGCAGCCTCTTTTGGGAAACGTGACCACATTTAGCAACCACCCAACAAGTGCAAAAACATTTTCAAAACCCTTGCCAGTTTTGCACCTTGGTTGCAGTCAGGATTTGTGGCATTGCAATGTTTTATAAACATGCTGGTACCACACCTAAGATAAAACAAATGATGTAACCAAAACAAATAATAAAAAGGGAAAAGATTTAACAAATAATGCACACAAAACCCTCACAAAGAGATCAAAACAAACAGAGATCAAAAGAGGGAGAGATATCAAACAATAATAAAAACAGGAAGAGATCAAACAAATAATGCAAACAAAATGAATAAAAATATATTAAACAAAGCAAATAATAAAAGCAAAAAGAGATCAAACTAAAAATGCAAACAAAACGAATAATAAAGACAAAAGAGTTTAATTAAAAAAAAAAAAAGTGCATTGTAATAAACATATTTGGTTTGGGTATTTTGTTTCTGGGTTTTGTACAAGCAAAATAAAACATTGAAATATTGTAAAAACACCTAGCAGCCTTCAAGCAACAGTAGCAGAATTTTAGGATGAAAATAAAATCAGACCAAATTTAAAAAAATTCCATATGCCATTTATGTGAATTATATCATTTCTGTTTACCACTGTCAGATAGTTCAATCTTTTTACTTCACTGGCATATTAATCCCTTTTACATTGGTATTGTATTTGTGATTGCATCAGCCACAATTTTTTTTTTTTGTGATTGCATCAGACAAATAAATAAAAGCCTGTCCTCAGGCTTTTTGGTGTCTATACATGAAACTTTTTGATCTAACTGGATTATGATGACAATCTCCAGTTCAAGGCATGAACGGTTGACATGTTGATGAGTTTTAATGTTTGCTTCTCCTTGTGTCTCTTATGGCAGGTTCCCAGCTGAAAGTGCCACCTCTCACACACCAGAGCCGGCAGAGGTGTTCGGTGCCATGGCCAGCTGTTCCGACGCAGACCATTAAAGAGCACATGAGGACAGGTCAGCCGTCAAACTGTCATCTTTCATTCCTGTGATTCTACTTTCTACAATTAGAGACTGACTCCGTTAACCCTTTTCCACCGACACGGTTCTGGTGTGCGGTTCTCAAACCGTTCTGCACATTTCCAGTGCAGAAAAGGGGGTTCAGCACCATAGAGATAGGTTCATCTCCGGCCCTAAAAACGTGATGGTCTCCAACGGAGCGGAAAGGCGGTCTCGTTGAGCAATGTAATAACGTTGCACTTAGGGGCCTAAAATAAACACTCGTTAAGCACCAAATGCGAGTAAAAATCTGCACTGGCAAGTATATGAAAGGGAAACAATCGTCAGTTGGCTGGTGACATATTTATGAATTCTAACATGTGTGAACATGAACGTGAATGACACTCGGGACAGTTGACGGGCCAGTGCTGCATCGTCACGAAAGTTCGAGCCTTGCCAATTTAATTGGTTTTCTTTGCGCAAACATCCAAAGCACGCACTCAGAGAGCCGCGTCTCAGACAGCTCGCAAATACTGAACTGAGCTTGAATAGACCAAAAATTTATTTCAAAGTGAACTATCCCTTTAAGTGGATGTAAACAGTAGAGAAAGATGTGTACCGGTATCAGTATATTGGATCCGTGCATTCGCTCTTAAAGTGACAGCAGCCTAAAAATGCTGTGTTTTTAATGTTAATCAAACAACAAAGGACAAAGAAAAAACTCATGCTCTTGACTGAATAACTTTTGTAAGTTTAATAAGGATTCATCTTTGTTTAATTTGCACAGTGCAGACTATCCAGTGATTACTTTATTCAATGTCTCTAGCTGAAAACTACTGTTACTTTTCTTTAATAATGTGTTCAATTTATATTAGGAGCAGAACCATCCACTAATGAAATGTCTTTTTGGAATTCACTGATTGGCTATTGGATTAGCTCATTTCACATGTCAATCTCATCACACAGAGCACACGCTGTTACCGCAGCAACACGACTGCTGTATTTCCCAACGGCTGGTGGACCAAAAGACATATTGGCACAACAGAAAGGAGAAAGGAAACAGAAGCACCTTACCGACAGATGTGGAAAACATGGACCTAATTCTCTCGTGCCTTGGAATGAGATGTCTTTCAGTTCCAGAGTGACAGAAGAAGCGCTGTGGTCATGCTAGTAGGCGTCTAGCTGAACAAATGACTCATAAAAAGCCCAAACCTGTCAGAGCATCAGTGTTTATTTGAGTTAGTACTGCGGCGAGCACAGAGAAAATCAAGCCAACCAAACCGAGAAGTGCACACACATAGTGAATGTCATTTTATAGTGTATTAAGAAGGTGAAGAAACTAGGCATATCACATGACCTTTTTTTTTTTCTTTTTTTTTACGTTGGCATACACAGAACAGTTGATAGATTTGACCTTCAAAACAATGCGATTACAAAATAATGTAAATATTATTATGAATGAGTGGCTGTTTTTAAATTGCTTTTCATTTTTTATTTATTGAGTTGTCCATGCTTGTAGAAGTGCATAATATGTGAGACCAGCGAGTCGTTGATACTGTATATATTTTGTCCTGCACAAATTCTGTTAGAACAGCACTTGGTTGAAGTGAACTTGGCAAGACTGCCGAAACAAGACCCTGGAAAACCTAGACTTAAGATAAAAAAAAAAAATGTTTTCTGTGTTTACTACAGAACACTGTAAGAATGTTCTGGTCTAACACAAGCTCATGTGAAGCATGCTGTCGATTACCACACAGAATCACTCGCGAACAAACCTAACACTCTCCTCGCCAGCGTTAAAAAAAAAAAGAAAAAAAAAGTTGCCAGCCACCGACAGCATTTTTCATCATTTTCACAAAAGTTTCATGGCACCCAGAATATTATGTTCTATGAATATCTGACCATGCAATATATCAAAAGAAAGAACAGAGCCTCTGCTTTTAAACAACAACAACAAACCCTGTTTTATCCAAGCTTCTTTTTTAATCAACGCTTGAATGTGGGTAGCACTACGTTTCATAAAAAGGCAACATTTTGAGCAATAAGCTGAGTTTTTGTCAAAGACTACAAGTGTATAAGATTCAGAACGATGATCACGAGTCCATCAAGCTTCACAGTCCTACAGAAGTCCTTTCATTCAGTAACATTGGGCAGTTTTGATTTATATCCTGTTTAATGTTGAGGATCGCGCTATTTTATATGCACCTGCTTACATGCTAACGCTTGTTTCTGCTTCTTCGCCTGTTTTGATCAGGAGATTCTGAACTCTTACAGAAGATGCGTAATAGCGCCCTCTACCATATAACGGTGAAAACACAGAAAGACAGAAAAAGTAGTACTGTAAAAAAAGTACTGGCGCTTTTCCACTGCATAGTACGGTACGGTTCGGTTCGGTACGGCTCACTTGTGGTGCTTTTCCACTGCATGGTCCGGTACGGTACGGCTCGCTTCGGCTCGCTTTAAATGACTGCGGTGGAAAAGCAACCGAGCTAAAGCGAACCGAACCGTGCCGTACCGAGTCGAGTCGTACCACGCAGTGGAAAAGCGAAGCGAGCCGAACCGAGCCGTACCAGCAGTGGAAAAGCGCCACTAGATACAGATACAGCTGCAGACAAAACTGGGGCGTGAACTCCAAAAGTGGGCAGAGCCTCAAAAGGGGGCGGGGTCTCCCCAAACAAAGACTCGCGCCATTGGCTCTGGCTAATTGTCATTGACTTACATTTCAAAATATATATTTCTTTAAATGAAACAGTTTCTAGTCAATCTAAAATTAAACGTTATTGTTACGCTTGGGAACGTTTTATTCTATTGCTTTGTTCTTATGTTGGACATCAGCAGTGTGATTGACATGACCAATTCAATCTTTAAATCAGCTGCGGCGGAGTTTGCACAGAAGAAAAGAAAAATCACACACGTATGTCATGTCGGTCTGTCAATAGAGGGTATGCGCATGACGTCACCGTCGGCCGGAGTGAATGCGGTCACGCCCACAAGTGGCAAAAAGACTGAGCGGCAGCATTTGTTTTCAGCGTGAATGCCGTGAAAATCCCACAAAACACATCTAAAACGGGAAAGAGCTTTGCGATTGACTGTACAACTAGATTTGACCAGAAATCTGAGGTACTGTATATTTTTACAGACTGCAAAAAGCTACAGAACAGACTATATTCTGCATAATTGGATGTTTTTAAATAAACACTGACAAAAAACTATACAAGTTTTAGGGCTGGACGATATGATGATATACAGTATAACATTAATGTAAGTGATCACTCGGATTTAGACCTATCTATATTGTATTTATATAAAACGTTTACAGGCAAATTGTCTTCATTTATTTCCCCGGCGTCGAAATCAGGCACATATAAATGTCAGGAAACACGATTCCTGGCTGCATGTCAATATCCATGGATCACTGGATCTTTGATAAGTTGTAAGGAACACTATATCGAGTCCAACTTTTAGTTTAAACTGATAATAGTTGTTTGTTTTACTCGCGTTAACGCAGTTTCCCCTATTAACTCCAGTCACGCAGCAGCTCTTCTGCCACTCAGTCCCGCTGAGGGGGGCGTGTTCCGGCGGGGAAGTGACGTTAATGCATTCCCTCTATAGGAGGAAGCCACGCCCTATTTTGGAGCTCCCACCCCGTTCAGGAGATCTCCAGGCTACTGCGATATACTCTTATACATCCCGTCAACGGCGGGGAAAGAGTCAAATGTAGTACAATAATGCACTTACAATGGACATTTAGGCAAACATTAGAGGAAATGTGAAGCGTTTACTTAAAGCTGCAGTCCGGCATTTTTCCTCTTTGTCGCCATCTCTGTTCGAAATCTGCAATTGCAGTCATTCGCGGAATTATCAACTTTACGTGGGTTGTAGTTCAACACCCTCGACACGGCACAGCGCGGATGAACACAGTGTTTGAGGAGAGTGTGCAGCTGTCAGTCGCCGCGCCGATGTGGATATTGTCATTCAAAATCACAGATTATTCTTTTTGGAAGTATGACCAACATAAGAATTTTCACCGGGAAATCTCATCTGAACTAGTAAGAAACATTCACTTTTGTTCTGGTTCTGACATTGCAGTAAATCGCGCTGATTAAATCTAACAATTGCTTATAAGTTATCATTTCACGCAAAACCGTGCAAAGTAGCTATACTATGTTCTCTAATTGTTAATGTTAACAACGTCAGCAAGCATTGCGTGACTACATCATGTAATGTCCTTCCGATATTATCCTTGTTTTCGCATGGGTCCGGTTGCAGTCTCTTTTTTTCTGTAGCCACTCCGAAGTCCGAACAAAGTCTTTTGCATGTTACAGCGGATGATCTCTAGTTGTCACTGATGATGATCGTCGTTTGAACCTTTCTGGATCCGCCATCAAATTGATAAGTTTAATTATATCAAGTGCTGTGAGAAAAGGCTATAAATCTCTACCTCCAACATCCTCACACGCAATATAGCTTATACTAGCCGAGACTCCTTCTTTATGTGTACAGATGTGTGTGTACAGATGTGTGTGTGCAGATGTGTGTGTACAGACGTGACGTAATGACGCAAAGACATGCTCGAATCTCCCGCGGAAATCCACCAGTACCACTGAAATTAAAAACATTATTACAAGCTTACCGTTTTGCATCGAGCTAAGGCAAGCAGATAGTTTTGAACACTGGCTGGTTATGTATTTTATCAAATATGTATTTTGGATAATTTTTAACCCAAAAAAAGCTACGGACAGCAGCTTTAAAGCACTTATATTAGTTCTTCCTTTCGAAAATGTGTTAAATTAGCTGTAAGGTTGTAATGAAATAAAATTTTCATTTAATTCGATGAAACACTCAACGAAAAGAAAACTTGCAATGTTGCCTAGACAACTAACTAAAATACGTTTAAGTTAGAGCACTAAAACGGAATTTAAAAATTAATTAAAACTATATAGTAATACGTAATAGGCCTAATAATAAAAAATAAAGCACATAATACAAGCCACTTCAAAACATGAAAACAATAGTGTATACTTTTTTTTTTCAACCTAGTGCAGTCCTGCATATATATGTATAGCTACACCACCTGTAAGTGCATTACTGTATTATTCTTATTTATTCATTGTTTTACTGTGGGATGAGACCGTTTTTAGATGTCACCGGTCAAACCTATGGAAGCTTGTTTACACCACGGAGAAAAAAAAAAGAAGATAATTACAACTTTTTTCAGAGTTGCAGGGTATAAACTCACAATTTTGACTTTAATTTTTTGAGTTTGTCTCAAAATTCTGACTTTATACCTCTAAATTGGAAGTTTATATCACAAAATCCCGAGAATAGTAGTCAGAATTGCGAGGAAAAAAAGTATGAATTGTGAGATAAAAAGTCGCAATTATCCTTTTCATTTGTAATTCAGTGGTGGAGACAAACTGAACTTGCACTGAGCCTGAGACGTTCCTCGAGGAAACCATGCTGGAACACACACACACACACCTCCTGCTCTGAATGTGTCCGTCTGATGTACAGATTGTAACTTCCTGTATTGTCTGTATTTGTGGCTTAGAAGCATGTGATGTACAAGCACACGTTTTAGAAAGTTTTTGGTGTTTTTTTTAAAAAAACCCTATGGTTTGAATGTGATCAATGACCTTTGACCCAGCACACCTTTCATTGGAAACATTATCTATTCATTCCTTGAATTAGTCTTGTCATTTTCCAACAGGATGTGAATAAAATAAATGAAAACAAAATTGAGGTGTGTGATCAATTATGGCTTTTGACATTGCGATGTCACGCATGACGTCCTCGGGCTGTTGTTGGCAACTCGTCGTTTCGTAAAGAAAAGAGCGTCCAGGATTGTGTATTGTGCCGTTTGTGTTGCCCGTGCAGCGCCTCCCTCGAGGACAGGGAGGAAACTGAGCGAGCCTGTATTTCCAACCGGCCTTTCCTTGGGTTCTCAAGTTTTATCAAAAGCTTGGAGTGAGATCACATGCGGTTAGGGGAGGAGCCTAAATGGAGCCCCGCCCCCGCCTAGCCCCACCCCCAATTTTACCCATTGTTCATAATTAACCAGCAAAAATTGAAATTATAACAATTGGTAAATCTGATAAATGACATAACATTAAAGAGTAGGCCTATATTTGATGTGATGAATTGCTCTATTTCAAAATTAGGCTACAAATATATAACAAATTGCTCCAAAATGTTTGGAAAAACATATATTTTTGCATTTTTCCCTGACATCTTTGAAAAATACAAATGCAATGGCAATGATTAGGCTAATGTATGTTTTGACAGGATATACAATATTACCAAGAGCACTCTGCTTTAGCCTTAATGTAGCCTAACTAGAAATACTATTAATACAGTATAATATAGAATTTAAAATAAACTGAAGAAATACATCTTCATTCCTTCCCATACCCAATAACATTTCCTTAGCCAAACTGAGCCAAAGCTTTTGGCCTGGTTGCAAAGCAGTTGTAGAGTTTTTGACTGAATCAATAATGTATACGATGGGCTATATATTAAATGTTCAAGAACTTCTAGTCTAAAAATGTTAGGCGAGCTTTCTTCCCAACTTACTTTCACCATCACGACGTGTGTTCGCGCGATGTCGCGGTGGCCGACCTCCGTGTGTGTTCGCGGACTTCGCGCGTCTATAAGTTGCCTATAGTAGGCTATAACGAACGCAATCTGGCCGAGATGCGGACGCGCTGGCGGCAGGAAACTTATCTTTGTGTGCATGCGCCTCGTATACAACGTTATATATAAAGCTTGAAGGACAACTTGGTTGGCATTGCCTTTTCAGCGTGAGAAATACACGGTGTGGCGTGTGAGCGTGTGAACTGGTTGAATTGCGTGTGTCTCACGGCCAATGCGTGAGACATGAGAACCCTGCTTGGCTTCCAAGAATCCTTAATCCAAGCACCGTTTTCTTCTTCATTCCAGTTTAAGCGAAAGAACCAACAAGACTTCACTTGTTACTACCGTGCGCTGCCACGCCGACCATATACTTGTGTGTAGCAGGTTCATATTCTGCATGACTGGCAATCATCTCAACAGTCTGTTTGGTTCAAGTCTTGCCGTAACAAGATCTTTCCCATGTTCGCTCTTGAACACTTGGCCTGTGTTGTGGGACAAGGCCCAGCTTATGCAGTAAATGCTTCCCGTGCAGTTTTAAAGAGTATTAAAACTAATAACAGCCTTACCACAAAAATCTAAGACATGCAGCGCAACGCAAATGCACAGGAATGGCAAAAGAAAAAGAGGCGGTTATGATTCAAAATATTTTTTGTGTGTCCATAACTTTGAGATCGGCATGTTTTCAAAATAAGTATTTTATGCATATGTGATCAAAAACAATATTATGAGTTATTACAATTCAAAATAACTATATTTTTATTTACTCCTGCGATCAAAGCTGAGTTTTCAGCATCATTACTCCAGTCTTCAGTGTCACATGATCCTTCACAAATCACTCTGATATGAAGATTTGATGCTCAAGAAACATTTATTATCATTCTCAATGTTGATGACAGTTGTGCTGTAATATTTTAGCTGAATCCGTGACATGTTTTTCAGGATTCTTTGACGAGTAGAAAAAGTTCAAAAGAACAACGTTTATTTGAAATAAAAATCTTTTGTAACGATTTAAAAGTCTTTACTGTCACTTTTGATCAATTTAATGCATATTTGCTGAATAAAAGGATTCATTTCTTTCAAATAAAAAATCAAACGGACCCCAAACTGATGTCGCACAGGAAGCTGTAATGTGCAAATGCTCTCTTTCAGTACAGGTTGGGTAGAGGGGGACAAATTCACTCATTGCAAACATCACTGAATCTCAAGAAGAAATGTCTCACAAAGTCATATTTCATAGCATAATAAAAGAACAGAAAATTTCTCAAATTACAGTGAAAAAGAAGTTTTTTTTTTTTTTTTTTTCACAGATTGTGAATGCTGAACTGGAATGAAAATGTCAAAATACAATATAAGAAAATCTTAATGGTCTTGAAAATAAGCTCGATTTTCTTTTTGTACAATTAAACAATTTATTAATTAAGAGATTTTCTTTCTGATTTGGATTTGTGAACCAGACGTGTTTTTGACAGGTTTTGTGAGATTCTCTTAAGAAAAAAAAAAACTCTGCTTTCAAAACATGTCACATTATAATCGTTCTATATTCACATAAAATAATTCTCATTAGGAACCATTTTCTAAATCATAACTATCAAAAAAAAAAAAAAAGGCTTTTAGCCGTTTCTGATAACTTTTAAGCAAAATTAGCAAGATATACATGATTTTGTATGTATGAACAAAAAAAAAACCATAACATAACGGCACTTAGTGCTGATTAGGACATATACTCTCAAACTCACTCTGACCACCATAAATTCACATTTGAAAAACTGAATTCCAGCTTCTACAGTTTATAAGTCATATATGATATATACTGCAAATTAGGCAAGTAAACCATAATAATCTGCTGTGCCTTTTCTTGAAGAGCATCACTAAAGAAGAATCTACAGTGCAAGTCTTCACAGACGCCTGCGGTCTGTCGTTTCTGCATAGACGGCGGTCATGTCGTGCGAGACATGCGAAATGCATAGCACACGTACTGGCAAATCAGCAAAAGCTTCTCCTTACGCCCACTGGCTGTTGCTCAAAGGGACAAAAAGATGAATTCAAAGTCAAAAGAAACTCGAGAAATAGTTTCTGGATTATCCCAGGTTTCCATCCTGATATCATTTTCTCAGCTTCCCAGAATTTCAACATCTTTCGCTGGAATTCATGCCATCTACAAAATGTTCACAAATTGCTTTCTAGGAAGCTGACGATGGGCTAAAGTACACGAGTGTCACACAGTTGGACTGTATTTACAGTAACAGTGTGCTGTAGTGTTTGTTTCTCAGGGTCCTGAGGGTTTTTCATTCATCAACCTGAATCCTATATATATATATATATATCCACATCATTCTAATTGTGATGGTCTCTTAGCTGCATTGTTGCTCTGTACAGAAACACTGTGCACATGTTCCGACATCGCAAGATTAGAAACTGCTCACGGGGCGTTTCGTTCAGTATTGGAGAACGTCCACAGAAGCCCAGCATTATTCCACTGGGAGGTTGCGAATGAAAAAGCCTTTTTCCATCCTTCCAGGAAGCATGTGAGATCCGACGCCACTGCTGACCATGTGCAAGAGCAAAACATTAGACATTACACTCACACACCATGATATGACCATGCTACACTCCCAAATAACATGTTATTAACAATGTCTTTAAAACTTCACTCGGTCCACTTACTTAGGGCTGAATCTCCTCTTTTTTGCATCGGGTTGTTGTGGGACGGACCCTTTTTCCCTCCTTTCTGCTGCCCGGTCCCTGTATTTCAGCTGAAACGAAGAGCGCCACCCAGAGGTCAATACTTCACAAGTGTCAAATCAATGAAAATAGCAGTTAAGGGGGGAATTGGCTGTTTGGAGAGGAGGTTGGAGACGTAATCATGGGGTTACCTCAGTTTCGGATCGCTCGTGTGCCTCTGGCTGGCCCGGTCTGGCTCTCCTCTGCTCCAGGTTTTGCTGCACATGGAAGAATAAAGACAAGGACATGAATAGAAATGTATTATTCTGTTCATTCATTTGGTTGCTTGTTGCAGCCTGAATTTCGGATTCTTGAATTTTTGCCAGCAAAAACATCCTGAGTAAAACGAGACAAAAATGAATACATCAGACTGAGTGTGAACAATCATTTGGTACAAGTGTTTAGTTGCACAGCTAGCAGAGTTGGTCTAGTTATTGCTGGGGTAATTTGAGCATTATGGTATTTATTAATATTTGTATTAGTGCTGTTTTCCTGAATACCATCAGGATTGAAAATGTTCCATTGTTTTAAACGAATCGGTTGACTCAAAGATTCAATGATCCATTCATAACCAACTGCCTCATTCTGAACGAATCGTTTAAACGAACGAGTCAATGACTCGCTCATTAAGACGGTCACTTGCCGCCACCTACTGGTGGTTTAGTTTCATGTTTAAAAGTATCATTTTCTGCCCAACATCTCTTATTTGTATTTTCAAAATATTATTTAAAACAATCTCATAACATTATCTAATACAGTTGTATTTTTTTTGTTGTGTAAATTATTTAATTTGATTGGCAACAGTCTCTCTGCAAGCGCACTGCACTCGCAACTAAATACATACTGAGTGACTGAAACAATCTGTCATAGAACACACTTGTTTGTTCACAATGTTCTTGTTTCCTTTTAGTTAGATTCAAGATCTGAGGTGAATCTGCTCCTGTGTACTATAAAATACTATTTTATTGTATTTCAGCTTTTTAAATTAAAGTCCTGCTGTGGTGAAAATCAAGCTTGTAATGTTGCTTATATGTGGTGTTTTTAATATGCTTCAAGACAAACCATGTGTAAATTCAGAAGTCGACAGCATTGCTGAATATTTTCTCCTTAAAACTGCAGTGTACCAAAGACAGTCTCAAAAACACGGCTTGAAATCGCTGGTGTTTCTGACGTCACAAACGACCTTGTAACCAATCAGATCAACGTGTGATCGTCAACCAGTGGATCTCTGAGCTGAGTGAGTGAGTGGAGGCGGGGCTCATTTGCATATTCATAAAACCGCGTATAATAAATGAGGCAAAGGTGTAAGAGTTACACTATAGCTATTTTAAGGCATGATGATTTTTTTCAAGGAAACATTTTTAAACTTATTTGTGGTGATCAAAGATGAGTTTTAAGGGATAGAATTACTGACTACAGGGGGACTTTAAAATAAAACTATTAAAAATGATGTTTTTGTTAGTTAACAGTAATAGCACAGGTTATTGCTAATATTCCTTTCCAAATCTAAATATATGGGGAGTAAAATTGTTTCCAAATGAAAACACCATGATCTTGGCACTCAGCATGGCTCATATGTTGGCAGACCTGCAGCCGTCACTCACTCTGTGAAGCTCCGAGAGCTGCTGGTGTCGGATCAGAGCCTCTTTACTGGGGAACTGTCTCCTGCACAGCAGACAGGCCAGCTTAGACCAGTCCGTCAGTCTCTCCTCTCGCTCTCCGGCCTCCTCCTCACTGTCCGTCTCTGCGCTGTAGCCGGACACCAGACCCGGAGGAGGACTCAGCTGAGAGACAGCACACACAACCACACTTTTAAAACACTGCAGTGCACAGAATAAAACAAGAAACAAGTCAAAATACTAAAATAAATCCCCCAAAAACTATTGCTAAAAAACAAATGCTAAATAATATAAGAACCAAACACCATTATGTAAATTGTAAAGGTCTCAATACACTCAAAGCGAAATCGCAGAAGGAACTGGTGTGACGTCATTTTAAAGTAAATCAGGCCAAAATACATTATAATAGGTAATATAGGTGTGGCTCTGCGGCTTCGACGTGTAAATCTTCTCCGGTTCATTTCTTCTGTTCAGTCCGCCGATGTCAGACGCAAGTGAAAGCATGAACACACTGGAGAGATGATTTATAGCAGACACTGAGGTTGCACTTCTAATTTTTCACATTTAATACAGTGAATCTGCTGGCTTTTAAACAAAATATTGTATAAAGTGCTATAGTAAAAAACATAACGTGACGTGTCGAATTGCAGAGCTGGTGCAAGCATATCCACATCCCTATGATCTGATGCTTCCTTAACTGCCGTATATCAGGGGCTGTAGGGTAACAAAACAAAAGATAAACACACTTCTCTTTCTTCTAGATGTTTGATCTGTTCCATCAGAATCTGAGGTCTCTCCAGCAAGGCACCCTGTGTGAAAAAAGAAAAGGAAAAAATAATTCACACCATCAGTCAGACATGATGTGGCATTTTAAAAGCAGGGCAAACCCCAACCTTCATCTCCAGGACGGCGTATCCCGCATCCGCGCTGGCAGATTCCCGCCTGTCATCGGGTCTACCCTGTGCCATCAACCGAGAGTTAGTGCTCAGCGAGGAAGACGAGGACGACCGGCCATTCTCCTTCTGCCTGTTCAGACTTTTGGCCCACCGCTCCATGTCTTTGGCTATCTGAAGAGACATACAGATACATCAGGAAATGACATGCCATCTCACCAAAACCTCACAGTATACTTCATTTTTCACAGTCGGAAAAGAAACCGATGAGATGAAACAACAACAAACTTGTGGAGATGGCAACAACAACAGACGGCCGAGTTGACGAGCGTTTGTTTGAGGGGACATTTTAGTACAAAGACTTTTAATCGCTCATAAGCTTAAAAAAAGCTTTGTGTTTCAGCAGAAACTGAAGTATACTTTGAGCTTAAGATACGTTAGTAAACCTGAACATGCGAAATGATTCACAGGCAGCGAGCATTTCTGATTTCTGAACACCTTTCATTTAAATTCGGCATGAAATGGAAGAGAAAAAAAAAAGAAAAAAGAAAAAAGAAAAAGTAGGACGGGACATGATTATGTCCATGGGGAATTGAGTGTGAGTGACAGGTTGCGCCAGTAAACACATTTTTGATTTCATGGTGACTTAAGTAGTTTGAGGGTGTACCTGCTGTGCCGTCTTATTCTTGGGCTTGTCCTTCTTGTCCTTGCCGCTGTTGGGAGCACCTGAAAGGTCAGAGGTCACTCCCGCAGGGTCTGTGGTGTCGTCGGACGATTGTGATGGGGCAGGAACATACGTGTGGCTTTCCCCGTCCCAGTACATGTACTGCTGCGTATGGGGATTATAATAGTACTAGAAGAACATCACAAAAAAAACAGAAAACATTTGCAGTATCAGTATGCTTGTATAGAATTAGTATTAAGTTGCGCAGTAAGCTTGGTCAACACTGACGTCATCATATAAAGACCCAAGAACCTGACACAATTAAACTCACCTGAATCAGAGTTGCAAATCAATGGGGGCTTGGGCCAAAAATGACACCAAACTAAACAAAAAAATGCTCATATAATGAGCATCATATAATGCTCATAAGATGCCCCTGCACAATTAAACTACCGTAAAACTTCAAATAATAGCCGAGTCCCAAATAGACGCCTGTCTCTTTTACACGCCTGGTGTGGCTTCAGGTTTAGGTAAATAAAGGCCGGTCTCAAATAGAGGCCGGGTCTGTTTTTTAGTTTCGGGTTGTATTTAATCCTCTAAAACCATCAGATCGTCCGCTTTTTGGCGGCCGCCAAAGCAATTTTTTGTCCCTCCAAAGCTTTTTTTGATCGATGAGTGAAGTAGAATAGAATGACTGCTGCGCTTGACAGGGCGCGTTACGAGCAGAGAGAGAGAGAGAGAGAGAGAGAGAGAGAGAGAGAGAGAGAGAGAGAGAGAGAGAGAGAGAGAGAGAGAGAGGAGAGAGAGAGAGAGAGAGAGAGAGAGAGAGAGAGAGAGAGAGAGAGAGAGAGAGAGAGAGAGAGAGAGAGAGAGAGAGAGAGAGAGAGAGAGAGAGAGAGAGAGAGAGAGAGAGAGAGCGCCCCCGCCGCGCGCGGCGCACTCTCACGTCTTCAAACAACATGAGCGCTGTCTTGGTCTCTCTCCCTCGCGCATATTAATCAAAATCAATTGACGCGATAGTAAAAGGTCGGAAGACCGCAGTTTCACGTGGAGCATTTGGAGATTTTTAGAGATTAGAGACATACACTCACTGAACAACATCTCAACACTAAATTACAAAGGCCTGTCTCATATAGACGCCTGTCTCAAATACAAGCCGGTGCAATTCGACGGTTTGGGAAAATAAAAGCCTGGGCTACTATTTGAAGTTTTACGGTAAATCTATTACGACTGTTGTGATTAAAGTGAAAATGAATGAGAAGTGTTGATTGCAGCATTACATTTAGATCTGCACGTTGCATCAGATTTATTTTTGTGTTGTTTTTTGCAGCGATGTGCATTATAACCAATCCCACACGTATCTGTTGAGCTTATGAATGCAGTGGCCAATCAGAGGCGTTTAGATTAGACACAGCTGAAACTCCGTGGTTTTAGTATGTGCACAATCACTGACCGAATCCTGAATCTGAAAATGATTTGTCATAATATTGGGTAACACTTAACTTAAGGTCAGTTACATGTAATTATGCTGATCTGTTATTACTACAGTACGTACAAGTAACTAATCCGAAAACCAAACCCTTAACCCTATAGTAAGTACATGTAGTTAATTAATATTACTCAGTACTGATCTGTGAAATTACACTCACATCACCTTAAAATAAAGTGTAACCCAATATTGCTGCCCTATCTTGTAATAAACTTCAGTTTTTTAGTTTTATAATTGATATACTTTATGTAGGCTATTTACATTATGAAATAGTGTAAATACATGTATACCACCTTTAAACAGCATTAAACAGTCTTTCAGCGTAAAAAATATTTGTTAATGCTGGTACAATTTGAGTAAAAACAATATTTCAAATATTTTAAAAATGTCAACTTTTCACTATTCCTTTTAAGGTGTTTAACAAAACTTTATTATTTAAAAACAATATTTCAAATATTTTAAAATGTCAACTTTTCACTATTCCTTTTAAGGTGTTTAACAAAACTTTATTATTTAAAAACAAATACATCTAAAATAAATATATGACAATGTTAATATGCCCGTTCTTCTCCATCTAAGGATACTGGTGTGCGCAGCAGCGGCCCACGCTTCATAAAATGTGCTCTGCAATCCCCAAGCCGGTTTTATTACCTGTGAATTTGGGTCATAGTAGAGGCCTGTAAGAGGGTCATAATAAAAGCCAGAGCTCTCATCGTAATGGTATGTGGACACGTCAGGATCCGCTGAAGGAAAGAGGGAAGAATTCATTAGGTCAGCTAAAGTAACTACAAAACATTTTTGGTAAAATGAATATTAAAGTGCCTCCTATTATGCTTTTTGAATATTACCTTTCATGTAGTGTGTAATATAGCGGTTTGTGAATGTAAAAGATCAGAATGTGAAAATGCAATAAATGGAGTTATTGGCTCATAAAAAAGAACCAATTCTGAACTGCCGAAATGAGTTATTCCAGTCTTTCTTACTGCATAAACGAATTAGCATAATGCCAGCCTATGGTCTTTATTGGGTGCCCACGAACAACGTCTACTTTGACCCTCAAACACTAGACTTGTAGCTAAGGCCTAGAAGAGTTTGGTTCGTGTTGTCGACATGTCGAAAATAAGAGCCATCTGACCAATCAGAGCAGAGTAAACCAATCACAACAGACTGGGTCATCTGACCAATCAGAGCAGAGTAGACCAGTCACAACAGAGTGAGCCATCTGACCAATCAGAGCAGAGTAGACCAATCACAGCAGACTGGGTCATCTGACCAATCAGAGCAGAGTAGACCAATCATAACAGAGTGTGTCATCTGACCAATCAGAGCAGAGTAGACCGATCACAACAGACTGGACCATCTGACCAATCAAAGCAGAGTAGACCAATTACAACAGACTGGGTCATCTGACCAATCAGAGCAGACCAATCACAACAGACTGAGCCATCTGACCAATCAGAGCAGAGTAGACCAATCACAACAGACTGGGCCATCTGACCAATCAGAGCAGAGTAAACCAATCAAAACAGACTGAGCCATCTGACCAATCAGAGCAGAGTAGACCAATCACAGCAGACTGGGTCATCTGACCAATCAGAGCAGAGTAGACCAATCATAACAGACTGGGTCATCTGACCAATCAGAGCAGAGTAGACCGATCACAACAGACTGGACCATCTGACCAATCAGAGCAGAGTAGACCAATTACAACAGACTGGGTCATCTGACCAATCAGAGCAGACCAATCACAACAGACTGAGCCATCTGACCAATCAGAGCAGAGTAGACCAATCACAACAGACTGGGCCATCTGACCAATCAGAGCAGACCAATCACAACAGACTGGGTCATCTGACCAATCAGAGCAGAGTAGACCAATCACAACAGACTGGGCCATCTGACCAATCAGAGCAGAGTAGACCGATCACAACAGACTGGACCATCTGACCAATCAGAGCAGACCAATCACAACAGACTGAGCCATCTGACCAATCAGAGCAGAGTAGACCAATCACAACAGACTGGGCCATCTGACCAATCAGAGCAGAGTAGACCGATCACAACAGACTGGACCATCTGACCAATCAGAGCAGACCAATCACAACCGACTGAGCCATCTGACCAATCAGAGCAGAGTAGACCGATCACAACAGACTGGACCATCTGACCAATCAGAGCAGAGTAGACCGACCACAACAGACTGGGTCATCTGACCAATCAGAGCAGAGTAGACCAATCACAACAGACTGGGCCATCTGACCAATCAGAGCAGACCAATCACAACAGACTGGGTCATCTGACCAATCAAAGCAGAGTAGACCAATCACAACAGACTGGGCCATCTGACCAATCAGAGCAGACCAATCACAACAGACTGAGCCATCTGACCAATCAGAGCAGAGTAGACCAATCACAACAGACTGAGCCATCTGACCAATCAGAGGAGAGTAGACCAATCACAACAGACTGGAGCATCTGACCAATCAGAGCAGAGTAGACCAATCACAACAGACTGGAGCATCTGACCAATCAGAGCAGAGTAGACCAATCACAACAGACTGGAGCATCTGACCAATCAGAGCAGAGTAGACCAATCCCAACAGACTGGGTCATCTGACCAATCAGAGCAGAGTAGACCAATCACAACAGACTGGGCCATCTGACCAATCAGAGCAGAGTAGACCGATCACAACAGACTGGGTCATCTGACCAATCAGAGCAGAGTAGACCAATCCCAACAGACTGGGTCATCTGACCAATCAGAGCAGAGTAGACCGATCACAACAGACTGGGTCATCTGACCAATCAGAGCAGAGTAGACCGATCACAACAGACTGGGTCATCTGACCAATCAGAGCAGAGTAGACCAATCCCAACAGACTGAGCCATCTGACCAATCAGAGGAGAGTAGACCAATCACAACAGACTGGAGCATCTGACCAATCAGAGCAGAGTAGACCAATCACAACAGACTGGAGCATCTGACCAATCAGAGCAGAGTAGACCAATCACAACAGACTGGAGCATCTGACCAATCAGAGCAGAGTAGACCAATCCCAACAGACTGGGTCATCTGACCAATCAGAGCAGAGTAGACCGATCACAACAGACTGGGTCATCTGACCAATCACAGCAGAGTAGACCGATCACAACAGACTGGACCATCTGACCAATCAGAGCAGAGTAGACCAATCCCAACAGACTGGGTCATCTGACCAATCAGAGCAGAGTAGACCAATCACAACAGACTGGGTCATCTGACCAATCAGAGCAGAGTAGACCAATCACAACAGACTGGGCCATCTGACCAATCAGAGCAGAGTAGACCAATCACAACAGACTGGGCCATCTGACCAATCAGAGCAGACCAATCACAACAAACTGGGTCATCTGACCAATCAGAGCAGAGTAGACCAATCACAACAGACTGGAGCATCTGACCAATCAGAGCAGAGTAGACCAATCCCAACAGACTGGGTCATCTGACCAATCAGAGCAGAGTAGACCGATCACAACAGACTGGGTCATCTGACCAATCAGAGCAGAGTAGACCAATCACAACAGACTGGGTCATCTGACCAATCAGAGCAGACCAATCACAACAGACTGGGTCATCTGACCAATCAGAGCAGAGTAGACCAATCACAACAGACTGGGCCATCTGACCAATCAGAGCAGAGTAGACCGATCACAACAGACTGGACCATCTGACCAATCAGAGCAGACCAATCACAACAGACTGAGCCATCTGACCAATCAGAGCAGAGTAGACCAATCACAACAGACTGGGCCATCTGACCAATCAGAGCAGAGTAGACCGATCACAACAGACTGGACCATCTGACCAATCAGAGCAGACCAATCACAACCGACTGAGCCATCTGACCAATCAGAGCAGAGTAGACCGATCACAACAGACTGGACCATCTGACCAATCAGAGCAGAGTAGACCGACCACAACAGACTGGGTCATCTGACCAATCAGAGCAGAGTAGACCAATCACAACAGACTGGGCCATCTGACCAATCAGAGCAGACCAATCACAACAGACTGGGTCATCTGACCAATCAAAGCAGAGTAGACCAATCACAACAGACTGGGCCATCTGACCAATCAGAGCAGACCAATCACAACAGACTGAGCCATCTGACCAATCAGAGCAGAGTAGACCAATCACAACAGACTGAGCCATCTGACCAATCAGAGGAGAGTAGACCAATCACAACAGACTGGAGCATCTGACCAATCAGAGCAGAGTAGACCAATCACAACAGACTGGAGCATCTGACCAATCAGAGCAGAGTAGACCAATCACAACAGACTGGAGCATCTGACCAATCAGAGCAGAGTAGACCAATCCCAACAGACTGGGTCATCTGACCAATCAGAGCAGAGTAGACCAATCACAACAGACTGGGCCATCTGACCAATCAGAGCAGAGTAGACCGATCACAACAGACTGGGTCATCTGACCAATCAGAGCAGAGTAGACCAATCCCAACAGACTGGGTCATCTGACCAATCAGAGCAGAGTAGACCGATCACAACAGACTGGGTCATCTGACCAATCAGAGCAGAGTAGACCGATCACAACAGACTGGGTCATCTGACCAATCAGAGCAGAGTAGACCAATCCCAACAGACTGAGCCATCTGACCAATCAGAGGAGAGTAGACCAATCACAACAGACTGGAGCATCTGACCAATCAGAGCAGAGTAGACCAATCACAACAGACTGGAGCATCTGACCAATCAGAGCAGAGTAGACCAATCACAACAGACTGGAGCATCTGACCAATCAGAGCAGAGTAGACCAATCCCAACAGACTGGGTCATCTGACCAATCAGAGCAGAGTAGACCGATCACAACAGACTGGGTCATCTGACCAATCACAGCAGAGTAGACCGATCACAACAGACTGGACCATCTGACCAATCAGAGCAGAGTAGACCAATCCCAACAGACTGGGTCATCTGACCAATCAGAGCAGAGTAGACCAATCACAACAGACTGGGTCATCTGACCAATCAGAGCAGAGTAGACCAATCACAACAGACTGGGCCATCTGACCAATCAGAGCAGAGTAGACCAATCACAACAGACTGGGCCATCTGACCAATCAGAGCAGACCAATCACAACAAACTGGGTCATCTGACCAATCAGAGCAGAGTAGACCAATCACAACAGACTGGAGCATCTGACCAATCAGAGCAGAGTAGACCAATCCCAACAGACTGGGTCATCTGACCAATCAGAGCAGAGTAGACCGATCACAACAGACTGGGTCATCTGACCAATCAGAGCAGAGTAGACCAATCACAACAGACTGGGTCATCTGACCAATCAGAGCAGACCAATCACAACAGACTGGGCCATCTGACCAATCAGAGCAGAGTAGACCAATCACAACAGACTGGAGCATCTGACCAATCAGAGCAGAGTAGACCAATCACAACAGACTGGGTCATCTGACCAATCAGAGCAGAGTAGACCAATCACAACTGACTGGGTCATCTGACCAATCAGAGCAGAGTAGACCGATCACAACAGACTGGGCCATCTGACCAATCAGAGCAGAGTAGACCGATCACAACAGACTGGGCCATCTGACCAATCAGAGCAGAGTAGACCAATCACAACAGACTGGAGCATCTGACCAATCAGAGCAGAGTAGACCGATCACAACAGACTGGAGCATCTGACCAATCAGAGCAGAGTAGACCAATCACAACAGACTGGGTCATCTGACCAATCAGAGCAGAGGAGGCTCTTGTGAAGGAGGGATTTAGAGAGAGAGAATATTTTATCAAACAGTTTCAGAGACGGTGAGAAAAGATGTGATGCTGCAATGTATATTATGAGAAAATTAAAGTTTTTTTTTTTTACTTGGACGCATGTTGTAGGAAAAGAAATTAGGAGCCTTTAAAATAACATAATAGGAGCACTTTAATGTTTTGGGCTGTGTGCCTACGGTACTGCTGGCACTCCAGAGCAGTTCCAGGTGTGGCAGGCTGGTTCAGTGTAGCAGGCTGAGGTTTCCCAATGATCTCCACCTGGGCCTTTGCGCGCGCACACACACACACACACACACACACACACACACACACACACACACACACGGTATACAGACAGAAAATTAGTGCTTTTTAGACTATTAGAATTTTGATAGTAACAAAGAAAATCAAATAATGAATAAAAACAGAACTCTACCTGGTTGGCCTGTGTGGAGGTTGTCGTTGCAACAAGCTGGGTATGGGATGCTGTGAGCGCCAATATGGAGGTAGCACCTGTTTCTCCTATGGTGAAACACACATTCACACTTACTACAATAAAAGACCCACAGGCTGAAAGCAGATGCAACTGAGCGGTAGTTTTACCTGTGGAGGTAGTTCCTCCACCAGGAGCGCCAAATAAAGTGTGGCTAGTCAGTCCCGCAGCCGCTGGCCCTTTAAAGTGTTGTACCTCTGCACTGACACCCAGCACAGCCTCCTGCCCAAACACAGCTGCTGCCCCCTGCTGGTGCACACTGAACTCACCACTCACAGCTGCACCCGAGAGCTGCGCCGTCTGCAACCGAGTGCGTTAAAGAAGGAAATCACATCTCAACACTCAGTGGAAGACAAATATGTTCTGCAACTGTCAATACATAAGCTGGCATTTGTTAAGAGGTTCATTAGTTATCCAAAGAACAAAATCAATGTATGTGTTCTTAAGGAAAAACCTGTGAAAGGGTTAGTATTACCAAAGTCCTTTTAGGCAAGTCATGCCACTCGGCCACCATCTTGGCAACGCCTACGGGCAGCTATTTCAGGCTAACAAGACCAGGCTCCTATCTAAATGAATGGGCAGAGACCCAGAAATTGAGCGTCAGCGTCAGTTTTGGCAGGCCAGGTAGTCAAGCCGCTGCTTATGCTATTTGCTATCACAGTGTCCCGTCAGCTGATCTGCTCCAGCTGAGCTGCATTAGCTGGTTAACTCCCCTCGCTACTCAATGGCCAAAGCTCAAACAAGGCGCCCTATTTAAAGCTCATTCACCTTGCTCATACATGCTCGCTGCTCGCTCTGCTGGCTCGCTGCTCGCTTCTGCTGCAATATTGACACAGGATTCGACGTGATTCGTTCTCCATTCATCTCTGAAGTTTCACGAAGCTAAGTTCTTTTTAATATTCATTGCTAAAAGCATCAGTGTGTTGGCAACTTGCTTGTTGTTAATGCTATCCGTGTGGCATTTGGGCTTATCTAATAGTCGTTTTCGTAAAAATGCTATGTGATCATATTGGCTATGTGCGTTACTATTGTTGTCATTGGCAACTGATCGCGTTGCTCACGCTGGCTTTTATCACTATGCAGCGCAGATTCAAGCAGCTTGCTGTGATAGGATTTAACTTCTGCGGACTTCCTCCGGACCGTATACAGCTCATTCTTACGCATTGTGCAGCAACTACGGCGGCGACACTCACTCCGGTTTAACCCTTAAGCTATGGGGCGGTGGTTTCTGCTGCTTACGAACGATACCTCCGTCTCGATGTTCGGGATATTCTAGACGCCCAGAAAGCCATGAGCTCAAGTCTCTGATTTGTTTCGTTAATAAAACACATTTGATCATTATTTTGCTCGCGCTCTGCTCAGTTAACGCCCCTGAATGCGCTATCAGCTGTTAATTTATTCATCTAGCTCGTTCTCAGAGGTGGATTAGTCATCTATCATAGAACTACACTGTAAGACAGAGCTGTCAAACAGTTTAAAGACAGATAATCTAGGTAACAGCATGTTTTAGCTATTGCGGTCTTGATTAGTCATTTCAGTAATTAATTAATATTTTTACTATTATAAATCGCTAAATCAGGGCGGCTCAGTCGACACCGTTCGAGACACTCAATTTTGTTTTGGGGGGAATAGCTCATGTAGTCAAATAAATCATCCTCTGTATCACAGAGGATTGCCAGGTGTGGTTTTGTTTGGGGGGATATTTTAGCTCTCACAGTCTAAAACTGTGTGAGCGTTCCCTAATGCTGCTGCTGCTGTCCTCTGACTCTCTGCTATTTCATGGTGCTCATGAAAGGTCAGAGGACTCCCTGAACAGAGCCATACCGCCAAATTTCAATTCAGGAACATCAACCTGTTTGCAATCTATTCAATTAAATTCTAAATTATTTTGTCTGTGTGTTCTTGACTTAATGGACCTGACAGAACTGCACTTTCACTGGTCACCGGGACATAAAAACTGCATGTATACAAACACTAATAAAATATGATAAAAATCGCTGAAAAAGTGTGATGACTTTGCCCCAAAATAAGGTTTAAAACACCTTTTTCCCCACAGGTTATACTTTTACTGCGCATGCGCAAGGGTTCTCTCGCTCTCTGTCGTGCGCGCGCTACTGCTCGCTCGCTCTAGATTCCGGGAGATTTGAACTAATTTACGGTCATCAGGGAGCCGCTATCAATCTGCGGGAGACTCCCGGAATCTCCGGCAGACTTGGGATGTCTGATATTTACACAACTAACACATCAAATCTGCCGCCTTTTCAAACAGTAACATATTTTCTGCTGACGCAAACCTCAACTGTGTGCATGCGTCGGTGGAACCAGACGATAGGCTTACATGTTTTCCGGCTTGACTGTTAAAAGCAGATGATTGGCTTTCCAGCGGGAGGGGCGGGGCATGTGCATACAACCGCCATCTTTGGCGTTACGGGTTTTCCCTATATAGTTGTATTAAGGATTGGGGAAGTGGCATGTCACTATATAAATAGTCTCTATGCACAAAAAGGATTTTTTTAAATAATTTTTTCCAAAACAGAAACCTTTTAGCTGAAAACTGAAAAGTTTAATAATCAATTAATTTTTCAAAAGTATTTAATAATCCAACACTGAAATAAAATATGAGCTGTTTATAAACATGTTTTTTGCACATAAGGCAGTTTTTATACCAACTAATTAATTTTCTACTCCAATTTGTTGGTGAAATATAAATATTTAAATGATGGCTGAAATATTAAACATTAAAAAAAATGATGAAAACAGGTTAAGTAAAAATATAATGAATATGTAATATACTGCATACAGTATATTTATCAAAATGTTCTCCGATAGAGTACATTTTTCTAGCTAACTAATGCATTTATGGGCACTGAATGGTTTTCCTGAGGTAAATGTATCACGTGACTATTTTATCGACATCTTTCTGCGGTTGAAACACTGATTGAGTGATTACATTTCTGTAAGTTGGTTGTACTGTTTCTTTAAATAAACCTTCTGATGTTCATTCATGCTTGAATTAACATACTTAAACATCTCTGTTTCGGTCAATGATCTCAGCCTTAAAAATGTTTTTGCCAAAACCAAAAATTCATTTTCAGCCAAATATTTCCAACTGCATCACTAGTTATTATTGTAGTAATATTCAAAGTTTTATTAAAAAAATTTGATTGGTTGAGAGACTCATTCAGTTGTTCGTGTGGCTATTAAATAGTTTGTTTATGACATTAGTTACACATCACAGATTTTTTCCCCATTGTCATGTAAGTTTTGAACTAGTAACAGTGACTTTCAACAATTTCAACACAAGAGCATTTTCAGTCCAAAACCTTGACAACTGTAACTGTGGTTTAAGTGGAATAATTGATATCAATTCAATCTGCTTTGCAACATGACCACGTTTACACCTTGGGTGCACATTCATTATCACTAATTGAAGATCCTAGAGTTAATTATTTCCTGCATATGAGTCTTTATGCTGTTTATCAAGCCCTTTCCATGTGCAGTGTGTACCTGAGTGACGGCCCACTGAGCTGCAGCTATAGCTGTACTCGCTACGGTTGCCACGCTCACCCGACTCCCATCTGCCAGAAAAACATCGCTGAGAAAGAGAGAGAGGGAGAACACTCACAAAACTGTATAACATACATGTAAAGCATTATGGGACCTGTGAACCCACTCAAATGTGTGGCTCTGATGCATTGTCCTATTACACAACTATGACATCAGTGTAACGCTGCAGGATCAGTATTAGAAAAGCATGAACTCGTACCGTTTGGAGCCTTTGGCAAACTCTACAGAGATGAGCTTGCCGTCGATCGAGAGAGGAGGCTGCAGGGACTGGAGGATCTGAAGCAGCTGTGAAGCTTCCTAAAACGGGATACAATACCCGTTTGTGTTAGTCTTACACGTTTTGTTGGGGAGTTGTGGCCATTTGCAAGTAGAGTCGCTGTCTTACCACGATAGTAGTGAGCTGCAGAAAAGCAAACCCTCGGTTGAGCTGTGTCTGTTTGTCTTTGATGAGCCGAACATTTGACGGGGAGAGAGTAGCAAACGGGGCCAAAGCGGACAAAATGGCCTCTAGTGACGAATGAGGTCCCAGATTCCGCAGGATCAGAGCTGAAGAGATGTGAACACAGATGTGAACACTGTCTTACCCTAAAGTAAAAGTGTTAAACGTGTGTACGACTTACTGTCATTGGCCACCTCGGCGGCCTGGGATGAGGAACTTAAGTTGAGAATTGGAGAAGCTGTCTGGTATATGATGGGAAGGGGGAGTAAACCCTGAGCTGAGTCCTTTAACTGCCCCAAAGGTAAACTCTTTGGCACCTGAAGGAGTTTCAGCTCAGCCTCTGAAAAGAAAGAGTCATATGTGGAAGAACTTACATTAACATTCATGTTTTTACCATTTGGAGCGTGAGAAAAGGAACTGCAACAAATTAATTTCCATTCACACCTGATTTTGGAACTCCGCATTTGAAACACTTTTCTCTTCGTTTGAAGTTCTGCACTCCACACTGCCAATCAAAACACATGTTTGGGAAGACAACTACATCGCTAAGAAGTATTTGTTCACTTAAAGGGATAGTTCATCAAAAATGACAATTCTATCATCATCTATACTCAGCTTTGTGTCGTTCCAAACCCAGATGACATTCGTTTATCTTCAAAAATTTGTAATAGTAGTAATCTACGGTATGCGAATTGAGCAGTTTTATCCAAGTCTTCTGAAAAGACACAATCACTTCGCTTTTCACATAAACACTGATCAACGCACATACACACAGAGCACATTAAATATATAATTATTTAATGTGGTCTAAGTCTCCAGAGTTTTCTATGCAATTGTTTGGGGATAGAACTGCACCATTATTTGGATGTTTTTTCCACATGGTCTATCAGTGGCTACGTTTACATGCAACCACATAATCCGTTAGTAATCAGATTGACGCCTCAATAGGACTGAAAAGCCTTCATGTAAACACCTTAAATCAATCCGATTGAGCGTGATCCGATTTAAATTTCGATCTGGATTAAAAAGGGTGGTTTATTGCTTTTCTAATCCGATCGAGAGAGCATGTAAACACTTGATCGGTTTAAAAAAAAAAAACGAAACTGAAAGGACTGCGCATGTGCAAAGACGTTGAAATTGCGTCACCACGCATGACGCGCTGAACGAGCTGTTCTTCCTGTTGAATAAAGTGTCATATAAATGAGTTTCCCGTCATTCTAAAATTCTAAAAGTGGTGCAGGACAACGTCCCACCAGTCCTTATTTCGGATTCTCATCCACAGACGACAGATGATAAATATAAGCAGCAGGGCGCAACGGTTCATATATGCTAATTTACTTCAAATTATGACCAGAAATGGATAAATATTAAGTATGCGGTAAAAAAATAAATAAAGAACCAATGTAGGAGAATGGTTATGCGCAAACAGCAGGAAACTCGTATATTCGTGCAGTGTGCGCATCTCAAAAAATATATTCTGATTTGAAGCTTGTGACAAACGCGCACATCAACCTGATCACATGTTTAGCGTTCATTAGACAAGCTCGCATCAGCTGACTCTCAGCTGATCCACGTCTACCTATAGGAATACAACGCCTATCACTGTATACATATATAAGCTCTTCAGTATTATCAGGAGCTGTCGCGTTTCTCAGGAGCGCATTACCCTCCTCTATCCCCAGCTCCACCTCTCATCCAGTCAGGATTTGGTATTCCGATTACCCCAGAATCAGAATAAATTTTCGAATTATGTTGTACTTTAAAATCTTGAATTAATGATATCTGCAATACATTCATGTTGGTTCTGTTCTGTTTACCCTGAGGGGGGGTTATCGCTGCTCTCCCTGCTCTTACCCATGCTAGGCTGCATGAATGCGCAGGGAGTTCTCGCCCAGAATGGAACCATACCGCCAATCCAAACTGTATGCTAATTGTCAATCGTATTTGACAATAGTGGTCCTGACAGAAGTAGCCAGTGTGACATCAATATAATTATAATATTTAAATACATAAATATAATAATAAGAAGGTTCAACTGCAGCTCAACCGTACTTGTTTAACGAGCAACAAACCTCATTGGTTCTACTGGAGCTCAAACGAGCTTGATTAATGAGCGAGAACCAATGAGGCAAACACATTTGATAGGCCAGACTGCAGACTGGGGTGATTCATTTTCTTGTAGATTTAGTCATTTTCGCGGAATACAAAAACAAAACGACCACAGTGGCGAGCTAACTTTATTAGAGTGCGGGTGGAGTATCTCGTCAGTCAGATCCGACGACACCATTGGGGTACAATACCGCCACCTACTGTACATTGGGATGTCAAGATACTGTCGCTGGATTATTTACGTCATATTATATGTGTTCTATTCATTTTAAATATTATGGTTATCGCCAATACCGGTATTTTGCAACACACTTAATTAAACTGATAACGATATTTCATTTTTTAATTAGAATGATCATTATCAATACCGGTATATCGCGATTCGACATCCCTACTTGGATTATATGACGTGTAGGGATGGGACGATTACCGGTTTCACGATAAACCACGATAAAATATACTGACGGTTAGTATTATCGTTTAAAATTCAATTATCATTAAAACCGTGTTTGATTATCGCGATTTTAATAACTCACTGTAAATCAGGTCAAGCCAGCAACAGTCTGACGCAGGCGCAGCGCGCAATGTTTTTTTTTATTATTCGAGAAGGAATGGCGGAAGGCAGTGAGATTTTTCGTTTTTGGGAGATTTTTCAGCCTTTTAAGAGGACGAAATCTGAGGTGTGGTCATATTTTGGCTTTTACAAAAGTCCTGAGGGAAACTTGATCGAGGATGGTCACCCTGTCTGCCGAACAAAACGTCGCTGCAATAGAAACACTTCAAATCTTCCGAGTCGTCTTGTGTGACCATCACCCACTGTTGTATAGCGAACGCAAGGCAAGTTAACTTTGACCTCAACACCAAAACTGCGTCTGGGAAATAATTGGGCACGAAATGTTGTTTTGAGGTCACCCACTTACAATAGACGTGAAGCTTCCGCGAAGAAAAGTTCGCAGCAAGTGGCTTTGAGCCAAAGACGAACGAACAACTTCAAGCAAGACTATTAAGAGTGACATTTTAAGGGATAGTAATGTATAGTTTCATTGTACACTTGTTACACCGATTTTATTTTTACCACATAATTACGGGGACATATTGAATTGAGATTAATGTTTTAAATCTTACTCGTTTAAAAATCCATTTTGTACAGCGTACAAAACAATCGTCCAGACAAGATGATCACAACAATATTATCAAACTCTGTAAACAATAAATCAACTCCGATAAAACGGGAGACGCAAGACGGCAAGTTGTATTTGAATAAAACAAGAGCGCGCGTCCGTTGTGATACATCATGGATGTGCGCCGTGTAATAATGCGTTGCTATTGACGACGGTCATTATAAAGAAGGAAATGCCACAGAATAGAATCTTGCTTAAAAAACTGCATAGAGCTGCTTGTTTTATTTGTTGTTTGTTGATTTTCAAATATAAAACTTGTTGAAATGTTTTCAGTGTGAGCATCAGTCATTTTTGAACACTTTCATCTAATTTTAACAAAACCGTGATAATATTGATAATCACGATAATTTTGGACACTGTAATCGTGATATGAAATTTTCATACCGTCCCATCCCTAATGACGTGTTGTACTGGATCATTCTGTGATACATTGCGTCTTTTTAAAAAAGCTTGCTGCTAGTCACTATTCACTGCCATTATATGGACAAGCACGAGCAGGTTAGCGTGGCCCAAAATTTAAAGGGCATACTGCATTAGAACAACACCAGGGTGAGTAAATGACAATTTTCATTTAAAGGTGAACTATCCCTTTAAAGGTACACTAAGACTTAAGACTAGGGATGTCCCGATCCGATACTCAGGATCGGTATCGGCTCCGATACTGCCATTTTTGCGGGATCGGGTATCGATCAGACATCGATCAGACTAGGCCGATCCAAATCCGATATTGTGGGTATACTATTATGTGTTATTGTTAAGCCCCACAAAAGGCACAAAAACATTCTAAAGTACCATAACGTTTTCGTGCACTCTATTATAAGTGTTCTGAAGCCATTATGTGAGAGAGAAATTAATATTTAAGTCATTAAATTCAAGATCACGTAAACTTTTCCCTCTCGCGGCAGTCAGTCATTCTCCATTCAGCATTCAAACAGCGCGTCGCGTTCGGTTACAGTCAATGAAGAAACTATCTTCAAGATGATTCAATGTTAATACTATTATACTTGATCTGTAAGATAAAGGTCTATGTTTTCGCATAAAACAACTTTATCTTGCTGGACTTTATTGCTGTAACTCAATCGTGTTACTCTATACTGGGTGTCGGACGCTGTCGGTTTGATCACAACACTAGAGTCAGAGCACTATAATTGTTCTTCACGCGCACAGTAACTGAAATTTAAAACTGTTAAAAGAAAAGGCTCAATAAACGATTGCATAGATAGATACTGTATAATACACTGTCCATCAATATGTATCTCCGTTGTGCTTTGAACTTTTCAAAGCGGACTCGACGCGCTGCGTGCTGTAACTCCACGTGGCTTCAAGCGCATCATTCTCCGCTCGGGATGCGCATAAGCGCTTTGTGCCGCACTGTATTGGAGCCTTTCATATCAAAATGCAGTGACGCAATTAAAGCTTATTAACATTAATAATTATTAATTTTGCTGCCTCATTAAATAGCTGTGCATTACACTTAAAACATGTCTCAATTTTATAGCAGATTTAGCTATATCTAAAATAATTATCTTTTTCATTTTTGTTATCTTGTTTTTCATGAATGTATTTTACAACAATAAAAAGAGCAATGTGTATTATCCACTAATCTAGTTTATAATAGCATTTTTGTCATAGATTATGATCATATATTTTGGGGATTTGTTGTTTATCTTTATAATGAAGCTGTCTGTATTAAGTAGATTGTGTTTAACACACACAAGAGTGATAATCAGTTTAACACACAGTTATAGAAATTCGACTTGATTTAAAAAACAAAAACTGTACTGGTATTTACAATGTAGAATGCTGCTGTTTAAATTGTTTTAACTTTAAGCCTGTTGGTAGCTAGCTAAGTACTGAAGTACCTGTATTTTCTTTCATTTATATATTTCTTTATTTTTTTGTAGTGTTTGAATAAAGGGTGGCAATCTTTCATAATCAACTGTTGTTGTGGACTATATAGGAGGTATATTTTAGGTGGCTAATTGAGAAAATTGCTATATTTTTTATTAGTTTAAGAATAAAATAAAAATATCGGATTAATATCGGTATCGGCAAAAGCCAAAGCTGCGGCATCGGTATCGGAAGTGAAAAAGTGGTATCGGGACATCCCTACTTAAGACTTAATTTAACATAATTATTTAATTATTGAGTAAAGAACATTAAGAAAGTCACCTTATTGCAGAGCCAGTCTTCATTTGCACGGGGTTTTGGGTCGCTGTAGTGCATAGATACTCGCTGTCCCAAAATAGTGAGCACGCTCTGAAAGTGAGACACAGAAGAAGAGAGGGGACAACAGAATAAAAGAGGGTAAATATCATTTTCAGGGTGGAATTGGAACACTTGAGACCTTATCTCAACACAAGAGGGGAGGAGAAGACTGGATAAAAGAGAGAGAGGAAGTCAGATATCACCATCAGCTTGAGAGGACTCAGAAAGACGCGCCGGCCTGCATGTGAGAGAGCGTTTGCGGACACCCTCTCTGGCCAAAAGCCTCAACCTCCCCCATTCAGGGGAACAAAAAAAAAATATCACGCTCACTCCTGCCCACCCACATTAAGCCACAAATAAAACATCCAGACAGAAGATCACAAAAGGAAACTCATACAGCGATGACAGGACACATAGAATAAAGACTTGAACGCATTACTGTACCTGAGCCAAAAATAAATCCTTCAGGACCTCAATGCTTAAAAAAATGCATTTGAGTTACTGGCATTAAGAAAACATCCTTAATGTAACTGAATACTTAAGGAAAAACAACAACAACTATTCAAGTACCCGATTTTGAGCACTTTAGAGGCCTGAGAAATAAATACAAACAACATGACTCCATGCTTGTGTATGGCATCCCTTCGAACTCACAAATAAAACAGAAATAACATTAACTAACATTAGCCTTTATAAAATCAAGATCTAGTCTAGTGGGGACCCCACACAGTCCATTCATGAAGGATCTGCTGCATGCTACATGCAAAAATGACAAGCACTGGCTGAAATCACTCATTTCTAATCTGACTGCCTGGCTGATAGACAAATACCAGAAATCAGGGTGCACAGCATGAAAGAAAGTGTGGTTTACAAGGTATTGGGCTGCTACAGTACATTTAATGAACAACAAATCAGTGAATTTGCACAATTCTGCGAGGCTCGTAGCAATACATTAGCAGCAAGTACACAGTTAATGTAACGACAGAAATCCCAGTTTAACTCTACATTGCCCTTTGGACGCTGAGACATGGTGTTCACATTATGGGAATGTTTTCAGTGTGCGCAGTTGTCTGAAACGTGTGAAATCACGCCAATGTTATTGGCCACGGCAGTCATATCACTGGTGCGCCGGCATGACTAAAAATGGACACCTGCATTAAAAGTCAACAGCTTCTGTCTTCAAGAAGGCGCTTTGTGTGTGTGAGAAAGAGAAAAAGTTTGTGTTCGTTTAAAAGAAAAAGAAAACAAAGAAACTAAAGCTAAAAAAAATAACTAAAGAAGTTGTGTTTCACTGTGTCCCCGATTTATTACAGTGGATGACACACAAACTCGGTTTCATCTGTTTGGGAGCAAAGCACGCTTGGTTCAGCTCTCGAGGAGCTCTGCTGCTCTTGCTCGGCTCTCTTCGCTGGGAGCCAGGCATCGGCACCTCATGGTATGGATTGTTTCTCCCTGATCTCCATAGTAAGGTATTGAGATCATTGGGAATTCAGCTCGCATAGTCACCTCCGTCACGTTAAATTATTTCGAACATAGAGGGGCTATGTGAGCACAGATATGAGAAGATGCCCCAGGTTAAAGAGGTACTTTCAAGCCATCTCTAAGTCTTCTCTGAAGGCACCGGTCTTGCACCGATCTTTCCAGATCTTCCCAAGTCCTACGCAGCCGCAGGTCAGGCCCTTGGAGCACTGCACACTACAGCAATTTTGCAGGATTTCCAGGCCGACCTTCTAAAGCACCTGGACCAAGGGGAGGGACTGTCTCCAGAGGCAGTCCTGGAGCACCGCAGAGCCACAGATCTCATCCTCCATGCCACCAAGCAGATGGCCTGGCCCGGGCCATCGGTCATTCTATGGCTGTGATGGTTGCCATGGAGAGGCGTCATCTATGGTCAAACATTTTGGGGAGAAAAGAGGGGGAGAAATCCTTTCCCCTTAATACCCCGGTCTCTCCCTCTGGACTCAAGAGGTTCAGAGAAGCGAGGGTTCAGTATGCAGCCTTAAAGTTCTTTCATCCCCTTTCTTGTTTAGTGTCCTTCAGCCCCGGCAGTGTGGACATGAACTATGTTGGCATGCGTCCTGGGAGTCTGCGAGGAATGGGTGAATCGACAGTGTAAAGCCCGTTTTTGCAGTGTCAGGATGTTTCCTTGCTGGAATCACGATGAGAATAAGCGATCATTAGCCGAGGTATGGGCTACATTGCAGAAGGGTGATCTGCACACTCCCCTAGAGGGCAGGTTTAAACAGACAGTGCGTCCCCTGGTGGATCGGCAGCAAAAGTATTTCAAGTTCTATTTTGTTAAGTGACACCTAGTGAAGGGCAGTTGACAGAGGGTGGGCTCTGTCTGTATCCCTCTGAAGCTTTAACTCAGAGGTGATAGTGTAGACGAGATATGACAGCACAATTCCCCGGTGTACACTGGAAGGTTTTCCCAGCTGGATCTCCTGAAAGTCCTTCTGCTACTCTTCTCCAAGGAGGACTGAGGTTAGAGCGGGCAGTTGATAGAGCAGATGGTTCCAACACTAAACTTCCCTCACTCTCTTCTGTAGTCTTCATCAGCTCTTTGAGACTGGACGCTGAATATATGCTCCCCTCGGTTGGGTTGCTTTTAATGAGCTTCACAAACTGGGAATGGCTAATGTGGTGGAACAGTAGTCTGCCATTTTCCAGAGTGGGTGTGTTTGGTGGACACAGCGGAAGCAGTAACCTCCCTAGTCAGCTCTTCCCCTCGGGACTCTGGTAGGAAGATTACCTACTAAACTTTGGTCCTAGGACCAGCCTGGTCGCTGAAACGCTTCAGCGACCAGGCTGGTTATTAGATGGAGGCATCGGAGCTGCGGAACGTTCCGCACCTCTAGGTGCTAAAGCTCTTGGTCCCTTGGTATGCATCTTGTAGGGCAACTCTAGGTTCAGACCCTGGGTTTGGACTATGCTTGGATCACTGCAGTTCATTCAAAGAACAGATGGTGAGCAGGCATTTGTTTAGTATGGCCTCGTGGGTTTAGCGTCAACACCACAACACAGCGTCGAGTTCCCTCGAAAGGGAATGTCTTAGGGTTATGTGTGTAAACATGTTCCCTGAGAAGGGAACGAGATGCTGCATCATGGTGTTGACGCTTTAACTCAGAGCCAGTAGTGTAGACAAGATATGACGGCACACTTCCCCGGTGTCCACTGGGAGGTTTTTCCCAGCTGGATCTCCTGAAAGTACTTTTGCTACTCCAAGCAGGACTGAGGGTTAGAGCGGGCATGTTGATAGAGCAGATGCCAACTCTATACGGCATCTCTCAATCTCTTCTGTAGTCTTCGCCAGCTCTTTAAGACTGGACACTGAATACATGCTCCCCTCAATTGGGTTGTTTTTAAAAAGCTTTACAAATTGGAAATGACTCCAGGCATGCCTGCATGTTTTCCATCAGACCACTCTAAGTGTATGACGTTTAATGCAGGTGCCCTTTTATAGTCATGCTGCCGCACCAGTGACATCATATGACTGCTTTGACCAATAAATTATCTTGCTTTCGACAGAGTTTTCTGTAGAATTGTATGGGGAGGCGACTGCACCATTATTTGGGTCAGTTTTTTGGCATCATCAATACAAAAACAAAATTGCGGTTAATGGCTTTACAAGGTCGTCAAACCAATTCTTCCTGTTTAAGTGTGGGCTTCTTGATCAGAATAAGCAGCAGTGTGAACCAGAATTTATTCTGATGTTCTCTAGTATTCAGCAAGGTTTATAACAGGTAGATTGGGGGAGAGACCCAGTAAAAAGTGTACCGTAAGTGTTTCTGAACAAATGTGTCTGCCACAGACTATTACTTTATTATGACTTCTTCCTGGCTTTCATGTAAACTGATATTCAGTATATAAGCTAATCTATGAGCGCACTGGTAATAATTGAATAATTCAAAGATACGTTAGAGGAACATTCTGCTCAATTTCACATGGAACTCTTAACTGCCAGAACTCAAACCCTTTGGGAACCGATGTGGTTCTGACATTTCAAAGCCATGAGGATTTAACTAGAGAGACACAAAATATAGGGCAGGTCTCACACTAGGATTTTACGGTTGCCAAGAGACACTTCACAGCTAACTGAAAAAGGGAGACAACACACACAAACTGAGCGTTCAGGGGGACAATACTGTTGAATTTATATCAAGCTTGGGCATTTCCAGAAAAAGCCCAACTAGTAGGAGAGTCAAATATTTGTACTAGACAGACTGCAGATTATTAGAATGGCAACAGGCAGACCTCATTCTTAAGAGATGGCGAAATCAGTGAAATCATAAGGAATCCAGCAATAAAGGGCATATATATCCATACACGTGTGGTCTTGTAGTGTGTATGTGTGTGTGCAGTGTGAAGTGACCTGGTTGGTCTCCATCCAGCGGCTGGCCTCCTGCAAGTGATTAAACTCGACGAAGCCGAATCCTCTGCTCTGACCTGGAGACACAGCCGTCGCCGGGCCACAATGACAGAACACAACGCAGTGAGGGGTTAGTGTTTTCATATCGACAGAGAGGGAGAAAGAGAGAGACAGAGAGATGGTAGAAAGAGGTATAGCTGTATTCTAACCAATAATAACACTGCTGCCTTTAAATTGCTAGAACTGATGGCTCTTTTTGTTTCCCTAACAATAATCACACAGGACATTCATTTGAAAATGTGGGTTTTCACACACAAAACTATAGGTCTATTAGATTTCTGATGTTTCAGCAACAAAACCTAACATCTGAAAACCATTATGCACTACCATTCACAAGATTGGGGTTTTTGAAAGTCTCTTCTGCACACTCAGGCTGCGTTTATTTGATAAAAAAACAGAAATATTGTGAAATTTTAAATACTTCTTTTGTAAAGCTGAATTTACAGCATCATTACTCCAGTCTTGTGTCACACGATCCTTCAGAAATCTTTCAAATATGCTGATTTTATGCACACAAAAACACATATCTGATTATTATAAATGTTGAAACAGTTATTATAACGTAATATTTATAATACTTAATATTTTTGTAGAAACTCCAGTACAGGATTCTTTGATGAATAGTACAATTCCAAAGAAAAGCATCTATTTGAAATCGATTTTTATTATGAAACAATGTAAAAGTATTTTTTGTCACTTGTGATCACTTTAATAAGTCCTTCCTGAATAAAATGAAAAATTAAAAATAAATAAATCCCACTGACCCAAACTTTTCAATGGCAGTGTGAGTATGTGTATATATTATTTAATAATAATATTATTATTAGATACTATAGTAATTGCTTTACTTTACATTATCTAACATGTAACTTTTTGGATACTCGTTTTTTTTATGTTTTGACTGTCCGATTCACAAAATTTACCAGTCTAATTTATATACAATTCTAATTAATACCTATTTTTTATGAGGCTTGTCTGAAATCACACCAAGCAGTACAGTACAGTCCAATTATATCAGTCGGCCTGAAATGCCAAAGTGTTTAACAAAGGTCTCTGGCTAAACTGCCCACATGGGATTAAAGCTGTTTGAAATATGCTTTCCACTATTGCATTGTTTCCTACTGCAAACAAAACATAGGCAAAATACGTTTTATTGCTATAGTTAATTGATAAAAAAGACATTATACTTGAACCATAACCATTTTAATACGAAATAAATTGACTGACCTCTAAACTATGGTAAATAACAGTTCCACATGCGCTAAAAGTCAATAGCTTTAATCTTCTCTCCAAAATACCTTCATGCCACTGACACATAAACAGGGTGGAAAAAATAAAGGAAACACCTAATAATACATTGATATCAGGGATCTATACAGGAAAAGAGCCACAGCTTTAGTCCTTCTTGGAATGCTGTCATACAAACCCTCAACCGTGTGTTGTGGGATACTGCACCATTCAAGAAGAGAATCTTCCCCTTCTTCCAGGTGTGAAGTAGGGGGAAACGTTTAGCAGAACAACTCGTACAGAAGATGTTTACAATTACATTTACATCTGGTGATCAGCGAGGCATTTGGTATTTGACCTCCTCCTGCTGTTCAGGAAGTCATTCTCAGTTGTATCTCTGCAGGTATTATCACTCCTGGATACGGCAACAGTGTTTGCCTCTTAGGGGGCCCCTAAGTCCGCTGTTATATAACTATGTATTACAGCAAACAGATGTAGCTACCTATATCTTTATGGATTATGTACAATATTTAACAGTTAGATATATTTTTAAACACTGCGGTTTATTGGTGGCCCTTGGCTTTCTTCAAATGCAAACCCATTAAAACATAGACTTAACCTAATGTGACTAACCTTTGTAGCGGTGTAATTAAGGCTGTTCACACTTGGTAGGTTTGGTTCATTTGAAAGAACTCTAATGCGATTGCTCTGTTAGTGTGGTTCATTTGATTAATGTGAACGCTGCCATTTGAACCCTGGTGAACACCAAACAAGCGGACCGAGACGCTGAAAAGAATGGTCTTGATCCGCTTCCAAACGAACTCTGGTGCGGTTCGACTGAGGGCGTTTTTACACTGGGCACGGTTGCTGCGGCCTGAGTCCGACCGTGATTGTTCCCCCACAGCGTCGGTCTGGTTTCACACTAAACTTGATTCTATCGAACGCTGGTGCGTTTGCGTTCATCTCACAAACATGATCATCCCTTACATGTGTTTTACTGAACTATACATCGTAATCGGCTAAAACGCACGCACAGTTTACTTTACTTCCTGAACAAGCGCGCACCCGAATACGAATTGCTTTTACATTAACGCGAATCGCGGAGTGCAACCGAACTCAGACCAGCTCCTTCAGGTAGTCTCGGGTTCGGTTCCTCAGTGTAACCCGGGTCCGCAGGACAGCTTTCACATTAGCAATGTTTCATGCGAACTGTTCCTCGTTCCGCACTAAACTGCCAGGAAAAATGCCCTGAAATATGAACACAACACGGAGCAGAGTCATCTGAACGAGCCAAAAACAGGATATGATGTCGCAAGATGCAACCCTAAAAAAATACCTGTTTTTTTCTCTTCATATTTGTTGTGATGTTCTCCATAACAGTTTGATACAGGCATCTGAAGCAGTCTTCTTGCAACAGATTTTTGTTTGTGTGTGTGTAACAACGCATTGGTTCCTGCCGCTGTTTTGACGTCTTTACACATATTATACGCTTTTTGTGAGTTCTACGCTGGTAAAAAAAAAATACATCACAATTCATCATATGTATATGAACATACAACGAGCAGATTTATCCCAGAACACAGCTTTGTTTTGGATGTTCGGTAAGTTCCGTCACGAAATATACGTCATAAAATCTGTTCTTTAGGTTTGGTGTTGACAGCGTGAACGCTAAGCAAACCGGGACTAAATGTATCATTTTCTTTTTTTGGTCCAAACCAAAAGAACCGAACTACCAGAGTCAACACGCACTAAATGGCCTGAAGAAACGAAACGCTTTTAAATGGTGTTTACCTTACTTTGTCCACCCTTTTAGCTGAGGATACAAAATATGAGGATCTTACCCATCAAAAAAAGCCAACAATTGCTCATTAAATGGTCAGCCACACTTATCCTCTCAACACAGCTTTTGCAATATACTTACACAATACAAGGTGCAAGATCTTCCACAGACTTCATCACAAGAGCAATCAAAGTGAATGAGGGATAAGGCTGGAAGGACATGTGAGGCAAGCTTGGCACTAGGAGTAGATGTGTTTGTGCTTGTGTGAAGGCATATACATTACTGTTCCTTGTGGATGTATCAAGTGTGCATGTGAATGTTGTCTGGTTAAGAATAGTCTGACAAGGGGTATGGTAAGAAAATGGTCATACACAATACAGAACAGGAACCAATCAGAAGTGATGGCTTAAATGAAAAGCTGTGCAGGGGGTTACGGAAACATACACCTGAAGATTTCAAAACACCAGTACTAAGCAGCCTTTTCATTCAACTCAAATACACCAGGAGGAAAGTGAGAAAGAAGACAGAGACTGTACTGAAGTAACACACTGAACTAGGCAGACGCAAGAGTGAGCTAAGGCTTGTTATGAAAGGCAGTGGAAGAGAGACTTGGAAGTCAGTCTGGGGTACAAAGAAGCCCTCCTGGTAGAGCACGCTTACCTGTAGACTTGTTCCTCATGAGGCGGACTTCCCTGGGCTGGACCCCCTGCTCCTGCAGCCGAGCCCGAATCTAAAGAGCAAACACCAAACACTTGATTTGATGACCAAACAAAACATGGTGTTTGCCCAAAATTGGTATTCTAATAGCTGGATGACTAAATACTCCAGGTTAAATACAAGTAGTAAAGCTCTATCATTTGTAGTATACAGTGTATATAACACCAGAAAATGTTAACCTATCCCACAGTTTCTAAAATCTACGTACTATGTGCAATGGAAGTTTATAGTGCAAGCAAACAACAACTGCCACAGAGAAATCTATTATAAAGTAAGAGCATTTTGTTTTGTTTTCTGTTGTAATAATCTTGTGTCCTATGCATCTATGTGTATCCATGTTCTAACTAGGGGTGGGGGAAAAAATCGATTCTTAGATGCATCGCGATGCGGACGTGGACGATTCTGAATCGATTCACAATTGTCAAAAATCGATTTTCAAAAAAAAAAAAAAATTTTTTAGATATATATTTATAATAACGTAATATTGACGGAACGCGAAAGACGGAACTCTGAAGCGCGGAAGTGCAGTGGCCGGACCGTCTGTGGCGTGCACATAACAGACGCGGACGCGATGGCTGAGCGCCAAATCCAAACACCCTCCTCGTTAAAAGCTGACGTGTGGAAATATTTTGGCTTCTGAAGTTGAAGGGGGAAAGGAGCTGGACAAGAGCCACACTAGTTGTAAGCTTTGTAGAGTAAAACTAAAATATTTCGGAAACAAGACACATGAAGCCAAATGACACGTTTCCAGCCAGAGGAGGAAAAACACTCGGCTGTAACGTTACCGGTCGTTGTTATATTATTAATTTACTACAAATATGCTGCTGCTAGTTCAGACACACATGTATTTTCCTGTTGGTTCTTTGCAATGTTAATAAAATATATTGTACGTTAATTCTTTATGGGTCATTACTTTGTACTTTTAAAGCAAAGTATTTATAGTCACACACACACACAAAAAAGATTCTGATAATCGATTTAGCATCGAATCGCAGCCCTCTGAATCGTAATCGAATCGAATCGTGAGGTGCCTAGAGATTCCCACCCCTAGTTCTAACCAGACGCGCTGCAATAAGATTTCAGTGACAAGCAATTGTCTATTGGATGCAACACAATCGATTTAAAAACAGCCAATCAGAAGAGTGTGTGGGCGGAGTCTCTCCGCAAGCGCACTGCACTCGCAACTAAGTACATAATTAAATAAATATTGCACCATTTTAACACTATTAAAAATACATTAGAGACAAACTACAGCTAGTTCAAAACGCAGCAGCCCGAGTTCTTACCAGAACCAGGAAACATGACCATATTAGCCCGGTTCTGTCAACACTGCATTGGCTCTCTATTAAACATCGTATACATTTTAAAATATTGTTGATTACTTACAAAGCACTAAATGGTTTAGCTCCGCAGTACTTGAGCGAGCTCTTTACGCATTATAGTCCTTCACGTCTGTTGCGATCTCAAAGTTCCGGCCAGTTGATAATACCTAGAATATCTAAATCGACTGCAGGCGGGAGATCCTTTTCCTATTTAGCACCAACACTTTGGAACAGTCTTCCTACCATTGTCCGGGAAGCAGACACACTCTGTCAGTTCAAAGCTAGACTAAAAACACATCTCTTTGACCTAGCATACACATAACACACTATAGACTTCTATAATTCAATATTAGGCTGCATAGATTAGGTCAGCCGGAACTGGGAACACTTCCCTCAAATCCTGATGTACTCGTTACATCATAAGAAGAATGGCATCTACGCTAACTTTAGTGTCTTTGTTTATCCCGAGGTTTTCCCGCAGCCTGCCGGATCCAGGCCGTATCCAGATCTGACGAAGGAGATTCGCCTGGACCCGATGACAATGCAGTGCTGAAGTGTCAACTATCCTCTCCCTATGGAGGATCCCTTTCCCACTCTACAGAAAAAGCGTTGTTGAAAATCCGGTTCGCGTACCCCGAAGTGATAAAATAAAACAAAATTCGTTATCTAATGTATAGGCAAGACAAGTAGTTTGTTTAGGCATGGTTTGTAGGGAAATTACAAACCTGCGCACACATATTCAAACGAATAAAACTATAGAATCAATTCTTAATACGCATGTGAACGCCATCAGGTCACAGGTTCGCGTTTAAAGCCTGTTTAGAGACAACGCCGTCGTCTTAGTGGCCCCTACTGTAATAACAAATGATAATTTTGCTGGAAGTGAATCAATCAAAACTAACTTTAGCTGGAAATAACATTATTCAAAAATCGCTATAAAGCCAAAACAATCTCTGCTACCGTAAATTGTATGTTTATCTCTGTAAAGCTGCTTTAAAACAATCTACATTGTTAAAAGCGCTATATAAATGAAGATGACTTGACTGAAACAATCTTTGTCATAGAAAACACTTGTTTGTTCACATTGAGTTCACAGCATGAATACTCGTTTCCATCTGAAGATCTGAGGTGAAATATCCATTGTCGCTTTAAGTATGGCTATAAAGGTCACACAAAATGATATTCAAACTCACAATAAATTCATTTAACATTAAATAAAGCACATAATCAGTACATGAGATTATCATTGTCACATGTGTGTGTTGTTGTTGGCTGCTTGGAACAAAAAGTCTGATTAACATGGACAAGATACCTTTTTATCGCGCATCGCAAGCCGTCTGGTTAGGACACAAGTGTATGCAACAGATGTTTGGTTATTATATTATATATATATATATATATACACACACAAGTCAAAAAATACAAATATTGACAAACCTCGTTAGCGGTTGCATTCGGTGGAAGCATTCTCAGCATGACAACGTTACTGGGTTTCTGGACCGGCTCTGTATCAGACCTGTAGTCCTGGTCACGGGGTTCTGGCTCCTCCTGGCTCATTTCCAGAGCATGCTGGTAGTTTCCATCTCTCATTTTGCCCGTAGCTGATTGGACTTGGTCAGGAACACCCTAAATCAGGAAGATAGTCCTCCCCCTATATATCACTCTTCTCAAATTTTTTAATCACCAAGAGAAATCTTTAGACTTGTAAAAATGTTTAGAGTATAAACAATATAAGGTAAGTAAAGCAAATTAAGATTTAAGAATTGTAAGCAACTTAATCCATTTCAATAGTCAATACCTTTGTCTGTAATCATGATTCATACAAAACTAAAACCGTTTCGGAGAGACAACTCTACTCACTTGTTTGTGGCCAAGATGTGTGGTATATTTGTCTTCCTCAGCGCCGCATTCGCCTTGAGAGTTGTGCCGTCCTCTAACTCTGCCCCAAGTGTTGTCCTCATTTTCTTCACCTTCATCTGGCGTTTGGTCCTCCTGGTACACTTTCTGTCCTGATCTAAATGACTGCATATCTCTCCTATGTGCATCAATCTCTGGTTCAAATTCATAATTCTTTTCATCTTGCTGGAATCTTGAGTGGATGTTCTGATTTGGGGGCCTTTGGAGCAGACTTTTTCCAAGTTTGTTGTCTTTGGATCCACGGTTCCCCTTTTGGCTGAATCCGGGTCGATTATTCGAGAAATTGCCCGAGGCGAAGTCTCTCACACCTTCGAAACTATTGTCACGCTCGTGCTGTCTTGCATTTGTTAATCTGCTATTCAGTCCTAAGCCATTTTCTTGTCCATAGCCACGATAGTCCATGTCCCTATAGTCGTGTTCATCAGACTCTTTCCCATAGCGGCCCATGCGGTCCCCACGACCACCCCTAGGGCATCGAAAAAGAGCAAGATTTAGGCACTCTGTAGATTAAAGGTGCAGTAAGCGATTTCTGAAAAACGCTGTTAAAAATTAAATCAACAACCAAATTTTGTTAATATTTGCATCTTCTTTGCTAGATGGTTTAAATGAATGATTAAATGACTCACTCATAAATACATCACTTGTTGCATTACTGGATGAATCAGTGTTTTTGAACAAATCTCTTGAATGAATGATTCAATGATGAATACATTTTAACAGTCACTTGTCGCTACCTAGTTGAGTAACGATTAGGGCTGTCAACGAATATTCTAAATTCGAATATATATTCGAATAGTTTTAAAAAACAGAAATTCGAAGGTGAAAATTAATATTCGAATCATGTGGAAAAATACGTCCGCGGTAGCAGAGGCGCGGCTGTCTGCTTTGCGAGTGGCAAAATTCTGAAGCTTAAAATGTAAAATGCATTTTCCAGCTGCACAGCTAGCACAGTGAGTGTCTGGCTCACTCATTGGCTGTGCTGCGGCAACTGCACATCCAATGGCACGGGCGCCTCCAACGTGTGCGCCAATGAGCTAGCATTACATCAGACACGTCAGAGCCTGCCAAGGGGGCGTAGCCAGAGCCCTCGAAATAGCCATTATAGCAGAAGTTTACCACAGCACAGCTCGCTCGGAGCGTTCAATGTCGGTTCTATATACTGTAAAACTTCAATTAATGTTAATAATATTTGTTTCAATCACCGAATGAAGCCTGCTATATTTAGGACAAGAGTCGGGACCTTAAATTGCTTGCACAAAACTCTTGATCAGCACTCAACATTTGTTTATTGTTGTTCATTTAAACCGTTATGCGCAGGGAGGGGGGAGAGAGAGAGAGAGAGAGAGAGAGAGAGAGAGAGAGAGAGAGAGAGAGAGAGAGAGAGAGAGAGAGAGAGAGAGAGAGAGAGAGAGAGAGAGAGAGAGAGAGAGAGAGAGAGAGAGAGAGAGAGAGAGAGAGAGAGAGAGAGAGAGAGAGAGAGAGAGAGAGAGAGAGAGAGAGAGAGAGAGAGAGAGAGAGAGAGAGAGAGAGAGAGAGAGGTAGCGAGTCTTGGCCATTAGTTGATTTACTTGGTTTTGTGTAAGTTAATACGTTGTCAAATATGTTTAAACTTAAATAAACTACCTATACAAGTAGTTGTGTCTCTTTGTATTAATTTGTCCTGTTATTGACGTAATGCGCGTCATTGACAAAATGCGCAATCAGATATTCGAATAGTTCGAATATATGTTTTTTTTAGAGGGAATATTCGAACGTCATTTTTGAGCAATTTTGACAGCCCTAGTAACGATGTAATCAATACAAGTGTTACTTGAAACCGTTCTCTCTGGGTCGGCGACAGCGCAAACGCAGATTTGAATGTTCCGGTGTGTTTTTGTCAAAGGTTAATAGACACTGACGAATCATTGTCATTTAGGAATAAGGTCGCATGGGTGTCTGAATCGAGATAGCGATCTTTTAACGATTAATCGTGCAGCTCTAGATCAGATCGAGCACCACAACATTCTTCCAGCCAATCAGCAATTAGGGTGCATATTCGCTCGTGATAGGGGAGGATTGAGCAAGCGGGACATTTGTAGAGACTAGAGAAAGAGACATGACTGAGATATTACCAAAGAAGAAAAGGTCAGAGGAATATAGGCTACGATCAGATAAGAGCTAATACTCTGAATATTGGAAAACTTTCAAGTGCTGGAAAGACCTAAGTGGAAAGGCCTAAAAAATGGAAGGCAAGGTTGAGTTGTTTCTGCTCGATATGCTAGTAACATTATTTTAAGATATGCTGGTGTTGTAATATAAGCTTAGTAATGAGTGTGTTCGTTATTTTGGTGGTAGAGTAATAAAGGCCAAGCTGAGTATCTTTTGGGTAGGGGTGTGTTTGTTTGGGTGTTTCCCAATTGTTTCTCAGAAATAACTTACTGCACCTTTAAAGGGTTAGTTCACCCAAGAATGAAAATTGTGTCAGTAATAACTCACCCTCATGTCGTTCTAAACCCGTAAGACTTTCTTTCATCTTCGTAACACAAATTAAGATATTTTTGATGAAATGTGAGAGCTTTCTGTTCATCCATAGACAGCTATACAACTACCACTTTGATGCTTCAAAAAGTTCAACTAATCCATATTTGATTTAAGCGGTTTAGTCCAAATTTTCTGAAGAGACTCAATTGCTTAATATGATGAACAGATTGAATATAGGCTTTTATTAATATATAAACATTGATCAGTGAACATAAACAGAAACTAAACCGAACCTGCTTGACGCATGAGAACAAACCTCTTTCGTAACGTGCTCAAACGTGCTGCGTAACACGAGAATGAACCTCATTGGTTCTTGCAGAAGCTCAAACGTGATGCGTAACACGAGAATGAACCTCATTGGTTCTTGCTGAAGCTCAAACGTGATGCGTAACACGAGAATGATCCTCATTGGTTCTTGCTGAAGCTCAAACGTGCTGCGTAACACGAGAATGATCCTCATTGGTTCTTGCAGAAGCTCAAACGTGCTGCGTAACACGAGAATGAACCTCATTGGTTCTTGCAGAAGCTCAAACGTGATGCGTAACACGAGAATGATCCTCATTGGTTCTTGCAGAAGCTCAAACGTGCTGCGTAACACGAGAATGATCCTCATTGGTTCTTGCAGAAGCTCAAACGTGATGCGTAACACGAGAATGATCCTCATTGGTTCTTGCTGAAGCTCAAACGTGCTGCGTAACACGAGAATGATCCTCATTGGTTCTTGCTGAAGCTCAAACGTGCTGCGTAACACGAGAATGAACCTCATTGGTTCTTGCAGAAGCTCAAACGTGCTGCGTAACACGAGAATGAACCTCATTGGTTCTTGCTGAAGCTCAAACGTGCTGCGTAACACGAGAATGAACCTCATTGGTTCTTGCAGAAGCTCAAACGTGATGCGTAACACGAGAATGAACCTCATTGGTTCTTGCTGAAGCTCAAACGTGATGCGTAACACGAGAATGATCCTCATTGGTTCTTGCTGAAGCTCAAACGTGCTGCGTAACACGAGAATGATCCTCATTGGTTCTTGCAGAAGCTCAAACGTGCTGCGTAACACGAGAATGAACCTCATTGGTTCTTGCAGAAGCTCAAACGTGCTGCGTAACACGAGAATGAACCTCATTGGTTCTTGCAGAAGCTCAAACGTGCTGCGTAACACGAGAATGATCCTCATTGGTTCTTGCAGAAGCTCAAACGTGATGCGTAACACGAGAATGAACCTCATTGGTTCTTGCTGAAGCTCAAACGTGCTGCGTAACACGAGAATGATCCTCATTGGTTCTTGCAGAAGCTCAAACGTGCTGCGTAACACGAGAATGAACCTCATTGGTTCTTGCTGAAGCTCAAACGTGCTGCGTAACACGAGAATGAACCTCATTGGTTCTTGCAGAAGCTCAAACGTGATGCGTAACACGAGAATGAACCTCATTGGTTCTTGCTGAAGCTCAAACGTGCTGCGTAACACGAGAATGATCCTCATTGGTTCTTCCAGAAGCTCAAACGTGCTGCGTAACACGAGAATGAACCTCATTGGTTCTTGCAGAAGCTCAAACGTGCTGCGTGACACGAGAATGAACCTCATTGGTTCTTGCTGAAGCTCAAAGGTGCTGCGTAACACGAGAATGAACCTCATTGGTTCTTGCTGAAGCTCAAACGTGCTGCGTAACACGAGAATGAACCTCATTGGTTCTTGCAGAAGCTCAAACGTGATGCGTAACACGAGAATGAACCTCATTGGTTCTTGCAGAAGCTCAAACGTGATGCGTAACACGAGAATGAACCTCATTGGTTCTTGCTGAAGCTCAAACGTGCTGCGTAACACGAGAATGATCCTCATTGGTTCTTCCAGAAGCTCAAACGTGCTGCGTAACACGAGAATGAACCTCATTGGTTCTTGCAGAAGCTCAAACGTGCTGCGTGACACGAGAATGATCCTCATTGGTTCTTCCAGAAGCTCAAACGTGCTGCGTAACACGAGAATGAACCTCATTGGTTCTTGCTGAAGCTCAAACGTGCTGCGTAACACGAGAATGAACCTCATTGGTTCTTGCAGAAGCTCAAACGTGCTGCGTAACACGAGAATGAACCTCATTGGTTCTTGCAGAAGCTCAAACGTGATGCGTAACACGAGAATGAACCTCATTGGTTCTTGCACATCAAGTGAACATGCTTGAGCTTCCATTAACCACAAATGATGCGAGTTGATGAATGTCTATATAATAAAAGCATAAATTCAATCTGTGCATCATATAAAATGATTTTGTCTCTTCAGAAAATTTTGGACTAAACCAGTTTTACGATATCTTTATGAACTTTTTTAAGTGTCAAACAATGTGTCAGTTGTGTAGCTGTCTATGAAAGGACAGAAAGCTCTCAGATTTCATCAAAAAGATCTTCATTTGTGTCTTAAAGATGATTAAAAGTCTTACGGGTTTGGAATAACATGAGGGGGCTAATTTATGAAAGAATTTTTAGGGATGCACGATATAGGATTTTGGCCGATATTCGATATGCCGATATTTTCAAACTAATTTTGCCCGATGCCGATACCGATACCGATATATTTTTTTTAAGTGCAAAAAAAGCTTATTAAAGCTTCTATTATTGTTCTCAGTCAAGAGCAGTGAGTGATTTCCTCTGTGTTTTGTTGTTTTATTAACATTAACGGGATAGTTCTCCCAAAAATTTAAATTGTCATCATTTACTCTCTCAAGTTTCTTTCTTCTGTTGAAATTATAAAGGTTATTTGGAAGAATGTGGCTAACCAAACAGTTGCTGTACTCCAGTGACTTCCATAGTATATTTAAGCACAAGAAAGAAATGAATCCAGGTTTGAAACAACATTAGATAGACAGAATTTTTATTTCTGGGTGCAGTATCTCTTTAAAGACAAGCGGCAGAATATTATTACTGTCTCTTTAAGAACTGCGCGCGAGTAACGCGACGTGTCTAATATACACGCATTTGACAAGCAGATTTTCTCAGTTTGCTTTAACTTTAGACATAACCAACTTTGTTTATATAAACCTTGTGTGTATTTGACAGTATCAGCGCAATAAGACTCGAAAGATTAGTCCAGTATGCAGGCGCTGTGACGGCTTTAGTTCCTGTGAGCGTCGGGTGTAACGCGCTCAGAAAAGCGGATGTTAGAACAGCGCATCAGCACGTGAATGACATGTTTACCTAGCAAGACTTTGACGCACATGCAAACAATGAACTTTTGTGAATTGCGGTGTCCCGTGAGTGTAACTCTACCTCTGCGTTTACATGTGATGTGATGTGAATGTACGTCGCGTTGTACAGTATGTTGAGATGAAGGCGCCAGAATTGAACTGATAGAATGCACGATACTATGATTTTTCTTCAAAAGCAGATAGTGGAGACATTTTAATCGTCCACGATCAAAAACCGTGAGACGCACGGCACACCCCTAGTTGGAAGTTTAAGTTGCTGGCGCTCATGCTTCGTTCACGGTCGTCACGTGCGCATAGGAAACACGCCACCCTATCGGCAAGGCTCATCGGCAGAAATATTCATATCGGCCGATGCCGATGATGGTCATTTTAAGCTTTTATCGGCCGATACCGATGTTGTCCCGATATCATCGTGCATCCCTAAGAATTTTAATTTTGGGGGGAACTATCCCTTTAAATCTGCATGCTCTTCTACTCCAACTCAAGAACCACCAATCATGTACCATCGTGCATGTGGTAGTTGGCATACATTTTAAAAGCAGTGACAGCGTGAAGTGTTACATTTTTATCTAAAGACTACTTCCATCCGTCTAATTCTTGTATAGTTATTATCGATGAAGCTTTATGACCTCTTAATTGAAAGACAACATGAAATATTTGTACCTCCATATATTTCAGTGATTCTTTGGAATTTGGATAAAACAGGTTTTAATTCTAAAAATAAAAAGTTAGTTAAATTACAAAATCTGAAGGTATATCATTATAAACCAAGGTCTTGGCTGTTCAGCAATGTACCGGTGCAAATCCTTCTATTACGCAACAGTACTATTTGAATAAGCTGAAAAAAGGTGATGTTAAAAGGGTGAGAAAAATGGTGACCAGTTGCAGTACCTTAAATATACTTCCCTCAAGTTCCCTGCATGCATTTACAAACCTTAATTCTTTTGTAAACAAAAAAAGCAGTTCAAGTATAGGCTATTTGTCAATAAACTGAACATGTCTGACAGCATGAGGTTATGTAATAAGGTCAGAACATTCATGCATGAATCCATCCAGACCAGTGGTTAAATGCAAATTCATATTAAAAACATACGAGAACACTTGACCTACCTCCTCTCATAATCCATGCTTCAGTGCAAGTCGACAGAAACGCCCACCTCTTCCACTGCCTGATTCATTTACAACTGTTGGCGAAATATGTAATAATCAACCCTCACATTTATTAAAATAATGCATAAAAACATGGATATAATGTTGACTTTTACTGTTTTTTAGCTGCCAAGCACACGAGTAGGACGGATACAGTATGTGTGTGTGTGTGTGTGTGTGTGTGTGTGTGTGTGTGTGTGTGTGTGTGTGTGTGTGTGTGTGTGGATTGTCCGAAGCCAAAAACTCGTTCGCATGTCGTTGTACCCTTTACGCCATTTGGAAAAACTACAAAAGGGCAGCAATGCCGTTGTCAGAAATGATATAATACTTTCTGCAGGGCTGTTCAGTCATGCAAATGCTAAACTGAGCCTTACACTAATCTATAGAGAAAAAATATATATCTAATAAATACATACACAACAACCGTCAATCAAATCTCTACCTCTAAGTAACCAAATAAATAGCATACATGTGCAAAATGCTTAATAGAGCTGCGTATGACAGATTCAGTCCAGAGGGCACGGACACCAACCTAAACCCTGCACACCGACACCCGAGTGCAGATACGCCGAACTTTTAAACTACAGTATTTTAATTGCATAATAATAACAACATGAAGTCATTTACCTCTGTTACAGCAGCAGCGTCACGAGCACCGAAACTGATACAGGGTAAATGCGTGACGCCTCACGGTAAAGCTCGGTGTAAGATGGCCTCAGTCCGGTAGGCGGGGACAGACCTCTCTCGCTGATTGGCTTAAAGCACACTGGCATACAAACGCACACTATGTGTTAGATAAGGTGACCATTACTAATACTAAACATGGAAAGAAACATGTTGTTCGTTGCACATGAAGGGGCCGCCCTCACCTGATGCTGAAAAGCTGCACGCTGGGATCACATGGGCAGCGTACTCAATTCAGGCCGTGTCTGAAATGGCACACTCGTGTACTTGCGGTCTTGAATTAGCTTTGCACTGCAGTGTGTGTAAGGTAGTGTGTCCCATTTGTTGTTTCAGGTTCCAGAAAACTGCTGCTCACTAACGCCCCCTATGCGCCCTTTTGCAATGTCGCATATCTCACAGCTGTGTAGTATTGAGTAAGTAGAACCAAAATGGTCTCTGGTAGAACTCATGGTGTAAAGTATTTGAGTAAATAAAACCAGTTACTGTACTTAAGTATCTTTTTTGGCAACTTAAAATAAAATTGCGACTTTTTTCTCTCAAGTGCGAGTTTACTACCTCGCAAATTCTAACTTTCTAACTCGCTATTGCGAATTAATATCACGCAATTCTGAGGGAGAAAAGTCGTGCAAGATGTAAACGCAATTTACAAGGAAAAAAGGTCAGAGTTGTGAGATAAAAAGTCGCATGTTCTATTTTGTGGAGGCGGATACAATGCAAGGCCTTTTCTGTAGCAGTTTATAGTTTATTTCTGCTACAGTTTTATTTCTGGAGGAAATGACCAGAATCTGAAACCAGCGTGTCAGTGCAAGTAGGCTTACCATTATTCTATATATCTGGAAGAGACCTTTTTGAAGGATATTGGTTCAGGTATGTCCTTTTTGAGCACTTGAAGCTTAACTGAGACTTGAGGGCCTGTGGATGTTTAAGAGGCTGCAGTGTCAATTGCAATATTGAGCCTTTTGAGGTGTTCGGTTTCATTTCAAATGTAAAAAATAAAATATGTGATTGCTCTCCTCACAAATCAACAGTTTATTGTTTTCACTGGCATGTCTCTTAGGTGTCGAGGACAAGTGCGCCTCTGAGCCTACATTCAGTATTAGTAAAATACTTAAGTACTGTTCAAATCAGGCCCTCGAAGACTTTTACTCGAGTCATATTGAAACTAGTGACTTGTACTGGAGTCATTTTCAGTGAGGTATTTTCCGGTACTCTTTACCCTCAGATAGCACTCCTTTGCAACTACTTGCAAGTTGTCACATTCAAATCAATGGGAAGATAATGAATTTGTTCAACTTAAACATTTCAAATCTGATTTTCTTAAAATTTTATTTCTAAATGCAAATGATTAAAAAGAAAAAACTGTAAGCTTTAAATAAATCAGTATCACTAAATGGTTTAGATCCCTAATGTACAGCCCAGAATCCTTTGAGACATCAGCTATAAAAAGGAAAAAGCCTGAAGTGGGAGGTTAAACACAATTCAGCCCACTTCAATGTTCAGTGTGTGCTTTAGTTGAGCACAGAATAAAGCCGGGCAGATGCACGCATATACAATGAAGACATGGCACCCTGAAGACGGACGTGCACTCATTTGACACAAACATTCATATTCTTACATATACAAACATACATACAATCTGTCCAATGTACAAAACAGTCGCTGAAGAAGACAGGATGCTTGTTGTTAGACAACCATTTTGTTTGGGGCTAAGAAGTGTGGAGGGGGAAGGAATAACATCAAATATCATAGTTATAGAGTCCTTAAAGAATTTTTTTTTTTTTTGCTCGATGTGACCAGAAAACTCTTAACCCCAAACTTAGCGATGACAGGAAATGACATCATCTTGTTCCCGAAGTCTTTCCATTGGTCTCTCGTGGTTAGTCTGACATGATGTCCCAGTATCAGTCTGATACGGCTGCTGACTGTACTAGGACATGAATGCTAGGCTCCCTGCTCTGAAGTCTCCTGGGCTGTTGACTGACATCCACTCTTCTACAGGTTTCTATAACAGCAGACAGCCATTCTTTTTGCCCCGTTTCCTGGCTTGCAGCCCGGCCCTGGTGGCCATTTCAAAGACCTCTCTCACGCCATCTTTCGTCTTCGCCGAGCACTCTAAATAACCAAAGGCGTTGATTCGGTTGGACATGTCGCGCCCGTCCTCTGCCTTCACGGGCTCCTAAATGAAGATATAATTCAAAAGATATCACAAGCATGTCCAGGCGACTAGCCAATATCAACACATTTATATTAAAGGAATGCATTATATAAAATAAGATACATCATATGCCTATTCACAATCATGTCGATCCATTCCAGTAATCTTCCATTAGAGACAAATCAGACGTTAGGCAGAATATTCAAGCTTACAATGAAAATGGATGTGATTTACACTGTCCAGCTCATAAAAGTATCAAAAAACGTGTTTTATTATCTAGAAACTGACACTGGAGTTTAGCAGTATGACTTAGCATTAGCATTCAATTTTGTTGTATGAAAATGAGTAGCTTGGACATTCTTCTGAGATCATCTTATGTTTTTGAGCAGAAGAAAGTTAGTCGTCCAAAGGTTTGTAAAGACATGAAGGTGAATATCTGACAAAACTATTGAACTATTGCTTTTCAAAAGAAGTAAAAAAAGGCCCTGCCTGTTTCATTTTGGCAAGTTCCCTTCGTGTGTGATCATCATTTCGGAGATCCTTTTTGTTGCCAACGAGGATGATGGGAACATTTGGACAGAAATGCTTCACCTCTGGTGTCCACTTTTCTGGAATATTCTCTGTGATGCATTTAAGGAGAGAGTGATCATTTCAAGTGAACTTGAACCTTATCTTAAAATCATGGCTGAACAGAGTAAAACATTTCACCTGGTTTCACAGACCAGGTTTAGATTAAGCTAGGATCAGGCTTTAGTTCAGTTAGGACATTTAAGTAGCTTTTATAAATGTGCCTTAGAAAAAAACATTACCTGTGTGCATCTTGAGACAAAACAATGGCACTGACATATTTTAATATCTCATATTTCAGTTAGAACAGCTCAAACATGCATTTCAGTCTGGGACTAGACTTACCGGTAAGCCCCGTCTGTGAAACCAGGGGTATATCTTGTTTAAACAGAACTATTACACTTAAATTTACATCCTTAACATGGTTTGCATTTTCCAGAAAGTTAATAAAAACAAAAGCACAAATGAAACCCCTCTATCTTTGCCTGTTACTTAAGCAATGTACTCAAGAGCAAAACTGTTTACTTTTTGATGCAAAGACCAGAGGAAAACCTGATCATTCTTGAACATGCAGTTCTTTCACATATGTTAATCACATGCCAAGCAAGGACCTGAACATTAAAGTCACCATGAAATCAAAATGATTTATCCGTGCACATTATTGTTTTAAATTCATTTTATTCTTGTAAACTCCCTCTTTGAACAACTCTCCTGTTTACTGGCGTGAGGGTGGGGCAATAACCTGTCACTCACAGGAGATCTACCAATACATGAATATCAGATGATGTCACCAACGTCTCCTCACTGACGTCACTCAATTCTAAAACTTGTCTTCCGCCATCTTGAGTACCTGATTCGGCAAGATCGATACGTCAGTCGCAAAGGAACTAAGAGCTTATTCTCTGGCCGAGCCCGAACTTGCGGGCCGATATTTCCCGTCACTATCCTCGGGCCGGGCCCTTGATCTAGAGACGTGCACTCCCAACGCAAAAGAGTGCGGCGCGGGACTAGATTTGATGGCCGAGTGCGAGCGGCAATGCACTCTCTGTGTGTGTGCGCGTTGCAGGGAGAATAAAACGATTAGCGGGACTCCCGCAAACTAGAAAGATCTATGAATAAAACATATAAAAACTAATACATTTTTGCAGAAAAGCAACAAGAACTAAAACAAAATAGAAACGATGTACAGGCCAGAGTTTCCCTTTAAAACACGTTTGCAGCGTTGAGCGATGTAGCCAATCACAGACATACGTGTTGATTTCTTCAACGCAAAGGCCAATCAGAAGCATTTAAGATAGACTCCCCTCACTGCTCAAAACCTCTATGCTCAAAACGGACTCTTTGTTTAGGGCTCTGTATGCTGACAAATCCTCTAATTGTAACAAACAAAGTGTATATATTATGAAAGATTCATTGTGCAGTCAGCTTAATTGATATTATACCATGGTCTGGGTGAATACTCGATTCTGATTGGCTGCAGGGTGTCCGTTAAAAAGTGATAGAGGACACCTAGTAAAGTAGTTCTGGTGAAACTGACCGTTTACCGTTCGAAATTGATAAACAAATGCGCTGGCTACATCAGCTGTGAGTAACCATAGCAACAGGCAGTCAAAGTATCCGGTTACAATTTATTGTATCAAAACAAACATCTAGTTAGCCATTACACTACGCCTACCTGTGTGTTTTAATTATAGTTTTTAAAAAAACGAAAGTGTAACGCCCATGGCTAGACAAGCCTAACTTACATGAAAAAAGAATACGTTAACTTTATTGCTCGTAAGTTAGCTAAACTGAAGGGTTCTCCGAGCTGTCAATGTCGGTGACAGGCCATCGATGCGAGAGCAGTCTGCGGGCTTACTGCATGGGCTCCGTCAGTCCGTGAGAGACGAATATTAATTGTAAATAAAAAAGCTAGCATGTAGGCAAATGACCCTCTCATTTGATCTGATTAATTTATTGCCCTCTATTTAAGCGCAAATCGCTGGAGCGCAGAACTAATTTTTTTTTTTTTATTAATTGTTTTATGTGTAATAAAAAAATAACTATGCCTTCCTTTGTGTTTCATGGGGGGAAAAAATGCATTTTTGAACCTGAAGGGTTCTACAAGCTGAGCGGACTATAAATATCTCCGGTTGCTAAATAAACCGTCAGGCAAGTTATTATTTGTAAAAACTACATTTAGCCTAATTAAAATATAAACTAATGTTTTAAAAATGTTTTATTTGGCAAGTGACCATGGTATAAGCGGGTTAATGCCCTCCGAGGTGTCTATTGTCAGGTTTTAATGGACTTCCTCCGCTGCGCGTCGGACGGTTCACACCGTCGTCCATTAAAACCTGACAATGGACACCTCGTCGGGCATTAACCCTTACTAAACAAAGATGTGAGATCGCGATTAACTGATGTCAGCTTTTTAGGAATTATTAAGGGAGCGCACTTTGCGTGCATTTAGTCAAAATCCCTCAGTGATATGATGCCCAACCATGCACGCAGTAGCTGCTTGCTTTTATGTTATAACAGTGGTTTGTGTGTGCAAACTCTCTGTGCAGTGTTCATTTTGTCTGTGGTGAGTGGATGTAAATGATAATGAGCTTACGCTAGCTTAGGGGTGAGCGATATCACGATTTATGATCGTGGATTAAAATATATCCACAATCTGCTTTTGAAGAAATGTCGTAGTATCGTGCATTCTATCGGTTGCAGTTGTGGCGCCTCCGTCTCAGCGTAGGCTACAACGCGACGTATATTCACATCAAATGTTAACGCAGAGGAACGGGACACTGCAGTTCACAAAAGTTCATTATTTGCATGTGCTAACAAGTCATTCACGGAGTGGGGGTTCAATCTTCAGCTGGCTGGCAGGAGCCGCCACTGGCAGGTCACGTGACCTGTCAGTGGCTGGCTAGTTGTCTGGCAGTCTGCCTTTGGCAAGTTTCAGAAACCATTGATTTTTGACAGTTTTTGTGTTTTGTGTTCCTCTCTTTCTAGCTCATTTATTATGCATCTGTTGATATGATTATGTTCTTTAGTATGATTGCTGTTTTGAGGACTGTTCGGCTGACTGGATGAGCGTCGACAAACGTCTGTAAGCTGCCAGTCGGATCACGGCCATTTGACTGGTTATATTGGGATAACAGTCCTCAAAACAGCAATCATACTAAAGAACATAATCATATCAACAGATGCATAATAAATGAGCTAGAAAGAGAGGAACACAAAACACAAAAATCAATGGTTTCTGAAACTTGCCAAAGGCAGACTGCCAGACAACTAGCCAGCCACTGACAGCTGCCAGCCAGCCACTGACAGGTCACGTGACCTGCCAGTGGCGGCTCCTGCCAGCCAGCTGAAAATTGAACCCCCACTGCATTCACGTGTTGATGCGCGGTTCTAACGAGCGCTTTTCTGAGCGCGTGCACTAAGCCTGTCTAACAACAGCGACAGGTTACTGAACTAAGTTATCTTTCTAGTCTTATTGCGCGAATACTGTCCAATACACACAGGGTTTACATAAACAAAGTTGGTTATGTATAAAGTGAAACAAACAGAGAAAATCTGCTTCCTAGCTAATGCCGTCAGTATTGTAGACAGTACTCGGCAGGTACTCAAGATGGCGGCAGTCAACTGGAAAAAGAGCGGATGACGTAAGAGGTCATGTGACTGATATTCATGTAGCAAACCACAATCCAATCAATTCCCAAAGGACAAATTCAAGCCCCGCCCTACATGTTTTCTTGTGGGAGAAGACACTTCACTCGACGACACAATAGGGAAGAGAATACTATCACAAATTCTGTTTCATGCCGACTTTATAAGAGAAACTGCTATCTCAAATTCATGCTAAATGTTTATTTTTAATCTTTCAATTCTATTTAAATCTTTTTAATCTTGAGCAAAATGAAGAACCCATGTCCATTGCCGATGTCCATCGCATATGCAGATTTTCTTCTTCACACATTTAGATATTTAAATCGAATAAAACCGCAACAATAAAAAGAATTAGCTAAGTTAACTTTAAATGTGCACAGATATCGCCGTTAACGCTATCTCAGACAAGCGGATGCGATGAGACCTGTTTTCCTGTTAGTTCATGTGATGTTCGACATTAAGCCTATTGCTGCATCTTTAACTTTGTCACTATGAAGTAAAAAAATGTTTAAACAACAAGTGAAGATTTCATGAACCAATTCATTAGAACGTTTTATTTATTATTATCTGACTGGGTTTACCACTATGATTGACACATTTAAGGTTACGGTGAAACAGAAGCAGATCTTTCTTCTGTATTGTGACGAATATCTGTGTAAAATGGATTAGCAAAAATTAATAAATGTAGGACAGGACTTGATTTTGTCAGTGGGGTTCATTCTACCATGCTCTGCTCTGATTGGTCAGATGACCCAGTCTGTTTTGATTGGTCTAATTTCAGCTTCGGATCTTCCTCAGCACTTCATATGAGCAGTAATAATGGCATTGTTTGCGGGCCGTCAATGAAGACCATAGGCTGGCATTGTAGAAATGTATTACTAACCTATGTAGGTTCAAGACTGGAATTACTGATGACTCATTTCAGGGAGTTTAGAATCGGTTATTTCTTTTGGGAGACAACCCAAACTCTATTTATCCTACACTTTGATCTTTGAAACGTTGCTGACCTTGCATTCCCAAACAGATATATTATACACTACATAAAAGGTAATTTCGGAAAAGGCATAATAGGGGTAACTTTAAGCACACTAAATGATTGGAGAGCTCGGTTGTTTCACCGGAATATCGAGTTATAACATTTTGATTAAATTATAAGGTCACTTTTGTTGTTTTGTTTTTTTACAAAAAAATGAAACGTGTATATGGATGAAAACAGATAGGGTGAATTTCTATTTCATGCCGAAATAACTTTTTTTCATCAATTGGAATTGAAGTGCAATGAATAGGCTGGTAAAATCTAGACTAGTTGTTTGTGAGGAAGTCTCACCCAAGCTATCAGGACTGTCGATGGAAAAGCACATAAGAATGACATCTGTGTCTGGGTAGGAGAGGGGTCTTAACCGATCATAGTCCTCCTGTCCAGCAGTATCCCATAAGGCAAGCTCTACCTATAAGAGGAAAGATAACTGTGAACCAATAACTGCCACCAATAACTGTGAATCTTATTCTGTATACATCGATACAACTTTGCTTCAAGTATAACTTACACCAATGTAACAACATCTATGCAATGGGGCAGGACCATATATTGAATATTCCTGCTGGGGATGCATTATAAATATCATCCGAGATTTAAATTTTAGTATGAAAAATGGCATTAGAGCTGGGAAGGCAGTAGAGTTAGAATTCATGTGAATCAGTACAAAATGTCTGTGAAATGAAACACAGATGTTTCCTTGAAAACACTGATTAAAAGATGGGTGTGTCATCACTCAGTCTAATTGGATTTTTTCACATATTACAATTTTATACAAAAATAAGTAAATATTGGCGTTTATTACCATGACTTGCTGTCTTAGTGCATATAAATGAAAATAATTAACTCTTATTCTTCCAATTGTTTAAAAACTGTGGAAAACATGCCTTTATTATTTAATAATATCGGAGAAACATACTTTATTTTACTTCTTGCATTAAAAATATATTTGGCTACAACGACTGTTTGGTTGAAATGATGGTGCAAAGACATCATTTTGGACTGCATATACCAATGTCACAAAATACACATGCAAATCAATTTTATGAATAAATGTAAAGCCATTGGCAGCTTTCATACCTGTTTTCCATCAACCTCAATGTCTGCAACATAGTTCTCAAACACAGTGGGCACGTAGACTTCAGGAAACTGATCTTTACTGAAAACAATAAGCAAACAGGTCTTTCCACAGGCTCCATCGCCTACTATGACGAGTTTCTTACGAAGGGCAGCCATCTGCTGAGGAGACACAGACACAAGGACAGACTAAATGTAAACTTCACTCATTCAAAGCATTTTGAGAGCAAACTGAAAAGCAGCTGTTTAAAAGTGGAGAAGTTTACATTTAAAGTGACAGACAGACATAGATGATAGATAGATAGATAGATAGATAGATAGATAGATAGATAGATAGATAGATAGATAGATAGATAGATAGATAGATAGATAGATAGATAGATAGATAGATCTCTGTTTGTAATTTCTATAATCAACAGGAAACGGAAATACAGCAGCTGCGGAAGTATCACTTGACCGGAAGTTGCACTATATATGTGTCGCTATGTGGTAAAGAAAGAAAGATAAAACAAAACTTTCCACAAATACTGAACAAACGACACGATCATAAAACATCAGATTAACGAGGATCTACGTATATTACTGCGTATGAAGATCGATATATTCACGATAGGAACGCGTCCTGTCGCGAGGCCTGTTTCCGCCGCACCCGCGCCATCAAAACAGTCACAGCATTCATTCACAAACAAACATATGCTACATTCATAAAATAATACATTATAAAACGTCAACAAACACCTAGATGTATATACTAACATGGAAAATACGTTTTTTTTTTCATATTAAAAATATAGTTTCGCACTATAAGTGATGAATCATCTGAAGTTGAATTGGTTGGTTAGCCACTAGCCGACATTCATCAGAAAGAAACTGTTTTAAATAAACCCGAAATAATAATCAAATCGGCACATCATTACATAATGGTACAAAACTTTCATAGTCTATTATTTTATTAACATATATCTCAATAAAATCTTTTAGAAAAAATGCGAATGGCAAAGACTTTGTTGTAAGCAGATTAACGTTAGATTGTGGTAAAATATATATACTATTTACTCTAATCTGAAACACTGATTTCAACAATGTCAGAAGAGTTTAAACTCGGGATTAGACTAACGTTACGTGGATTAAACTAATCGGTTCATATTTTCTCGTTAATACATCTCATGTAAAACAGGCTGAGTTTAAACGCATAGAAAGCAGATCGGCTTCATATTAAATCGAATCATAATCATCTGAACTATTTTAACTAGTTGGTTCAAACTAGCTGACATGAATCATCAGCATAAATGACGCAACTCGCATAAAAAAATATATATATTTACAGTCATGGCGAGTTTCAGGCCGTTGAAATCCTACAGTGAAAAATCCACGATCTCACCATTTCCTCAACAAACGCCTTTTATGTTCGTCAACTTCATGTATTTACACAAAATATTTAAAATAGTTACCGTTTTCTTTTTGTTGTGGTGCGGGGAAGTGTCGGCTTTCCTGTCTTTTCCTGGCTGATTTTAAAGTCCGCCCATCTTCAGTCCTGCCACGAAACAACACCCGCCCATACAAACACACAGCTTCAGCAAGAACTGTGAGAAGAACACAACTCTATGAGGCGCCACGTACTAGGATTTAAATCAAACTTCGCTTATCAATACATACATAACACACGTGCATACACCTATAAATTACTCGCATATACTGTATACTATTGGATGTTCAAAATACATGAAATACACGTGCACACTAATATGAAATTCATACCAATACATATTATGTTAGTAATGAATGCTTATAAACTTGTGAACAACTTGCATATAAACTTGACGCACGCATACACCTACATACTCGCATAAACTTCCATGCACATACACCTATAAACACTCGCACATACATACACTCGCTGCACACAGTACGTACACCTATACACATTTGCATATACATATTCCATGCAGACACACCTAAACACTCGCACATCATTGGCGATTTCTTTAAGACTGCAAGGGAAGCTCAGCTTCCCCTATAATGTCAAAAGATTAATGGTCAAATGTGTACTATTGTGTTAACATTTTATTGACTAATAATGCGTTAGAACACGTTCATCTCGAAGACGAGTTCGTTCAGAATCAGCTCGATATAGCAGGTCGGCGGACTCGATTTCCTTCTCATACATTCACGTAGCGTCACAGTGCATTTCCCTATGGCATTTCCCCGTTGAAGCCGAGCGTCCATTGACTTCAATGGGGCTGCTTTGAACAGTTTTTTTCAGTGCTTCGAAACTAGACGGTCATTGGATAAATGCTGCGATTATGTCCCGCCCCCGGACGCTCAGCGTCTCTGGGGTGAATAGAGAAGTGGGCTGGCCTGGAGTCCGGGCGTCTGCGTGATGATTGGAGGATTGCATCTCCTTTTGATTGACAGCGATTTCGTCCAATAAAATGTCGCTGACGCGGAAGCTATTCGAGATTTCGAGCTCAGTCCCATCGCGGATTTTACAAGTGTACTCGAAAGACAAACTGCGGTAACATATTTCTTGGTATTTGCAATACATTTTACATTTCACATTTCACAGTTTAACCTAATTCCCACATTTCCTCCGTCGATGTCAGGTGCCTTGTTACATGTGCGGGCGTGGTGTTTGAATCACGGCACATCTGTCTAGTTTGGTTTCGGTTTTGTGTCGGGATTCGGACATTCATGCTCCTCGTGTTTGTTTGTTTTCTGTTGTGAGCGCACAGGATGAGCTTACTCTCGTTCTCGTGCATAACGTTCTGTCATGTCGTGTGAGTGTGCGGGTTTGTGTTCGCTCTGTGCAAGTGTGTTGTGTTTACATCGGTCACGTGCTTTCATGTCATGTTTGTGCTGTGTAGCACAGCTTGTGTTTTACACTAGCTGTGTGCTTTCATGTTGTCATGTTCTGTGTGAACACGTGGCTTATGAGTGTTCTCTTCTCATTGTTCGTCATGTCTCATTTTGTGTGAGCACATTGCTTGTAATTTGTTTTACTGGCCATGTGCTTGTGTTTTTTGTCATGTTTGGTGTGAGCACATGGCTTGTCATGTGTTTTCCTTGTGCATGTGGTCTCCTGTCGATTGTGTCAACTCCCATCTTGTTTCCTGATTATTAGTTAATTTGCCCCACCTGTCCTCCCTCGTTACCTGCCTTGTTTGCTCCCTATTTATTCTCCTTGTGTTTGCAGTCCTGTGGTGGTTTGTAGTTTTTATTTGTATTATTTTTTTATTTATTATTATTATTATTAAAATAAAGCCCATCAACTCTGCACTTGAGTCCTCACTCTTTTCACCATCCCCACACCTGACAGTCGAGTTAAAAGAAAAAGAGCTTCCCCTCTTTGAAAGACCAGCAGCCGCCACTGTCGCACATACATATAAACTTCCATGCATATACACCTATAAACACTCGCACATACATATAAACCCGATGTGCGCATACATACAAAATAAAACGTGGATGCATGCTTTAGTTGTGTATATGCGAGTGATTTCATATGTGGATGTGGTGAACTTTTCAGTGTAAAAGGAAGTCATTTATTCTTCTTCTTTTGGAGTTTTATGGCGGTTGGCAAACCAGCTAAAAGGTGCATTTACCGCCACCAACTGGACAGGAGTGTGAAGCGAAACACAGGGGGCGGAGAGATATTAGCAACACCTGAAATAAAGCTTGCCACAAAGAACCTTTATTTTACTGTCTATGAAAAGAACCGGCGAAAGTAATGATTATGCATGAAACATTTGAATGGTTGATAAAGTTCATAAATCGATGCAGACTCGCCATCTTTGCTGTAGTGAACGCGCCTATAGAGAGAAATGCACACTTCATATGCATTAGCCACATGCATAGCATAAGCAGAGAGTAGCCAATTTATTTTAGTTTTTAATTGTTTTGTTTAAAAGTACACATTTCAAGCTTTCTATAGATATACAGGTCTGTGATGCAAGTAGTTTATACGATGAGTTTCGGTTTATTTACGCGCTCCAGTTCACGCGCCGGCGCCTCCGTGTCCTGATCACTGTCCACTATATTTGCTTCTTATTTATTAATCCAGACAAATTTGTTTATAAAACATTGATTTCAATAAATAAACTGTCCGCACACTCAAATCCTTAAAGCAAATTTAATAGACCAAGCTTTCGGTCAAAAGACCATCCTCAGGGCATCCTCAGAGATGGTCATAAAACATTGATTAAAATGAAGATACAATTTATACAAAGCGAAATTTTCAAGCACAGCTAATGTTTGAAAATCGCAGCCCTCCACCACACACACATGCATGTATAGGCTACTATAGGCTACAACACAGAGCATGTGAGCAAAGCAGAGTGGTGTGACGCTTATACTTAAACTTAAACATACGTTTCATATTTATGTTTAAATAATATAATGGGTTTTTTATTTATTTCATGTTGATTATATGAAAAGGGAACCGCATGAGATGAGTAAGATAGGATCATAAGATATAGGCTATCGGAAAACATTTGGAATGAGTCAGACATGATTTTGACCACTTACTTAAAGGTTTCTTTTGTAGACAGCGTTTCTTTAAAGTTTATTTAGTTTTTTTATAAAATGTATGTTAATTTTAATCAATGTTTCATCAACAAATTTGCCTGGATTAATAAATAGGAAGCAAATATAGTGGACAATATAGGCTAATCAGGACACAGAGGCGCCGGCGCGTTCACACTTATAATAATAATAATACATTTTATGTGTATTGCACTTTACATTTTAGCAATCTCAAAGTGCTACAGACCATATAGTAAAATAATTAAAAACTCAAAATCAATAATAAGTTTAAAGGAGTGGGGGGGGGGGGGGTGGGGGGTCCCTATAAAATACATTTATTTAAAAGCTTTTTTAAAAAGATACGTTTTTAGGTTTTGTTTAAAAACATCTGTAGTCTGTGGGGCCCTCAAGTGATCAGGGAGGGCATTCCACAGCCTCGGAGCAGCCGATGAAAAGGCCCTACCACCCATGCTACAGAGCTTGGTTCTTGGGACATAAAGGGTGTTTGTGTTTGCAGACCGGAGAGTGCGTGAGGAGCTCTGGTGTTGGAGGAGTTCCTGTAGGTAAAGGGGGGCATGTCCATGAATGCACTGGTGGGTGAGGAGGGAGACCTTATATTCAATTCTGAGTGGGACAGGGAGCCAGTGAAGAGATTTTAGGATGGGCGTGATGTGATCATGCTTGCGCACCCTCATCAGGATCCTGGCAGCACTGTTCTGGATGTATTGTAGTCTCTGGATGCTTTTGCCAGAGATCCCGATGAGGAGTGCATTACAATAGTCCAGCCTGGAGGACACAAAGGCATGGACGAGCTTCTCTGCATCTGCCAGGTTAAGTGTTGGACGGAGTTTGGCAATGTTCTTGAGATGATAAAATGATGTCTTACAGAGGTGTTTGATGTGGGTGTCAAAGGTGAGTTGAGAGTCCATTTTAACACCCAAATTGGTGACAGATGTGGAAAGTGCGATGTTTTGGCCCGAAAAAGTGATACTGCTGATGGTGGAAAAGCGGAGCTGATGTGGTGTGCCAATTAAGATGGCTTCCGTTTTGGAACTATTTAGCTGTAGGAAATTGAGCTTCATCCACGCCTCTATCTCCTCCAGGCAGGTGTTCAGTGTGGATGCTGGCAAGGGAGCAGAAGAAGTGGGGGTTGTCCTGAGATACAGCTGTGTGTCATCAGCATAACAATGGAATGATATACCATGTCTGCTAATGACTTTGCCAAGAGGCAGCATGTAAATGGAGAAGAGTGTGGGGCCCAGCACAGAGCCCTGTGGGACACCGCAGGTGACATTATGAGTGTCTGATTTGGCGTTGCCCAGGGCGACATGCTCAGTTCTGCCATTCAGGTATGAGTTAAACCAGTTGGGAACATTTCCTGAGAGTCCAATGGTGTATTGCAGGCGGTGAAGAAGGATGTTATGGTCTACTGTATCAAAAGCAGCTGTTAGGTCTAGTAGGACGAGTAGAGAGGGAGAACCAGTATCAGCTGCCATCAAGAGGTCATTGGTGATCCTGACCAAGGCTGTTTCTGTGCTATGGCCAGGGCGGAAACCAGACTGAAACTTTTCAAATAAGTTATTGTGTTTAAGATGAACATGGAGTTGAGCTGCAACTGTTTTTTCCAGAACCTTTGATAGGAATGGAAGATTGGAAATTGGCCTGTAGTTGGAGAGAACTTCTGGATCCAGAGTGGTTTTTTTTAATAGAGGTCTGATGACAGCAGTCTTTAATGTTGATGGGATATGACCAACCAGGAGGGAGTGGTTTATGATCTTTGTGATAAATGGAGAAATGGCAGAGATGTTGGCCTTCAGCAGGGCTGAAGGGAAAGGGTCCAGGGCACAGGTGGATGGCTTCATTTTTTTAATGACATCCTCCACTTCTTCCTGTGTGGCATCAGAGAAAGAACAGAGGGGCTGGACAATCTCAAACGGTGGGTCGGCCGTTGGGAGGGGCAGGACAGCAGTGGCGGAGAGGTGGGAGCGGATGTTATTAACTTTTTTTTTTTGAAAAAAGTAATGTGCATGTTACACCTCTCTT